GCATGACATTTCCTCAGCATCACCTGCATCACTTCCAACAGCCACTTCATGTTGATCATCTCTTGCCTTAGCTTTCTTACGTTTCTTCATTGATCTCTTGGGTGATTTAACATTGGATCGTCCAACGGAGTCGGAAAGATCTTCAAGTTCATCCCCACTTTCTCCATCAATGACCAAAAGACCTTCACCTTCCGATGTTGAGCATCCATCATCAAGAACTGCCATGATCTTCTCCACACAAGATGATTTCAACTTGATCTTTTCTTGATCGACGCTCACATAGGGAATATAGTCTTTAACAGTCATCTCGATGAAGTTGCCATTTGGATCCAACATGAATGGAGTTCTTCCGGTCGGCCATACAAACGAGTAACCAAGATCAACGCATCGCTTCCCCATGGAGAGCACGGAGGGTGTGTCCTCCAAGATGTGAGCTTCTGCTGGTTCGCTAAATGCCTCGAACTTGATGCTTGAACGTTTGGTCGAACACGTTACCCCATTTGCTGTATGGAAGTTGACGACCTTGTCATCGTATGTTGGGAGATCCATTCTACTTATTCGTGTGGATGAAATGAGATCATGACCACTTCCAGAATCCAATATGAATCTCTTATCTCTCTCCTCAACAGGAACAGTGATACACATTGTGTTGCCCCTTTTACCATATCGACCTTCAATATGCTGAACATAGTTTTCCACAAAAACTTCCCTGGACACCTCACCGTCCTCGATGTCGAGTCTGATCAGAATGTCCATACTGGGGCCGACGATGACCAGGACTTCATCAATGTCACTGTGTTCACCCCTCTCATCGATCAGAATAGCCATTGCTTTCGCTCGGCTCGAAGCTAACCTGCATGAATAAGACCATTGCTCGTCTTTCCTTACCTGGTCAGTGGGCTTTCCAACTTTGCCATGCCCTTTGGAGACAGTCTGAGATTTCCGATTGCACTTCACGAAGTCCTTCTTTACGTAAGTTTGAACGTGAGTCTTAGACTCATCAAATCTGACCCTCTTCTTGACCACGTTCGATGCAATCTTATGGAACGTCTCTTCATCATCGCTCCAATCATGGACAAGTGCAGGAGTAGCTTTTGAGCTTGGTGCTTCGGTGTTGGGAGCAGTGTTAAATAGATGAGGATCGTGGCGTTTGTTGCATTTGTCTCCATACCGACACTTGCCCTTGGCCCAATGCCAGCATTGTTCATCAATCTTCTTGGTCTTGTTTGCCGGAGATTGACTTCTTGGAGTTCCTGGCTTCCGACCATTCCCTTTTGCGTTCTTATTCGCCTCGAACACCTTTTGATCATGACTGTATTCACAATCTTTGCCTTTTCTGCATGACTTCTTGATGAAATGGAAATGGCATGGGATCTTCTTCTTGGATCTGGGGCTGGTACTTCGGCTGTTTGCTCGATCCTTCCCTTTCCCTTGACCTTTCCCTTTTCCTTTCGCATGCTGTTTAGGCTGAGGTGATGGTAGAACTGGAGCTGCATCGGCCTTGGCCTTCGCCTTGGGCGCTGCCTTCTCCTTGGGAGTAGCTTTAGGCTTCGCTTTTGGATTTGCATCCGGTGCAGCGGCAGTTGGGTTCGGAGCGGGAGCTGAAGGTTTGCCGCCACCTGCAAAATCTCTCGCATACTTCTCTCTGGCGGCCACATGCTTGTCCTCTCTGATTCTGGAGATGTGCCTTTCGATGACGTCCAACAGGTAGCGATAATTTCGTCTTTGGTCTCCTTCCATCCATGACTCGTATTGCTTGATGTCGAACATCATAAGACTCGAATTTCGAATCTTCTTGTATAGAGCATCACGAAGCCAATCATCAGGAGGTACGTCATCCGGCATCATGTTTGATACCATCTCCATCCATTTCTCGTAGAACACTTCTAGGTTCGAGTCACCGAGATACTTCATCGATACGATGTGTTCCATGGTGAAGGATGTTTCTCGTTGACCTGGGGTTCTGAAGTGCTCCAGAATCAAAGCCAAGATTTCCCGTCCCATGACATAGGTTCCTCTTCGGCTATGACTTTGTGTTCTCAATCTCAATTTGATCGCTACATGACGAGCAACATCACCGGCTTGGGCTATCACGTTTGACAATGCAATTGACAACTTGGCGTCGATGGACTGATACCGTTGCCCCCCACTGTCATTCAACAGCTCGATGTCAGGATTTGGTCGAATAGCCGGCTGTAGCCATGCTTCCCATGCGGCTTTATCCCCGTCATTTGCCGAAAGAACAACACTCTTGATGAGATCTGATTGCCAAACCCCAAGATTCTGTTGCTTTGGCCATGGGCTAACATAGACTTTGTCAGCCTCTCGTCTTGACATTCTCGGTACTTCTTCCGCAGTGTAAGCCGCGGTGGAGACATCATCTGCTGAATCGCGTTGTGATCCTCGAACTGAAGGCAAACCAGGAGGTTCAGGAGGTGGTCCTGGACCGTTAGGCCCAAAAGGGTCCGGAGGTCCATCAGGGTCAGGCGGACCGCCCCATCCACTCGGTGGCTTGTAATAGTCCCTCTCAGTTCCGCCAGCGATCTTGTTGTCAACCTCTTTCAGCAGATCAGCGATTCTTTTGCTTGATTGAGAATGCTGTTGTTGTTGAGGAGGTACAGCATGCCCGCGATAGGAATGAGCCACATTTGTCTCATAAGTCAACTCCTTGTCGATCTGCGAAACCCAAGATTTCAGAATAGCGTTTTCACAGTTAGCCTCACTCACGTCATTCTCCAGTTTGTCGATGACCAGTCTGGATGCGAGATCGGAGTTGGGAATGCCTGCCGAATAGGGAAGTGTGTCAGGACTGATCCTAGCCATAGATGTTTCAGAATCCTTGAGACTTTTTCTCAGTTCATCTAAGTGACGTTTCATGTCAACAATCTCAGAATTCTTGATGCCAATCTTTTCATCCCTATCCTGGATTTCCCCCATGAACATGCATGATCTCTCATATTGTTGAACACCGCTCGCCAATTTCAATTTTCGCTCACTCTCTAGTTCAGATCTTAGAGTTCGGACCTCAGCATTGGTGAGGGACGACGCCCCTACATCCGCAACTTCAGCCAACCTTTCTTTTAACAACAAGTTCTCTTGTAAACATTCATGAACTTCATGATCTAGATCCTGAACCCTGATTTGAGCGATCTTAGCTTGATTACGTAGATCTTCAACAAGCATCTCTTCGGGGCCACGACCGTCGGTCGTAGAACCCTGAGTCAACGATCTTCGTAACTTCGTGTTCTGCAACTTGATCTCATCCTTCAATTCGCAGTTCATCTTCTGCTCGTTGGCATAGAGCTCCTCATAGTGCTCTGCCCTTGCGATCGAGTTTGCACTAGCCCGTGATTCAAGCCTCAGGTGAGATATTGCTTCGGCCTCTTGGTTCCTGTATGATGCAATTCTTCTGACGGTATCATGTTCAGTGTTTCGATGCTTCAGATCACTTTCCAACTTGGCCTGATTTGCCTCGAACACCTTCTTCCTAGATTCTCTAGTGATCTCATCAATACTGCTCTCATACAGCTCGGCCTGTTTACGAGACTGAACAAAAGCTTCACTCAATAGCTGATTTCGCTCAGATAATTCATGAACTGCAATTGATTGTTGTTGGCTAATCACTTCAAGTTGATTACTAGAGAAGGATGCCATTTCAGATCGATTACGATATTCCATGATTGAGTTCTGGAAATCATTTTGCATTTCTTGACCCTCATTGTATAGTCGATTGGCAATATCGGTGGTTAAGACATTGGTTTGATGAAGTTGTTGTAGTCTTGCCTCCGTATTACCCAGTAGTCCTTGAAGGTGATGTACTTCATCCTTGTACTCCTCCTGGATCTCCATACCACGTTGATGGATCCGTCGTGCACCATGTTCCATTAGGGCACCTCGGCGTTCAAGGTCTTGGATGCGTATTGTTGCACCTTCGTCTTCCTGAGATGCTACCATTAGTTCTGCTTGATATTCTGCAACCTCATTTGCGGAACATGACAATCTATGATTGAGTGCATTGACCTCATCAAATACATTCTGATTGTGTTCCCGAAGATACTCAGTGAATCTGATCTCGATGTCATGAATCAGTTGATCCCTGGATGCAGCGTATGCTTCCATGTTGTTCAGCTGATTACGTAGGGATTGACATTGTGCCCGTAGTTCCTCTATCATGGCAATAGGTTCACTAGCCACAGAAGTATCCGTTGATCTCCTCTTAACACGACTATCCCCGGTCCTCTCACCAATTCGGTCGGTCACGGCCCTGGTGGATCTGTCCCTTGGAGTAGTACGTCCTCGAGATGGTCGATGCCCTTGGCGGACAACATCACTCCGAGCACTGTTTCGAGAAGATCTAGGTGTACTTTGGGTGGATATTCTTCGTCTGTTCGATGTGACTTGCCATCCGGACTGTGTAGTTCGGGTAGAGCGTATCCCGCCACTGTCTGCCGTGTCGCCAGGGGAAGATTGATTGACCTCCTCGACCGGCATAGCAGCGTTCTCATTGAAGGTTAAACTGCGTGGTGCGCGAATCTCCGCTGCCGCCTTGCATCTTTGCGATGATGAGCTGATTGGTCCTTTGCGTCCTCAATCAATTGCTCAGACGGCCCGGCTACCAGCACGCAGGTACCACTCTCCCGGCGGGAGAAGTGAGCCCTTACGGCTGATAACCTGTGAACAAATGGATCCTTGTTCTGGATGTAGTTATTGAGCTGTGATACCCGTTATGCTGGTAGCTTTGGACAGCGTTACGGCATTGCAAGCGGAGCTCGGACTTTTCCTCGCGCAGGGACTTGAGCCAGTACGGCGTTTCAATGCACAATCACATATGTACATGATAAGTGTCCTAGCGTTTAGTTCCCTTTGACATATATGTATCCCATATATTCCCGTTTAAATAGTTATCTAGAATTTTCCCATGAAAAATAGTCCATTTCTAAGGGATTTTGTTGGTTTTCCATGGTTATCCCACCATTTTGCTCTGGCTCCCCAGCACCAAGGATCATCCGTGCTCCGCGTGGCGGTGGCCTTGCGGCGCTTCGAAGAGCGCTCTGCGAAGGGGACGATGCCGCCGTTCCCACAGAGGAGCGGAGTGGAAGTGGTGCAAGGCGTGGCAGGCGCGGCGGCGTTGGGGATGTCCGTTGCCAAAATGCAGGTGGAAAATCCGGAACTTTTCTTAGGATTTTGTTTGTAGTCAGAAGATAGGGATTGTACCCTCTGGTAAACTAACATAGCTATGGAGAATCACTATTTTTAATGGGTAAATCCACTATAAATGGCCATTTTCAATAGCTACGTTAGTTTACCAGAGGGTAGTTATACGTATATGATTTTATATAATAAATATACAATTCTGACATCAAAAAAGAACTTTTGTATAATTTCCGAGAGGGATTTTTTGATGGACAGAAGTGGTGCGGGTTGTGGAGACATCCCAAAGAAGAATCGTCCCAGATGACTGAGGTTTGCTCCAACAGATGACTGTCATAACCTATTGATGGTGAATTGTTGTTCTTTACAATCCGTATCTATCGGTATTTTGGAAATCATTACATTGAGAAATTACGTCAGATTTACCCTCTGGTAAACTAACATAGCTATGGAAAATCACCATTTTTAATGGGAAAATCCACTATAAATGGCCATTTTCAATAGCCATGTTAAATTACCAGAGGGTATTTTGTTTTCTTATCTCACCATTTATATGATCCAATCTTGCCCAACCGCGGGATACCCGGGGTGTTGGGAGCAACTTTTCACAGGTGGAAATAGGGGGAATACACGAAAGCAGCGATACGATTTTGGGGCCAGGATTCGCTTTGTGATTTCGGGGCACATTGGCTTTTCATTTCCATCACTGAACAATGATCCCCAGCAGATTCAGCAGATTTTGGGAGGGTTTGAAATTCTGAAAGCACCAGCCCGATTTTCTTGCTCAACATCCTCATGTTTGCTGATTTTCCGAACTCGATTTTCGCACCTCAAAAATGTTGGTGCTCGATGTCGATGTCACGACAACCCATTTTCAGTTGGTATCACCGCAATGCATCAACGCCAGGAGCCTTCTTTTCGGGCATTTTCTCGAACTTCTGAGTGCAGGTGATCCTGCTTCGGCTCGGCTGTGAACTTGTCAACGTGGTAAGGTACGAATTGTTTGTGCGTTGAGGCTAGTGGGGTTTATCTCACTACTAAAGACGATTTTTTTAAAGGGGTATCTAAGGTTAGCAACGATTGATACACATATATATATATATATTATTATATATATACATACATGCATACATACATACATACATACATACATACATACATACATACATACATACATACATACATACATACATACACATCCACGTATATATATATATATGTATATACATATATATATATACATATGTATATATATATATGTATATATATACATATACATATACATATGTATACATAGTATATATATATACATATGTATACATATACATGCATATGTATACATATAATAATAATATATATATATATACTGAGATTTGATGATGGTTAGCAAGTCCTCTGTTTCTGTGCCAGTCATTTTCTGTGCCACACAAAGGAGAAGCTTTTGGAGACGGGAGTGGTAAACCACCAGTGGATGGGATGATGCAAACATGGTGATTTAAAGATATTCAATAGGATAAGACGGCATTTTTTTGTGGGATGAAAAAAACCGTTATTAAACATGTTATAACCAATCTTTCTTTGCTCAAAGATTGTGTCATTGCACTTTTCTCACATCAAAGGATGAAGATCCTTTTTTTTGTTCTATTCAACTTACTGGTGCTAAACGCAGGGAATTTTCGGGAATGATCCACAATAACTATCAATAATCATCCCAGCAACCCCCATTCCCATCCATTCCCTACGTTAAGCACCAGTAAGTCAAGCTATATTTTGATGTGAACATCAGGCCATTTCCGGGTTTCGACCCCCCAAAAAAGCTGATCCACGGCTTTGGTGCAATGTGAGGCGCTCAGTCCAAAGCGACAGCGCTTGGTAAAAGCCTGAAATTGGTCAATAAATGGTGATTTTTCATGGTGATTCCCTAAGAAAACCATAGGAAAACCATAGGAACATGGTGATTTAACCGCTGATTTAATGGTGTTTTTTTATGGTTTAAGAATGGGTTAACAATAATGAACAATGGGATGATATGGGACTTACCCTCTGGTAATTTCTTACATAGCTATTGAAACTTGCCATTTAGTTCGTTGATTTACTGATTTTCCATAGCCATGTTAGTTTACCAGAGGGTAGACTTAGTAAGTTATTTGGGGCCCTGATTGATGGATATTGATGGCATCTGATATACCATCCGGTGTCATCAAACATGGCTGGAAAATCCCCGAGACTAGCCACGCCATGGAGGTTTCGTTTGCTGGGAAAATGATGGAACGAACTGGCAGAGTTTTCATTGCCATCAGCCATCCCATCAATATATAAGGCCTATATAAGGCCTAAATTTCAGGGAATATCACCACAAAATATGGCCTGAAAAATGGTACAGTACCTCCATTTTAGGATGAATTCCCATTGATCCCATTTTGGGCGTGTCCAACTGTAGTTTTGACCCGTGACCGGCCGTGACCGGATTTCGCCGGCCTCTGGGAGCCCGATGTCAAAAAGAAGAGCGAAGCAGCGGAGAAATAGGCCCACGCTGGTGGAAGATAGGGTGCTATCCTGAAGCAAGTCCCAGAATCCTTACCCTGCTAGCACATGGATGAACATTTTTCATGGTTTGGGAGGGACTATTTCTCTCTTCCCCTTTGTTAAATCACCGCCGGAAATGTGAAGATCTAATCTGTAGAAGCTGTTGGATTTTTAAAATCTCGAAAAGACCAAACCAATGGAAGGCGTTTCCCATATCCACCCAAAGATAGTCTCATCATGTCTCACCAAACTGGGAGCCTAAAATTAGCAGATGCAATACATTCCACTAGGGGATCTCTAGCAACCGTCGAACCTCTCCGTGACGTCAGGACGGATGCGGCATTTTTCTGCGGAAGACGCTTCGGGCGACGCAAAGCCATTCCTTCCGTTTGAGGGATGTCGCTGAGAGGCGGATGAAACCTGGAAGATGGGGAGATATCCAAGAAACATGGATGAGGTCAAAAAATGGGAGATAGATTACCCTCTGGTTATGTCAAAATAGCTATTGAAAATGGCCATTTATAGTGAGTTTTCCCATGAAAAATGGTGATTTTCCATAGTTATATTGGTTTACCAGAGGGTAAACAACTTTGAATTTAGTTGCTGGTTTCAAGTAGTTGGTGTGACTTTTCCATGATTATCTAGTGGTACAGGCTTGTACTTATCTATACTTTGGAACACATTGAATCTTTAGTGAGTACCAACAATGAATCCATGCTAGAAGTTCAAATCGGTGTTGGGTTGATCGAAACTTGCTGTGCCAAAACCAGCAGTGGTGGCGGTGTTTTTGGGGGTACTTTGGAGACATGGAAATCTGGCGACTCTGAAGATCCGTGGATTCCCTGCTTGGTGGTGAACTACCCAGTGATTTCAGTGGATTTACCCTACTTATCCCATGTAAATCACGGGGGTTATAAACCACTTACTAAGTGGGATGAGCCACCAAGTGCCTTCGGCCTGATGGCCAGCTGGGGGCGGAACCCAGTTGGAGTGCCATGGATTTCCCTTCTGCGCTCGAGGCATTTTCCGGATGCTGCGAATCTGCGCGGCGGGGCTGGCTTCGCAGCTGCCACCTGGGTATCAAAGACGGGATTTTAGCCACTGGTTACCCTCTGGTAATTTGTTACATAGCTATTGAAAATGACCATTTATAGTGGATTTTCCCATGAAAAATGGTGATTTTCCATAGTTAATAGTTATGTTAGTTTACCAGAGGGTAGCCACTGGTTACTTAACGGTGTGCTATGAAAAATCGCCATTTTGAATAGGTAAATCCGGTTTTTAGCATCATAAATCGGACTAAATGGGCCATGGCTTCCATAGCTAATAACAAGAAGGGATATTGATTTATGGATGCTCATTCCCCCAGAATGTGGTAATGTATTATAGGGGCTGACCCATAGCCAAATGGGAAACTTGGGCATATAACTGATATACTGTAACAATGAAAAGAGGGGATATTATGGGGATGTGATGGGCAAATATTGTGGATACAATACGATGCAATGGGATATGTATCTGTCTCTCATAATTATACATATATATATATATATATGTATATAAATATGAGAGGTGCAGCGCTGCTTTCAGATATACTGTATATACACATACAGACGGGGTTATAAACCACTTGCTAAGTGGGGTGAACCACCAAGTAGTTGGGATATCATGAGATATACCCTCTGGTAATTTAACATGACTCTTGAAAATGGCCCAGTCGAAATAGTGAGTTTTCCCAATAAAAATGGTGGATCTTTCCATACTTATGTTAGTTTACCAGAGACATGCAATGCATTGGAATTCTCGTGAGGAAATGGTTTCTTCATCCATGGGACCTTGCGGTAGCCTGTATATAACCTGCCTACTTTCAGACAGCTGAAGGCATCATCAATGAAGACATGTGGATTTCAGCAGCTGTCTAGCTAAAGGAATATCTGCAGAAATGGGAGGTGTTTTCTCAGATTTGACTCCCAGCAGGAACCCTTTAAAAAAAGGGGCCTTCCAAGGTCCAACATTCGTTGGAACCCCCAGGTTGGGTTGAAACCTCCAACAACTCACCCAGGCCTTGTGGCGGGAACTGCACGAGAAGCTGACTTTGGCCAATGTGTCTCGGATCAAAAAAAAGTGTTCAGAACCTAGGTACCCACTGGAGAAGGTTAACAGTAAGCTATGGAAAATCACCATTTATGATAGGTAAATCAACGAACTAAATGATCATTTTCAATAGCTATGTAACAAATTACCAGAGGGTAATACGCGGCTGGTTGTTTCTGCATGGTTTCAACCCTTGCGGCTTTGCGGTACTTTCCCAGCCAACCAATCCAGTGATCATCAGAGAAACGGTGCAGAAATCCTGATCGCCATAAAATTCCCAGTGCAGAGTGAAAAATCCCATGGATGTTTCGAACAGTTTTCCCAGATCTTTCCCAAACAAAAACATATTGATTGTATATTGATACCATATTAAAGTACCATATCAAAGTCACATTTTTCATACCATAGAACGTCACATTTTTCATACCATTAGAACAAGTGCTATGCCATCTGCCAACATAACATCTTGCATCATTGGAATTTAATGTGATATAACAATCAATATACCCTCTGGTAAACGTTTACAAAACTATGGAACATCACCAGGTTCAATGGGTAAATCCACGAAATAAATGGGCCATGTTCAATAGCAAACTGTAAGAAATTACCAGAGGGTAAGTCCCATATCATCCCATGGTTCATTATTGTTAACCCATTCTTAAACCACAAAAAATCATTAAATCACCATTTATAGCGGTTAAATCATCATATTCCTATGGTTTTCCTATGGTTTACCACCATTTTTCCTATGGTTTTCCCCACCAATAAATATCGGCCGTTGGGTGCCACCGATCTGCGTTTTTTGCGGTTCGCGAGGCAGTGGAAGTCTCCGTTGAGTCTGGCAGGCCGCCGTGGAACATCTGAAGATCTAAAGTGCTTGGTGCTTTGGAACCATGGTGGTTTTTAAAATGGGTAAATTATAACGACCTCACTACGACCTCACTGGAATCATGGTTAATAAGAGGCATCATCCCCAAGATAGCCTTATTTCACGGTGTTTTTAAAACCAATAGTACCCCTTTTTTGTTCACATGAAAATAGCTGGGATTTATGGATGCTCATTCCCCTAAAAATGCTATTTTCATAGGTATTGATCCATACCCAAATGGGATCTCATGGTGTTTTTAATGGGATCTCATGGTGTTTTTAATGGGATCTAATGGGATATCATAATCATTCATAATCAATAATGGAACTAGTTAATGAATATCATAGTTTATAATGAATATCTGGTTGGTGAATAGTGATGGTTAATAGTGGTTTTCATAGGCTATAAGCCAACAACAATGGGAATATGATGGTGATCTGATTGGTGGTTTGGAACCATGAAAATTTATGACTTTCCCATCATATTGGGAATGTCATTATCCCAACTGACGAACTCCATCATTTTTCAGAGGGGTAGGTTGAAACCACCAACCAGTTTTCTTCTGAGTCTGTTTCTTGATGATGTAGTCTACCCTGACATAGAAATGTGGAAACCCCACTGTCGCCATATGTAGATCATTTTTGTAAAGCAGGAGGTTGGTAAACCCACATCTTTTGTATGTTTACCCCAAGGTAATGATCATGTGCTTGTGTTCACAAACGGATCTTTTATAGGATTTAACCATCATTTGTATGAGTATCAACCATCAACCACGTGGATAATCCACCATTTATACTCACTATTTATACTGTATCAAGGTGAAATTAAGCTGTTGGAAAATCCAACAAACATGGGGACATCTTTTTTGTGATTTGCCACAAAGGTGACTGAACGTTTCTGCAATCGTGGCAATGGCAATGACAATTGCAAGCTTACAACGCCTTACAATAAACATTATCCTCTGGTAAACCAACAGTTTGCGAACTGGAAAATCACCATTTTTAATAGGTAAATCAACTATAAATGGGTGATTTTCAATAGCTATGTAACAAATTACCAGAGGGTACTACTACATATAGAGGTTTCCAATCCATGGAGGTGGCCTCATCTATCTGGCCTCATCCCCATCCTCCACCATTGACCCAGGGACCCCAAGGGGATCTTTCAGCGCAGGAAAGTTTGGGCTGCTTGGCAGTGAACATGGGTTCCCCATGGGGAAAACATGGATTTGTCAGAAGTCGATTGATAAGATCGGCCCCCATCACTGGGTCCTTGTTGCAAAAGTCTTGAACCTTTAGTGCGCACCCAAAAGCGACCGGAAAGCTTGCGGCACTTCTTTATCCAACATAGGACCTCAAGATTTAACTCCAGTTTTGCCTATCTCAGGTTTTTTTTCCGCATTGGGAATTTCATGGAACCTCGGAAATTTGCACCAGATATACACACAATATATATGTATATATATATATATATGTATATATACACACCATACCTTCATATATACTATACATATATATATATATTATAGACCCTCTGGTTATTTAACATAGCCATGGAAAGATCCACCATGCTATTAAGAACGGTAAACCATCTATTTCGATTAGGGCCATCTATTTTCCATCGCGAAATGTTAGTCATAACCAGAGGGTATATATATATATATATACACCCTCTGGTTATTTTACATAGCCATGGAAAATGGCCCATAGAAATAGATGGTTTACCTATTAAGAATGGTGATTTTCCATGGCTATGTTAAATAACCAGATGGTATATATATATAGTATATATGAAGGTATAGTGTGTATATATATATACATACATATATATATATACATACATATATATATATACATATATATATATACAATTTTGCCAATTTTGCACCAGCCACCGAGATCTCCACGTGTCATCTCTACTGGGATCCGCGCTATCCAGATCTGAAACTTTTGCAGGAGCCGAGCCTTGGGGCGGGTCTCCCATGCAAGGGATGATATGGATGACATGCTGGGAATCTTTCCCAAAAATATGTGTATTTTTGGGGACATTTGGAACATATGAAAATATGTTTATTTTTTGGGAAATGTAATACTACATTCCACTTCTGGTTCATTTCATTTTGTTTCCAGTTTGTGAAATGTGGTACTGTTCACAGAAGTATCCGGATTTAGCAACAAAAAATCAGGCTCTGCACCGGATGAACATCAGGCAGTTGGTGGATGAAGCAGGGAAAAACTGGGAAATCAAGCATGAACATGTAGGTAAACCATGTTTTGGGGATGACTTTCACTATTAAGCATGACAAGAAGATACCAAGAACAGATGCGAAGCTAAGCATGAACACGTGAGTAAACCGACTGATAAGTGATGTCGGTGAACCTGCGTGGTTAGCCATGGGGATGGAGCTTCCAGCGTTCGCAGAAGTGGATGAAGCGCAGATCTAGCGTTCAATTTAATGGCCATCACTTTCACGCATACATTTGGTGTCTATCTTCAGAAACCAGATTCCCGCTACGAACTCGCATCATCAAACAAGATCAATCATAATGTCCTGGAAACTGCTCTGACTCTGAAATGCAAACGATTATGTATATATATATAAATATACGTATATATATATATTTAACTATATATATATACATACATAGTGTACATATCTGAAAAAACACGATCATATTTTAGGTGACTGGAGGGTAAACCAGTTCGGTAAACATCAAGGTTTTCCTTCGGTAAGTGCTTTATGTATAGTCTCACCCCAGGATGAATGTCATATGAAAATATTTGAACCCTGGTTGATTAATAAGGAGTTTGGTTCCCCACAAATAGCAAGAATCAGCTATCAATTACTGGTTGGTGGTTTGAAACAGTTTTTATTTTTCCATAATATATGGGATGTCATCCTTCCCATTGACGAACTCCATCATTTTTCAAGATGGTTTTTGCACCACCAACCAGATTAGTTCTCCCATTATTAACCACTATTAAGCCACTATTAAGCCACTATTAACCCACTATTAAGCCACTATTAACCATATAATAACCATATAATAACCATCATTACCCATTTAGTGCGGTGATGAAAGTCCCATCGTTTCCCAATTAAACAGGCATTCTGGGGTTGAAATTACCGGCGGTCCTCTGAATTGGGCCCAAATGGAAGTCCCTACAGGCGGATGACCCCTTTTTTGGTGGTTTTTTAGGGTCGTGGATTGGGGTATAGAAAAGTTAAATATGGTGACTTAAGCAGAAAGAATTCATGCAAACGCCAATATATATATATATATATCATATCATTATATTATATTATCTTATCTTATCTTATATTATCTTATATCATATGTAATATATAATATATAATATATAATATATAATATATAATATACAATATATAATATATAATATATAATATATTATATAAAATATATGATATATAAAATATATAATATATACTATTTCAGAATTCACAACGCTTATGGACCGCCATGAAGAATCCCAAATCATAGACCCTTTGATGGTGAACAGAATCTGCCCATTTCTGCTGCTAATCATTGGGGATGGTGACTGGGTTGAGCTCCAGAATCCCACAGTTAAGACCTCCAAAATTCCTTTCAACGTTCGCCATAATTTGCAGGTCAATCACAGATGTTACTGTGGATGGCTGCGAAGCCCTGCACCATCTACACCACCAAAACGATGGTTGACAGTCAAGCGAGTCGCCAGCTGCGCGACAGGACAAGGAGATCAGCCCAAATAAATGGCATTTTATGGTACATATATACATATATATATATATATAACTATAGATATGGGATAGATATAACATGTGATAACTATAGATATATAACTGTTTAACTATTAAAAAAAGACAAAATTTGAATGGAAAAAATGACATAGCCTCTGGTAAAAATTGAAGCGTTCAACTCTGAAAATCAGCAATTTTGAGTGGCACTGACTATGTTTCGCTCATCTTGAAAACGCCTTTTTTTATGTGGCACTGACAATTGTTCGATTACCCTCTGGTAAACTAACATTACCATGGAAAATCACCATTTTTAATGGGTAAATCAACTATTTCTATAGCCATTTTCAATAGCTATGTTAAATTACCAGAGGGTAATACTTATGGCTTAACTCTTCCAAATAATAGCGGTAATTCTCATAGCATCATGGACGAATTACTTCTTATGGACTATGGATTAACAACAGCAACTAAGAATATATGATACATCCATGATGATGATGGACATAACTCATCAACAATATCCTTATCATTTGGGATGTTATGAGTCATGAGGCAGTTCATGTCTATCATTCAGGCTAATTAACAATAGGGACCATCCATAGTTGAGGAACTGGTTTGAACCAAGACGGGAACAACTGAACCTTGTGCTGCTTGGATGGGGATTTGTTAACCTAAGCAGGGAAAAAGGACAACAGGGTACAGGAAGGGGCCCTGTAGTTGGCTAAGTTGGTTTATCACTATAGTAACTAGGATTTATGACGAGATTATAAACCAACTTCTAACTAGGGGGGCCCGTCTTGTAACTAGAATTGGCCAATATTCATGCGAATCCAGGCAGGGTTGCTCCCAACACCCCAGAGAGAGGGGGGGATTGGCTAGACAAGGAAGTGAAACTGCCAATTTCACACCCCAAAAGTGCATCTATATATATATATATAAATTAAGTGACCAATAAAATGGGTTGGAACAACCCATGCCCCATGCCTATGCCATCCCATCCCATCCAATAAATGAAGAATGATTTCAAAGCGTTTCTTGCACCACACTCGATATGCCTCTTGCATCGAACACTTGCAACATGTGGACGGTTGGCGCTGTACTACAATGAGGCCAGCAGCGCTTTAAAGCCACCAAAGGTCCTAGGTGGTCGAACCTAGGTCCTAGGTGGTTGCAAACTTTGGGGCGATGTTCATTCATCAGAAGTGGGCAAAAACTTTGTCAAAACCCAATTTGTATGTGAGATGCGTCTTGCCGGTAGTGGGTTGTTGGCGCTTTGCGAACTGCTAGAACGCACGCCCGTCCCCCAAAACTGTCGCTGACAGTCGCTACGCTGAGAACTCCATTTCCGAACAAAAACTTCCGCCGCCAAGCAGCTTAATTCTTGCTTCATGCCTTGTCTTGTACCTTGAATCAGAGGTGGCCTGGGCAGGACCTGACGGCATCAGAGCGTGCGTCATAAGCATAGTCAGCGGCGCTAAAAACTGGGACCATGTTTCGGCATCAGCGTTGCGCAAACACATGTAATTGTGGCATGGCTGTTCCCCATGCACTGCAAACTGCCAGCTTAGGGGTAAACAATAGGTACATCCCGTTCACGGTGAAACTTTGATTTGGGCAGCCCACAGTGTGGTGAACACCGCCACTTGCGACAAACGCCATGTGAGGCATGGCTATTGGAGCGTGAGCTGAGCGCCTTGAGTGGTGGCAAACCATTGATCCTAGCGGGCGATTTGAATAGCAGCTTGGACCCTATGATGATGATGGATTGTGCAACAATATGGCGCCCCAGAGGCTAATTAGTGATTTATAGCTATTTCCTGCACACACACACACATTCTCGCCAACTGCAAGGCCAAGCCCTGATCACAATTTAGGCTGTATAACCAGTATAAAATTGATATATTACTGTACCTGTATAATGCCTGTATTATATATTCTATTCTTATATACTGCCCGTATACTACGCATCACCCCCCCTAAGGGCCCCCCCCCGTACCACAAATCTCATGTTATCCTTGTTGCTTAATCCATCCATGGCCCCGCCCAGGCACCCCGTTGCTGGATGGCCGCTCTCAGGGCCCGAAAGGGGCAGAGCTTTCCGGCGTATACGAGCTGATGACGCGAGGTGTCTCATAGGGCCAAAAGCAGGGGATTTGACGAAGAAACATAGCGAATTCACTGGGTAAAATTGTGATTTACCATCTGGCAATGCAGCATGGTTCGCCGGAAATTCCAACATGTGTAGTTGATTTTCCAGTAAAAACTTCTATTTATTTCGGGGATGTTTGGTGATTTCCCATTGCGATGCTTGATTGCCCGAGGGTACCCAATCAAAATGTGGATTCATCCACAGACACGGGGATTGGTTTTTGGCCTATGAATATTTGATGATACATATGTGCCATGATTTAATGGGTGTAAACAATAAATACAAATACACGTGGTAATTGATGGGATATGTTCGGGGATAGTGAAGGAAATTCGTGGGATGGATTTGACGATTTCCATAGTTTGCTGTAGATTTTATTTTGAACCATTTTGAACCAAACCCTTGTTTATAGGTATTTCCATTATATATATATATATTATATTGTTTATTGCATGCAACATTTGCAGTTTGCTTCGTTTTATTGCCCATGCTGGTTGGTTCAAACTAGGTTAGATATGTACTCCGTATTGCATAATTCATGTATTTTTATGGACCGATATGGACGAATCCAGCGAACGAAAACACATTTCCCCAAGAAACCAAATCCATGTTGAATGTTGTTGAACTGAAAACCTGATGGTGTTAAACCATGTTAAACCCACCATTTTTTGTGGAAATTCACAATCCGAACAGTGTTGAAAACGACAATGGTTGTGGCTTATTGGGTCATTTTACTCCCATGTGCAGGAAATTTAAATGGATTTGTCAGATTGTATTGTCAGATTATATTCAGGAGAACGGATTTTCACTATTGTATTCAACAAACAACATCATCTTGGGTTAAATTATGTCAATTTCTGATGGTATTGCGCCCAGTTGCCTTGGATGTGCTCTGAGTCGGTGATTTGGCGCAAAATGTCCCAGTGGGAAATCCACTGCTTGGGGAATCTATCGGAAATATTTTTGCAATTTTTAGGGGAACTAAGCCACAAAAACCATTCCTGGCGAAGCACCAAGTAATCTAGCAAATGCCTAGCAATTTCCTTCAAAATTTTAGTATCAAACATGTATACATCAAACCAGTTCAATCCCAATTTCTGGCAAACTCTCCGGCAAACATGGCAATTTCATGCAATTTTTCATTTTTCCAATGATTCTCCCAGCCAGAAACCTCCAGCCATATGAATTTCCTCCGCAAAAAATCTGTGTCTCAAGATCCTGGTGGCGAAACCCACCATTTCTGGTGGACTTCTAGGGGTTACACCCGCCATTTTCTACGGAAAATCATCCTTTCTGGGGCAAAAAAAAACCACCAGGCAGAGTTGATGTGCAGCATCCACATCATCCAGTACTCCTGCGGCCGGGCACTGGAATCCTCGCCGGTGTACGGCCGCAGGTGCGGATGTACCAGCCATTCTTGGGATAGAATGGGATAGAATGTTGTGAAAATAATAATATGATGCTTTATATGATGATATATGATGTACAGTAATGGCATATGTATTGCATATGTATGTTTTTTTTGCCTTAAGCTTGCATATCCCAAGAAAAGACGGTTTTGCACAATATTCCGCTTTTAAGAGTCAACACCCGTTTTTTTGACATATGTAACATATCATATATATATATATATATACACAAATTACACATATATACATCCAACTTGATTTGCATGTGTCTGAAAATTGTGGAGTTAACCCCAAATGATGATAAACTTGTGCATCCTGGTCTAATAACTTTGTAAGTTCAGCATGGTTTTGAGTGGGGTCGAACTCTTGAGATCATGATACAAACATATACAAACCCATTTCTACATGACTTCTCCCCCATCACAAGGGGATACATGTAGAAACCCTGGTCCCCTGCGGATAACTTGGCGAACAGGACGTGCCGGAGTTCCAAGTCGAATCCTTTCAAAGCGCAGCCCAGGAAGCTGGAGGTCTTCCGACGAAAACTTGGTGGAACCACAAAAGATCGAAAAAAACGTGTCGCATCAGGTGAGAAAACATCCCCTTGGATAGGTAGTTTATGGTAGTTTTTGATCGAATCCTTTAGCTTTTTTGGTTATAAATGGAACATGACCCAAAAACCAGCAAAAGATGCAAGTTTTTGACTGCCAAAGATTGACAATGTGCACGTGTGAACATACATGAATCAATGCATGTTACCCTCTGGTTATTTAACATAGCCATGGAAAATTGCCCATTTATAGATGGTTTACCTGGGTTTACCTATTAAAAGCATGGTGATTTTCCATGGCAAACTGTGAATGTCATAACCAGATGGTATAGTTGATCTACATATTACTAACTATGGAAAGATCCACCATGCTATTAATGGGTAGTCATCCACTATTTCGACTGGGCCATTTTCCATGGCAAACTGTGAATGTCATAAGCAGATGGTAAGAAATCCCATCCCAAAGCGCATTTGAGCCCAGCTAAGGTGAGGTAACTACCAACATCTCTGCAGACTTCAGGGGTTGCTTGGACTACATCTTCTACCGAGGCCCGCCGGAAGTGCTGGGGGGCAACACGAGCTTTTAAAAAACATCGTTTGATGGCTATTTATGAGTTACCCTCTGGTAAATTAACATAGACCCTGGTAGTTGTTGGGGTTGGAAGATTAGTTTCCATTAAAACTAGGCTATTTTCAGGGTCTATGTTAATTTACCAGAGGGTAACTCATATCTTATAGGGAGATTTCATGGGGTATACCCTCCACTAGTTCCCAAGATTGAAAATCCACCATGAAGGTAGATCATGTCCAACGGGAAAGCCATGGATGCGTGTTTGAACATGTTTACTGAAGTTGTACGACTGACAACATCCATTACATATACATTTATATTACGTATATATCCAATATTATCCATGATTAAATAGATACCTATATAATATATATATATATACACACGAATACACATTATATCTAGCACATTACATATCTAGTGTATATCCATTAATACACTGTATAGATATCCGGTATATCCACTACATTTCTGCAAATCATGATGCTATGGGATTGTCCACAAAATGGACGGGAACCTTGGAAACCAAGTGAAGGAGGACATTTTGATTTTTGCCTGAAAATGCGGTTCCCCCAAAAATGGAATTCACCCCCAAAATGGATGTTTTTTTTCATCAAAAAACTATTACAATGGATGATTTAGGGCTACCCTATGTAATTACTACATGTAATTACCCCTATTTTCGCAAGATGTGATTCTACTTATCTTTTCGCGGGGGTTGCCATAGAGGTTTTTTTGTTTTGCATCCTCAGCCGCTATCATCCCATTTCTAGAGATATACCATGGTATACCCTCATGTCATACACCTCAAACTTGGGGACGCTAAACTTTGTGGGATGTTGGGTTTACATTAGTTGGAAAATAAAAAGGACAACACCACTGGATTTCATTACTTCCATGGAGCTTGTTTTTTTTGTTTTTTTGTTCCATTGTTTGTTGTTTTGCACCAAACATTTCCGAGAGGCATGTCCACCTGTCCAATGAACATCAGTGTTTTTTTTCTCCATGTTTCAGACAGGCTTGTTTCTGAACAACCTCCAAGTTGGATACAAAAAACACATTCGCTCTTGAGGGCTCCTTTTTTGGCAAATGACAAGGTGGTAGCCTCCAATGAGTAAAGCCGCCGCCCTAATCTACCAGACATTGGTGAGATTAAACATGATTTAAACCATCCCCGAAGGTCTACTACTTGGAGGATCATTCCACGGCTCGTGGTTCAGAACCAGAGTTTTTTGATCCATAAATGGGATATAAACTACTCTTGGGACTTACGATCACCAGGATTATGACTATTATTAACCACTTATAACCACTTATAACCACTTATAACCACTTATAACCACTTATAACCACTTACTAAGTGGGATCCTCCAAGTATAGCATCTTGTTTCACCCAACTCATCGGCCCTTTCGGCCCAAGACTGCCCCGTGGTCCAGGCGATGGCTTGCGGCTGCTGAAAACCAAGTGGCCTCAAGCGGATGCGCTCAGCCTACCTTCTGAGGCTCGACCCGGCGGCGATTTTTTTCGTCTCGACCAATCTGATTGGGAAAACACCCCCAAAATTCCATGGTTTATCATGGTTAAAACGTTTAAACCATCATTTTCACTATAGAAATTTCCATGGTTCAAAGACAACACCCTCATTTTCACCATAGAAATTTCTGTTGACTTTCGCCATTTTCAGACACAAGGCTAAAATTGTTTCCACCCAAGCGACTTGGTGCCGTTGGACGACTGTTGGCCAATGAGTTCGGCGGCTGGTGGTGAACCTATACTTAAGACTGGAAAATCTGGAAAACGGATACAGAATGGGGCCCCCAAGATAGCTAAGTTGGTTTATAAATGGCTTAACTATGGTTTATGGTAGATATAACTATAGATAACTATGGTTAATGGGGTTTATAAACCAACTTATAACTGGGGGGCACCATCCTGTAGTGCGCCGAAAACAGGAAAACATGGAGAAGTGAATGGAATTAGATTCATCTTACAATTATAATCGATAGCTGGATGCCTCCATTGTATCACCATTTTTGTTAATACATACATCATTTCCACCCATGGGATACATCATCATGTTATCATTGAGCTACACCATTTGTATTCACCAATGGGAATACATGGGTGAATTATCCCATCAGTGAATAATGTATACCTTCTGGTAATTTGTTGCATAGCATAGCTATGGAAGCCATGGCCCTAATCGAAATAGATGTTTACCTATAAAAAATGGTGATTTTCCAGTTCGCTTTTTGTATGTTTACCTATGTTTACCAGGCCGGGTAATCCCACCATTTCCACCGGCAACCACCTACTCGATGGTCCATGATGGCCCGAACAGGATCATCCGTCGGACCATCTGCCTTTGCTGGCTGAGTTTGAACTGAGTGAGGATCGCGACGAAAAAGATGCATGGGAAAGGTGATGGGGCCCCGCTCAATGTCAAGAAACTGGGGTCCTTGCAAGGAATGATTTTGTTCATGTATGGGGTATTTATCCCAAAATATTGCCGTTTGTTTTGGTGACTTATGAATACTTACGATAATTTATCCAGAAGGATACCAATTGAAAGCTGCAATTTGTTTCAACATAACGTAATCACAAAAGAAAGCAGTTTGTTGCTTAAATTTCCATGAAAGTTGATTTAAATTGGTTAACTGCCCATTTCTGTTGGTTAAATCCCAAATAAAAATTGTAAAATCTCAAATGTCCACTTCGTTTGAGTTGATTAACAACTCATTCTTGCTACTTAAATTGCCATTCAAGTTGGTTAAACCCGTAAGAACAACCCTGGTGAAAATCCAATTTCTGTTGCTGAAATAAGATATTTAATCCTGATCTTCATTGGTTATATGAGCCACTTGTTTTCTTCACTAATTCCTATTCACTCCCCTTTTTTGCTGCCTTATATTGCTTAATATATATGAAATCCCTATGTTTGCTGCTTGCTTAAGCACCATTTTTTCTCCCAGCTCTCGCTGAGACTCCTGTGGTAGTGCTCCTCATCGTTCAAGGCTGGCCTCGAATCGAGGCTCAGGCCTGGTTCACTTTGAGAGTGTAAGTTTGACGAAAAAGGGAATACTTCCGAAGAACATCATATTCTTCTGTTTACTCCAGGATATAATATATATATATATTATACACCAATACAAAGCAACATGAAGCTACAGACATGGAGAGAGTAGCCGTGGGCGATGAAGCTACATCCCTTGTGAATTTTAGGTCAGATCTATTAGAAGCACAGCCTGTCGCACTGATAGTGGGATATACTGCAGAATATAGATGGATCCCTTCATCTCTTCAGCGCATCCTTGTATGGACTCTGACATGGTTGGGATGTGTCTGGTGCTAGTTCCTGCTTTTGTGTGCCTGGATGGATGTCTGCAGGAGCCTTCAAACGTCCTTTCTTTGGAAACGGTGAAGCCCCCTTTTGGGGTCAGTAGCCGTGCGTGTCTCTGGAAGGTTCAACAACTCCTGCTACAGAATCAACTTCCATATTAGGGAGAACCAGGACTCCACTTGAAGGTGTGCATCTTTTGCGAGCGAGTTCGGCCTGAGCCGCCTTGCTTGCCATGGTGCATGCCGAAGGGTCCTTGTACACTTGAAAAGTCTTGACATGTCTTGACAGATTTTTAACGGTCTTGAAAGGTTTGTGCAAGGGTGTCTTGAACTGCTTGTCTTTGTTGATTATTCCTGTAGTTGCACGGATTTGTCTTAATGCCTTGCGACGAGTTTGAAGAATTGTCGCTTGTCAATGCTTGCAACTTGCAATGTAGCATAATGTAGCTTTGTGTGCATGCCGTCAAGGATGACAGCAATCTTTAATCCATTTTCTGAAGCTTTGCGCCGGCCACAGATCACTGAAATGTGTGACCTGGTGTGTTCTGGGTGTATTGGCCGTTATGGTCAGTGGGCTTGGGACATCAGGGATCCTTTTGGTTGACTGGGGCAGTGGTTTCAAAGCACAAGACGTAACGTATCTGGCTGACTTCAACGGCACAAGTCGATAGAGTTCGAGACATGATTGGACATTGCTTGATACAGTTGATGCAAACGCTTTTTAATGCGCTTGCTCTCATCTCTTGAGCACATCCTTTTTCTCTGACATGGTTGGGATATGCTTGGTTCAATTTTGGGTTCCAGTTCCTGCTTTTGTGTGCCTGGATGGATGTCTGCAGGAGCCTTCAAACGTCCTTTCTTTGGAAACGGTGAAGCCCCCTTTTGGGGTCAGTAGCCGTGCATGTCTCTGGAAGGTTCAACAACTCCTGCTACAGAATCAACTTCCGTATTAGGGAGAACCAGGACTCCACTTGAAGGTGTGCATCTTTTGCGAGCGAGTTCGGCCTGAGCCGCCTTGCTTGCCATGGTGCATGCCGAAGGGTCCTTGTACACTTGAAAAGTCTTGACATGTCTTGACAGATTTTCAACGGTCTTGAAAGGTTTGTGCAAGGGTGTCTTGAACTGCTTGTCTTTGTTGATTATTCCTGTAGTTGCACGGATTTGTCTTAATGCCTTGCGACGAGTTTGAAGAATTGTCGCTTGTCAATGCTTGCAACTTGCAATGTAGCATAATGTAGCTTTGTGTGCATGCCGTCAAGGATGACAGCAATCTTTAATCCATTTTCTGAAGCTTTGCGCCGGCCACAGATCACTGAAATGTGTGACCTGGTGTGTTCTGGGTGTATTGGCCGTTATGGTCAGTGGGCTTGGGACATCAGGGATCCTTTTGGTTGACTGGGGCAGTGGTTTCAAAGCACAAGACGTAAAGCATCTGGCTGACTTCAACGGCACAAGTCGATAGAGTTCGAGACATGGTTGGCTTTTTAATGCGCTTTCTCTCATCTCTTGACCACATCCTTTGACTCTGACATGGTTGGGATATGCTTGGTTCAATTTTGGGTTCCAGTTCCTGCTTTTGTGTGCCTGGATGGATGTCTGCAGGAGCCTTCAAACGTCCTTTCTTTGGAAACGGTGAAGCCCCCTTTTGGGGTCAGTAGCCGTGCATGTCTCTGGAAGGTTCAACAACTCCTGCTACAGAATCAACTTCCGTATTAGGGAGAACCAGGACTCCACTTGAAGGTGTGCATCTTTTGCGAGCGAGTTCGGCCTGAGCCGCCTTGCTTGCCATGGTGCATGCCGAAGGGTCCTTGTACACTTGAAAAGTCTTGACATGTCTTGACAGATTTTCAACGGTCTTGAAAGGTTTGTGCAAGGGTGTCTTGAACTGCTTGTCTTTGTTGATTATTCCTGTAGTTGCACGGATTTGTCTTAATGCCTTGCGACGAGTTTGAAGAATTGTCGCTTGTCAATGCTTGCAACTTGCAATGTAACATAATGTAGCTTTGTGTGCATGCCGTCAAGGATGACAGCAATCTTTAATCCATTTTCTGAAGCTTTGCGCCGGCCACAGATCACTGAAATGTGTGACCTGGTGTGTTCTGGGTGTATTGGCCGTTATGGTCAGTGGGCTTGGGACATCAGGGATCCTTTTGGTTGACTGGGGCAGTGGTTTCAAAGCACAAGACGTAAAGCATCTGGCTGACTTCAACGGCACAAGTCGATAGAGTTCGAGACATGGTTGGCTTTTTAATGCGCTTTCTCTCATCTCTTGACCACATCCTTTGACTCTGACATGGTTGGGATATGCTTGGTTCAATTTTGGGTTCCAGTTCTTGCTTTTGTGTCCCTGGATGGATGTCTGCAGGAGCCTTCAAACGTCCTTTCTTTGGAAACGGTGAAGCCCCCTTTTGGGGTCAGTAGCCGTGCATGTCTCTGGAAGGTTCAACAACTCCTGCTACAGAATCAACTTCCGTATTAGGGAGAACCAGGACTCCACTTGAAGGTGTGCATCTTTTGCGAGCGAGTTCGGCCTGAGCCGCCTTGCTTGCCATGGTGCATGCCGAAGGGTCCTTGTACACTTGAAAAGTCTTGACATGTCTTGACAGATTTTTAACGGTCTTGAAAGGTTTGTGCAAGGGTGTCTTGAACTGCTTGTCTTTGTTGATTATTCCTGTAGTTGCACGGATTTGTCTTAATGCCTTGCGACGAGTTTGAAGAATTGTCGCTTGTCAATGCTTGCAACTTGCAATGTAACATAATGTAGCTTTGTGTGCATGCCGTCAAGGATGACAGCAATCTTTAATCCATTTTCTGAAGCTTTGCGCCGGCCACAGATCACTGAAATGTGTGACCTGGTGTGTTCTGGGTGTATTGGCCGTTATGGTCAGTGGGCTTGGGACATCAGGGATCCTTTTGGTTGACTGGAGCAGTGGTTTCAAAGCACAAGACGTAAAGCATCTGGCTGACTTCAACGGCACAAGTCGATAGAGTTCGAGACATGGTTGGCTTTTTAATGCGCTTTCTCTCATCTCTTGACCACATCCTTTGACTCTGACATGGTTGGGATATGCTTGGTTCAATTTTGGGTTCCAGTTCTTGCTTTTGTGTCCCTGGATGGATGTCTGCAGGAGCCTTCAAACGTCCTTTCTTTGGAAACGGTGAAGCCCCCTTTTGGGGTCAGTAGCCGTGCATGTCTCTGGAAGGTTCAACAACTTCTGCTACAGAATCAACTTCCGTATTAGGGAGAACCAGGACTCCACTTGAAGGTGTGCATCTTTTGCGAGCGAGTTCGGCCTGAGCCGCCTTGCTTGCCATGGTGCATGCCGAAGGGTCCTTGTACACTTGAAAAGTCTTGACATGTCTTGACAGATTTTCAACGGTCTTGAAAGGTTTGTGCAAGGGTGTCTTGAACTGCTTGTCTTTGTTGATTATTCCTGTAGTTGCACGGATTTGTCTTAATGCCTTGCGACGAGTTTGAAGAATTGTCGCTTGTCAATGCTTGCAACTTGCAATGTAGCATAATGTAGCTTTGTGTGCATGCCGTCAAGGATGACAGCAATCTTTAATCCATTTTCTGAAGCTTTGCGCCGGCCACAGATCACTGAAATGTGTGACCTGGTGTGTTCTGGGTGTATTGGCCGTTATGGTCAGTGGGCTTGGGACATCAGGGATCCTTTTGGTTGACTGGGGCAGTGGTTTCAAAGCACAAGACGTAACGTATCTGGCTGACTTCAACGGCACAAGTCGATAGAGTTCGAGACATGATTGGACATTGCTTGATACAGTTGATGCAAACGCTTTTTAATGCGCTTGCTCTCATCTCTTGAGCACATCCTTTTTCTCTGACATGGTTGGGATATGCTTGGTTCAATTTTGGGTTCCAGTTCCTGCTTTTGTGTGCCTGGATGGATGTCTGCAGGAGCCTTCAAACGTCCTTTCTTTGGAAACGGTGAAGCCCCCTTTTGGGGTCAGTAGCCGTGCGTGTCTCTGGAAGGTTCAACAACTCCTGCTACAGAATCAACTTCCGTATTAGGGAGAACCAGGACTCCACTTGAAGGTGTGCATCTTTTGCGAGCGAGTTCGGCCTGAGCTGCCTTGCTTGCCATGGTGCATGCCGAAGGGTCCTTGTACACTTGAAAAGTCTTGAAAGGTGTTCAAATTCATTTAAAGATCCTGAAGGTGTGATCTACTTGGTTTGTTTTCGTCGATTGTTGGAATGAGATGTGATGCTATGAGTTTGAAAAGTTACGTCGTGCCACTGTTTTTTGCACGCTGTCAAGGATGGCAGCAATCCCAAAATTGCTGAAGCTTTGCTCCGGCGATGGCGATGTTTTTGGGACAAGTTTTTAAAGTCAAAAGCGCATTACTGTACGTTGGTTTCAAAATTGAAGACCTGTTACGATATTCACCTAGTAAAATGATCATACGGTCATACGTATGTATAGATTAGATTTTAAAGATTGTATTCTATACCCCCAAGATCTTCCAAGAATATTGGGTTTGCAGTGGTTTGTCCATGAATGTGCCCAACAAACATTTTTTTTAACCGAAAGAATGGTGATAATTTGTTTGAATTGCGGCCTACTCCAGTTTCAGAGAAATCTCAAATATGGTTGCTTCAACATATCCCACATATGTGTTTTTTCATTGGGAGGATGCTAAATTGGCTACTGTTTTTCCAGCCCTCAACGCCGCTTGATTTTGATATCAGGGTACTACCAATGGAATCCAATGGATTTATCCCATGTGATGAACCAGCAACTTACGGTCCTCATGAAGCACATCACGTATGGTTTCCCAACGTTTCCCCATTCAGACGTGCTTTTTGCAAGTTCAATATCCACTATCTATACAAGGGGTTGTTTGTTTTGGTTATGCTTGCAGGATCCTCTGATGAATCGTAACTGCTTAATAACCTTGGTGGCCGTATGTCCCTAAAGAGGCGTATACCATACACACATATTTTTTTCTGGATATACATGGATATAAATGGGTGAACTTGCTAGAATTATGAACCACTGAGCTTAGACTAAGGTCAATTAACTATCCCTTATATATGGTCATATATGGTCATAATATATATATATATTGTATATACAATACATTGTATACAGTATATAGGATGTATAAATTTCCATGACCTCGGCTAGGCTTAGTGACTTGAGCAGGTCCCGGAGATTGCAGCGCTGCAGTTGGAACCCTCGTTGCTGCCGGCCATTTTGGGCTTCTTCACCTACACGGTGGGTAAGGTGAGCGGGTATGGAAAATGGATGAAAATGGCTGGAAATATGGGTGTAGGTCGAATAGATTTGGGTCTAGGGATTCAGCCAAGATTCAAATGGGGATGTAGTGGTAACTCTAGCAGAAAATAGGGCATTTCATTGATTTCATCTTCAAAAAAAATAGGGGGATATACTGATATATTGGGGGTCTGCTATGGCTCAAAAAAAAAGTGTAAGGGGATTTTGGATGATTCTGGTCCTGCCAAAAAGGGAGCCATCTCATAGACAACACGCCAAGCAGGCTCCTGTCGTAGCAGTCAGACAATTTAGAATGGATGACTTGCGAAGTGGCTTAAACTACAACGTGGGGCCCCCAAACGGTACTTAAGTTGGTTTATGATATTTCTCCCATAAGTATGATCTATGGTACTTATAACTATAGTTAATGTTGTTCATAAAGCAACTTATAACTGGGAGGCCCCACATTGTAGGATTTGGAACAGAATCCAACACATGGAAAATACCAACGCTTCGAAAAACCATGGTGGGTGAAGTCATTGAGCGCCTCGAAAATCTTTCGGGATCGAACATCGACGTTACGATGTTTCATCAGCGCTATACAGAACACATGGGTGTTGGGATGATCAATATTTTCATGGTACAATAGTTAACATATGTTAACATTACCCTCTGGTTATTTGACATAGCCATGGTATAGATGGCCCATAGAAATAGATGGTTCACCTATTAAAAATGGTGACTTTCCATGGCTATGTTAGATGGTAAGCATTATTATAATGAAAAAACATTATTATTTGATGATATACCTTCTCTCCATTTTTGTTGAGTGTAGTGACTTAGTATGACCTCTTCTTTTGGTACCGTCCGCGGACACCATGTCTGGCGGAAGGTGCTGGCGGGTGTGCTGAAATGAGAGCGCGGCTTCACTGATGCCGAGGTCAGATAGATGTGGGCCTCAGGAGCCACAGTTGGTTGGTACCAGTTTCGTCTTTTCATCTATTTGACCCATTAGACGATACCATATACCATATATTACTATTAATAATCAATACCCATTAGATCAGTATAGATCCAGAATAATGTGATTGTATGGGATTTACCCTCTGGTAATTTCTTACAGTTTGCTATTGAAGCCATGGCCCATAGAAATCGTTGATTTACCCATGAATAGCATGGTGATTGTCCAGTTCGCAAACTGTAAACGTTTACCAGAGGCTATTTATCATCCCAGACTTGGGATAGAATTGGGATGAATATGATGTTTGAGATATTTTGAACCACTGAAAATGTGAAAGCTAGAACGATTTGAAGCACCGCAAGTTTTGCCTGACAATTGAAGGGCGCATTCCAAACTCCAATGATTTATGATTTTCATATTTCAATTTTGTGGGTATACATGTTGACAATGGCACATGATCTTTTTCGGCGTTTTTTTTCCTCCCAAGTTGACACTCCAACGAGTGCATTCTCTTTAGCTTGGAAACTGCGGGAGGTTTTTCACACCAAGCATCAGAAATCCGCAGCCGCGGATATCACTGCAGTGCTTGGAAAAACATGTGCTGAATGGGACTACGGGTTCATTATGGTTCATTTGGAGGTTTCCTATGATTTGGGGTAGCCCCAAATCATCCCAAATTCGAGTGTTTTTTCGTATTTTTCAACCCATGGTGACTTGGGGATCCCCCATTTTCAGACACACACCTCCATTTTGGCTTTCCCCAAAGATGGCTCGATTGCGGACAGAACCAGCAAAACATGGTGAGGGGCCCCCACTTACCCTCTGGTAAACAAACATAACTATGGAAAATCACCATTTTTAACGGGAAAACTCACTATAAATTGCCATTTTCAATAGCTATGTTAAATTACCAGAGGGTAAACCAGGACAGAAATCTGGTGGTTGGATTCTCTCTAATCTTGACCCATCATTTGCTGTCAACTGTGTCCAAAAATCACCAGTCCCCGGGCTTCAACATTTGATGAATACCACGACTCCAGCATGGCAGAATCGTCCAGATTGGATACATGTACCTGATGGTATCTATTCTACATATGATTTGTATTTATAATATATATCGCTGAACTAATTGCAGCTGGGTGACTCATGATTCAGCGAGATTCGATGTCAAGCAAGATCCAATTGAAGCTTTCGACAAGAGCTTCGTCGCGGTTTAATGTAGTAATTTTGCTTGTTTTTTTGTGAGTAGTAAGTGGGTTCAAAAGGAATCGATATGTCTGAATAGATAAATAGCACTTATATCATATAACCACTGCACAATTTCATATAGTGTTATATGTGTCTTCTCCTGAGAGGAACTCATTTCTTACTAATTTCTGTAATCACTTCCATGGCTGGAAAATCAGCAATAGTAACCGATCGAAGTTTCCATTCAAATACTCAGCAATAGTTCGAGGATTTCCCAGCTACAATGTGAGGCCCCCGTTCGATAGCGTTCAGTTGGTGAACATAACTCCAATGTCACTATGGTTTATGGTATTTATATATATATAACTATAATAACTATGGTTTATGGTATTTATAACTATAGATAACTATAGTTACTGGGGCTTTTGTTAACCAACGTTCACATCACTGGGGGGCCTCACTAATTGTAGCCATGTTACCATGTTGGGTTTCCTCCAACGACCTCGCTGCAACAAGCACCTTGCGTCAGTGTGTTGAATGTGTTCATTGCATGGGTGCCACGGATACATACATATAATGTATATTAAATAGAATTATATATGATAATAACACTAGTAATAAGATATGTATATATATATATAAATGTGAAGAAATAAAGTATTATTCATAATATGTTCATCAATGATCATCAATGTATATACTAGTATAGTAGATATATACATTATACACCTATCTGGATAACTTATAGCGACCTCACCGCGACCTCACTGCGTGACCGGCAGATGGGTGGTCTGGTGGCCTTATTTCGGATCGATTGCTTTACATTAGAACATCTATGGAATATACCCTCTGGTTATGACTAACAGTTCGCCATGGAAAATCACCATGCCCTATTAAGAACGGTAAACCATCTATTTCTATGGGCCATCATTTTCCATGGCAAACCGTTAGTCATAACCAGAGGGTAAATCAAATTACTGGAGGTATCCCATGTGATCCTCCATTATAGTATCTCACCCATGAATAAGCCATTATCAGTCCATAATTAAGTCACTGTCCATGGCTATGTTAAATAACCAGAGGGTAGTTATGGGTTTAAAGGGACAGTATGGGGAGCGGGATTTGTGAGGATTTACCCTCTGGTAAACATACAAAAGCTATGGTATAGATGGCCCAGTCGAAATAGTTGAGGACTACCCATTAATAGCATGGTGGATCTTTCCATAGTCTTGTAAACGTTTACCAGAGGGTAATTGGGATATAAATATAAAAATCCGTATAGATGGTATATATCCATAGAATAGATAGATGGAAGGAAAACACTATAGATCCACAAATCCGTATAGATATTTTAATTTACTGGAATATTATAAATATAGGTTATAATCTATATGGGGATCTATAATCTATGGGGATCTATTGGGATATAACCTATATATTTTCCATTCTCCCTATATTGCCAGAAAACACGGCTGGAACAAAAACCTTCTGGCAATTTTTTCACGTGGCTGGAAAACCCCCATAGATGGAGGGATCCGGGGGGTATACGATACCCTCTGGTTATGACTAACAGTTTGCTATGGAAAATACGATGGCCCTAATCGAAATAGATGGTGACTACCGTTCTTAATAGCATGGGTGGATTTTCCATGGCAAACTGTTAGTCATAACCAGAGGGTATATGAATGATATGACATCTGGTTGGTGGTTTGGAACATGAATGGTTTCTTTTCCCCAATAGTTGGGATGATGATCCAATCAGACGAACTCATATTTTTCAGGGGGGTTGAAACCACCAACCAGACATGATATTCCATAAGTTTATTGGGTTTAAGAGTAAGATGAGTCAAATACGTCAAATTTTTCACGGGACTCTGTTGTTATTGAAGCCACAGTCCGAAGATCTGCGCCATTTTTTTACCGGGAAGCTTGAACTTTCTTCAAGCCTTTTACCCCTGCCGTGCGCGTCGCGTCTCGCAACACGCATCTGCAATGAAGATCGTGGGGGACTCGGTGGTCGTACGACCCGTAATGATTCGTGGTTACCGGAGTAGAACTGTGGAAACCAACTGGATGCTACCTTAGTCTATGTTATTACAAAATATATAATACCAAGCAGCTTAAAACATGTCGTGTGTTTGCAGTTTGCATGATATCTAAGATTGGCCATGACGGCTAGTAACTGACAACCCAGCAATGACATTAGCAATGACAATCAACGGACAATGGGGATATCAGCAGCAATGGACTTTTAGTCAATACGAAAGCAACCCAAAAGAGTGTGAGGGAAGTAATGCTTATATATATATATAGTACAGTATGTGTATATATATATATATGAGCTATTTCTGATCCCATCGTGACTTGGGAAGCTTAGCTAGTGAATCAGGCTGACGGTGTGTTCGATGGTGTGAGATCGGCTCAAACATATCTTCTGACTTGGGATGATGCTTCGACAAAAATCGACTTGGGATGGGTTGAAACTACCAAACAGTTGTAGCCTCTGGTAAACTAACGTAGCTATTGAAAATGACCCAGTCGAAATAGTGGATTTACCCATTAGAAATAGTGATTTTCCATAGTTATGTTAGTTTACCAGAGGGTAGCCTGAGTGTGATGTCACAAGAACAGTGGGTTTAACCAAGTTTACGCAGATTTAATCATCTATTCTTTTGTCAATCATGTTCAGAAAAGAATCCAATATCCCATTGTGGCCAGCCTTCGGACAAACAGTATTATTTAGTTGGTTTCTCGTCAGCAATCTTCAACAACAATCATACGTGGAAGTGAGGGAGAGCATGATTTGCTTCTCAAAATATTTCTGGTTGGTGGTTTCAAACATTTTTTATTTTCCATTTCATGTCATCCTTCCCATTGACGAACTCGTATTTTTCAAGATGGTTATTGCACCACCAACCAGATTTCATCTATGGCTGTATTTTTGGAGAGCCATAGAACCAACTTATGACCAGCCTATTCCAATTATTGTGAACCCCCAAGTGCACCGGGTCATGCTCTACTTTGATGAAATGGCCGAAGTATGCTTAAATGGTTAAAAAGTGGCATAAGTGGCATATGTATTTCTACAATTACAATACAAAATACATGCAGATATCCAATCAAATACAAATGCAGATCCAAATGCAAATACAAGTGCAAATACAAGTGCAAATACAATTACAATTACAAACACATATTATATACATACAGACACAGTCTATCTACACCTGTTCAGGTGATGTTTGGTCATGTCAACCTTTATCATCCCCATGAACTGGACATGCCGTTATATCCCAGTGATTATCACAATTATCATCCCAATTATCCATAGAAATCACCATAAAATCCATGTAAATCCATATGAAATCCCTAGAATTTCCATATAAATCCCTTTAAAATCCATATGAATGAATCCCTATAAATTCCATAAATCAATATATATATATATATACAATGTAAGGCCCCCAAGATAGCTAAGTTGGTGAACATAACTGCAATAACTATGGTTTATGGTATTCATAACTATAGATAACTATAGTTACTGGGGCTTTTGTTAACCAACTTATAACTGGGGGGCCTCACATTGTATATTATATATAAATCCGTATAATTTCCTGTAAAATCCCATATTAAACCCACCCAACGGTGGACCTTGGGACGATCCAAGAGGTCCTGGTGTTGTCCTTGTTGGTGTCTGCCGCCTTCAGCGCAACCGTCACGCCTATGCCGCCTGGTGGAACACAGCCGTGGAACAGTGGGAAACCATAGGGAAACCATAGGGAAACCATAGGGAAACCATAGGAAAACCATAGGAAAATGGTGATTTAACCACTGTAAATGGGGATTTGGGATCAAAGAGGTGAAATGGATGAAATGGACATGACTGGTACCCTCTGATGTATTCGATGTATGTGTTTTCCTTCCATCTATTCTATGGATATATAGCATCTATAGGGATTTAAAAAATATTTATATCCCAATTACCATATTGATGTATATACGGTGGATTTAATGGTGATTTTTTTGGTTTAACAATGGCTTAACATTGGTGAATTTCATGGGATGATAATGGGATATACCCTCTGGTAAACTAACAGTTTGCGAACTGGAGAGTCACCATGCTATTAATGGGTAGTCATCAACTATTTCGACTGTGCCATGGCTTCAATAGCTATGTAAGAAATTACCAGAGGGTACCCTCCGATGGATTGATGGAAATGAAGATAGGTATACAATTAGCGGAGTATATTAATGGACCATTTGAAACACCGTTTTTTTCCATATCATTAGCAGAGGATATAGGAAATTTGTTGACACCAGAGGATCAATGATCATATCATACCATTACCATATCATATTTCCTATATCATTACCATATCATATTATTAGCTGTAATGATCCACCAGTGGATATAGGAAATTTGTTGACCCTTAAAAAAAAGTATGATCCACCTACTGGAAATATCAAACATACACCAGTATATTAGGTACATGGAAATGACTGATAATGTTTGGCATCTAATTTACCCTCTGGTAATTTAACATAGCTATTGAAAATGGCCATAGAAATAGTTGATTTACCTATGAAACATGGTGATTTTCCATGGTTTTTTGTATGTTTACCGGAGGGTAACTATGATGTCTCTTCTTCCATAGTTCATTAACAATAGGTCAATGTTCGAATTTTCCGGGTGTTTGGGTGAAATTGGAGGATCCAAAGAACTTTTCCAAGGCATTTTCTGGTCACCCGAGGCGCAGGCCCAGCAGTCACCACCCAGTTAGACCAAGAAGGCCTCGTGTGGGCAGCGGCCCGCGAGTTCGACATGCGGAAGAGTACATCAGGTACCAAACAACTTGCTTCGAGGCAGGCCGAACGCCTGTGCCAAGCGAAATTCCGCCAACATGGCCGGTGGCAGCAGAACTGCATTTTGGGACCAGGGCGGTGGGCTTGCTCGACACAGTAGCGGGGGACGTCAGATTGATAAGAGAAGTTGGCACGGTTTTGACAGGTGTGACAGGTCACCGCTGCGTTGGCGGTCCCAGGAGCGACGCTTGCTGCAGGCAGTGCAAGCCTAGGCCTCCTTGGCACAGTCAGCACAGTCGCCGCGGCGGCCTTCAGGGCTCGCCACCTCTGATGTCACCTCTGGCACCGGAGGATTGGTGGGCTTCGAGAGATCCAAGGCGTTTAGATGTATTTCATGGTGAAGTTACAGTTCTTCTGGGTGGTTAAACCTGGAAATTTCCGTGGGTTCTCAGCAAGAAATCGTCACAACATGTGGCCAAATTCGATGAAGTCAACGGTCGTCGGAGATTTACTCAACAACCGCGAGATGATGACCGACCAAAAAAGAATAGGACCTATATCCATAAATGGGATAAGTAGGGTTAATCCACTTATAACTGGGGTGAACTAACCCACTTACGATTCGTGGGTAGTGAGCCACCAAGTATTCATAAAGAATGTCGAATCTGGCTTGGTACACCTGTGCGAAGTGTCGGAAAAAATGGGTTCATGGGATTTCATGGGTTCATGTTTGGCAATGAGGAAGCTGACATTTTGAGCTAAACACTGGAGAGTTTTAACGAAGACCTCGTTTTTGGGAAAAGCTCGGGACAAGGGTTATATGTTATTTTGTCTGCATTCTTAGGTCTATCTGCAGGATTTTACGGGGATCTATGTTACACTGAGTTCAGAGTACCAAAGTTGTGCGATTTTTGTTGGGTGATCTTTAGATTTTGAGATAAACACATTATAACATGTGGCCTCCAATTCTTTTCGGTGTTTTGGATTTCTAAGTTCTAGGCATCAATTTTTGGTTCATTCTACTTGTACCGCTACAGTAAAATGAAATAGACATGGAACACACACCATGTTGATCATTTTCTTTGGGTTTCATCATGGGTTTCCGTATATGTTGATGTGCCACACTCGGATAACCAGTCACTTTTGTTGGAGATTTCCCCGTAGTTTACGGTCGTTTTCCCCGCGGGCTTTCCTCAGTTTACTGCAGGGGCAAAGTCATTGACATGCTGAAGGATATGGAGCTTCAGGGCGAGAAGGAGCAGCGACATGTCATCGATGTCCCAAAGTCCTGTTGGTTGATTTATAGAGGGCTTCACCCCCTTAGTCAATGGCCATTTCAGGAACCGAAAAAAATGGAGGTACCTACCATATATAAGGCCTATTTTTTAGGGCTATGTAAGGGAATATCCCCACAAAATATGGCCTTATATGGTACAGTACCTCCATTTTAGGATCCTGGAATTCCCATTGACTTAGCAACTGTAATATAATAGGTACATGATACATGATGATAGATATATTGATAGATGGTATAACAAACCGGCCCCTTGTTTTTACCGAAAGGACATTCGACTTTCTGGGGTTCACATTTGTATGGTTTTTCAACCATACATATGATTGGGATGATTGGTTGAGATATGTCAAGAGATGACGAACTTGCATCTTTTTGGGATGGGTTAAAACCACCAACCAGAACTGGTAATTTATACTTACCCACTGGTTATTCAACATAGCCATGGGAAACCACCACTTTGATATAATAGGTAAATCATCACAAATCATCTATAAATGGGCCATTTTCATCCATTTTCCATAGCTATGTTAAATAACCAGAGTGTACGTTTTTTTTTCCCAGGGTATCTACGATTAGTTATAGAAGATGATAGAAGTGACTATATGGCCATGATCGCAGGATTTTTCTCGACTTTGGAATCAGAGCCATTGTTATTTGGGGTTGCGGCCAACGGCCGGGTATTGAGATGTATTGAGCCATCCATTTTATGGGGATATCATGGGGATCTGGTTGGTGGTTTCAAACATTTTTTTTTGTTCCATAATATATGGGATAATCATTCCCATTGACTAATATTTTTCAAGATGGTTAAAACCACCAACCAGGGATAAGATGGGTGCATACTACTGTATAACTATGTTGGACACGGGAGTACTTGCTGGGGATATGTTTCGGATACAATGGAGGTATTGTGGAATGTATCCATGAATCCATGAATATATATAGGACCTATAGGATTTACATGGATTTACCTACCATTAATTGGGATGCAAGATTGATGAAATCATCAATAAAGGCGGGGGATCTAAATCGTCCAAACATCATGGTTGTATAAAGTATAAACCATCTCTGTAGCCGACCATAAAACACGTCCGTTTTAGATGCTTCCATTGCTACGGGTATACGCTTACCCAATACTAAACCCTACTTGGGTTGGTTCAACACCTGCTTTACCTCATTTCATTCAATACCCTCTGGTAATTTAACATAGCTATTGAAAATGGTGATTTATAATGAATTTACCCATTGAAAATGGTGATTTTCCATAGTTATGTTAGTTTACCAGAGGGTAACCGAATGTCATTATCACTCCCTTAGGATTCCTGGCAGTCATGAAATGCCCCTGGCTGTCACCAATGGATCTCTGTCTCCAACTGATGGGATGAGTCCCCTTCCTAACCATCATTTTTTGTGACCTCGCTTGAGGGGGGTCGCCAAAATTTTCCCAGATCTACAGATCTACATATTGTCATCCACTGTGGCATGGGTAGCGTGCTGTTGGCGGACACCGAAAAGAGCGCCTGACAGATAATTACCCAATGCTTGGGTCAACATCGAAACCTCTCACCGATTGAAAGTGCATGAAAGTGTCACAAATGCTATTTGCAGTTTCAATCATGATCTGATCATGATATCAATGATATAATACATATATCATATATATCCATATATTTATTTATATATCATGATATAAATGCCATTTATAAATGGTTTTTTTTTGCCATATATCCAACTGAGGGCTACATTAGTCTGCATTGCCTCAAGGGACTTCTGCTAGGTTAACTGGCTCCGAGCACGGCTTTATGGTCCAGCTATACAGGAAAGAAGACTTAAAGAATTTGACGGGAATATTCACAGGACCCCCTATACTTGTAGGGCAGAAGCGGTACGGGTCCTTGTTTCTTAAGATTCTTCTGTCAGCACACTTTTTGTGAGGAGAAGAAGGCCGAAGCGGTGCAGTTTGCTGCTTACCAGTCTCTTGGATGACCACAGTTGACATGGCTGTGGAAACTCACCATCTTTAGGAGGTAAAATCAACTATTTCTATGGGCCATTTTTTATAGCTATGTAACGAATTACCAGAGGGTAATATCCCATATCATCCCATGAAATTCACCATTGTTTACCATTAAATCACCATTTTCCTAGTGGTTAAATCACCATTTATTGGATAAGCCATTGTGAAACCCATATCATACCATGATTCACCATTGTTTAAGCCAAGCCATTGTGAAACCACAAAAAATCACCTGGTTAAATCCCCATTTTTATAGTGGTTAAATCACCATTTTCCTATGGTTTTCCTATGGTTTTCCTATGTTTTACCAGCATTTTCCTAGGGTTTTCTTAGGGAATCACCATTACATCACCATTTAAAATGGGAGATTAGCCAATGAAGATTCGAAAGCGAAGTTCGCCCCTTGATGAAATTCGGCCCCCGCCTTGATCAATCGGAATACGGGCCTTGAATTTTTCGAGAGTGCTCTTAGAGAAACAATCATTCGGTCTCTATTACTCTTTCAGAACCATTAATTAGGTTAACTCAGCTTGGTTATTTTTAGAGAGCTTTTGAGATAGTTTTTTTGAGTCTGTAAGATGATCTCTTAGATGAATTTTCGAGAGTTACCCAATTATGGTTTCAACTAAGCAGAACCAATTTGATTATCTCGTGAACCACCGTGACTTACCATCTGTAAGATGATCGATGGCTGTAGCCACGCCGTGCCACGCTGATCATGAAGTTGTTGGCGGAACCGACTTTATCCGCGCTTTCCATCCTACCTGCACTGGGGGTGCAGTTCCATTGTATATAATTAGACACACATATATATATATATACTGGTTGGTGGTTTGGAACATGAATTTTATTTTTTTCCATCATATATGTGAGAATCCTTCCCATTGACTTTCATATTTTGCAAGATGGTTAAAACCACCAATCAGTATATATAAATAACTTGTAACCATAGCTAGAGGGCTTGAAAACTGATATCCCATCTATAACCCCAAACTGCAACACCAAACAATTATCCCATCTATGACTGCTATCCATTTTTGGGATTAGGGTGGCTCAGTCTTCTGAGTGAAACATCCAAGGAATCCAATGATGTCAAAGGTCAAACAAAAAAGAGAGGCCTGTTTTTCGTTTTTACGATCCACAAACATTTAATTAGCTTAGCTAGTTTTTGAGTAGTGTACCTCTCTATTTTTATGTTTTTCTTAGTGTACCTCTCTATTTTTATTAAACAAAACAAGTGGGAATTTGGACCATCTATCCGATACAAACGTATCCAAAAGTCCCACAAATACGAGTATTTTGATACGTATGCAAGCCGCATCTCCTCGTCCATGACCCACCCCGTCTTGCAGGAAGGGACCCCCCGTCTTGCAGTGTCAGTTCATATCCCCAACTATAGATATATCCACTATAAATCTAATGCTGAGCCTAGTTATTTCAACCAACTTACTTATCGTTTGGGACCCCTTTCCTGCAATAGTGGCTTATTGAAAACAAGTGCGATTATTGATGCAATTTCATGATTTTCAATGCTTAGTAATGGTTATTTATAGTGATATTAGTGATTCATGGTCATCAATGATCTTCAATGGTTACCCTCTGGGAATTTAACATAGCTATTGAAAATGGCCATTTATAGTGAGTTTTCCCATAAAAATGGTGATTTTCCATAGTTATGTTAGTTTACCAGAGGGTATACAAATAAACGCTTAAAAAGGTCAACTCTGATCCCATTTTTCGCCATCCAAATGCCCGGCCCGGGCAGTTCTTGCAGTCGTCCAGTTGCGTGCCGAGGCAATTCTGTGAGAAGACGGAGGTGGAGAAGAAACGCATCATTGCGGACAGCAAAGACAAGGTTGAGGCCATTGTGGGCGCATTTGGCTGACATAGATTCCATAGATGTCCCTTAAATTCCCATTTTTTTTGGTTGATGAAAAAAGAGGGGTTTGAAGGTTTACCCCTTTAACAACAGGGAAATGATGATAGATGGTCTACCAAACCGGCACCTCTATTTTTACCAAAAGGACATTGTTGATGGCTGATGGATCATGATTGATCACCGTCCAACATGGGGGATCGCACATATACAAGGTGGGCCCCAAGATACAGTAGTCAAGTGGGTTTATAGCCAGGTGAACTGTGCTTCATGGTAGATACATACAATGTGAGGCCCCCCAGTTATAAGTTGGTTTATAAGCCCCAGTAACTATAGTTATAAATACCATAAACCATAGTTGTTGGAGTTATAAACCAACTTAGCTATCTTGGGGGCCTCACATTGTAGACATATTAGTTAGTGGTTTGAACGTACAACAACAAGCAGAACTGGGGGGCACCACCTAAGGTTGAACAGCTGAACATATCATCTATACCGAATACCATCCTGTCTCCCTGTTTTTTTTGGGGTACGATAGGTTAAAACTGGTAAAATAATAAGCACCAATTCATCCCGTGTTCCCATTTTATCCCCTACCCGCCCCCCAACATAGATGCCGACATCGGGCTTGGAAGACGATTTTCCTCCAACAAATGGGAGTTGAGACAAATTGTATATAACATGTTTTTTTCCAAAGTGTTTTTCTTGTTTATCAACCAGCAAGAACCAGTAATAATGGCGACTCTTAACCATCGTCGGTGGCACTGACTTTGTGTTGGTTGAATCCCGGCGAAGATCGCGGTCTCTTTTCCCGGTGAATCCTTCTCTTTGGGCACCATTTGGGAAGACGATTTGAGGCTGGTTGGTGGTTTGGAACATGAATTTTATGACTTTCCATATATTGGGAATAATAATCCCAACTGACTTTCATGTTTTTCAGAGGGGCTGAAACCAGCAACCAGGAGGTGATCAATAATAACTTGGAGATAAATGGTGATAAAGTTATAGACAACCCCTGATTGATCCAGGGTAGAGCTATTAGTTATATTAGATACCTTCTGGTCGCTGTTTTGTTGCTCCTGTTTAGTTATTCTTGCACTTGTTGGTTGCTCGTTTTTTTTTTTTTACATGGGTGGAGAATCCTGATAAGTGAAATGTATGATATATATATATAATATATATATATATTTATGTATAATCAATAAGTGTTGATATTTAAAAACCACAAATAACCGTAGATAACCATAGATAATCATTAGTAAATGATCCCGAAAAATTTGGAATTAAAAATCCAGGTTTCTTTGCGACGTGAAGACTGTCATCATCCACGGGAACTTGGGACCAGAAAAGGTCATCCACAGCAAGGAAGCCTATGTTTTGGTCCCCGCGAAACTGACCCGATATCATGACTTAAAAAATAACTCAAATGGAAGACCCTAAATTTAATACGCGTATATGATATATGAAGCATTTGGATCTAAATACTGGAGGTTGATTAATATATACGAAAATATTTCTTCCCAATGTTTTATGATATAAGAACCAATATATGAGTATATGGTTCTGGGTAAATTCAATCACGACCTCACTGTTCTCCCTCACTGGAATCATGGTTTTTATAGGAGAATCATCCCCTTTTATGGCCCAACAATTCAGGTTCGTGAAATATTATTTCATTTACCCAGATATATATAGAGTATATCCCCATGATATTCCCATTTTATCATATGTATAAATATATACATAGAGTTATATGAATCAACCCCCAGTTTGGGATGAAACCTATCCATTTCCACGACCACCGCAGCGTTGCGTTGCAAGGTGCTGACTGCAGAAATTGAGAAGAGCGGGTCGGACGCTGAGAAGTGCGCAAGCCCAGAAAGGGGATTGGAGGATTTTCACTGTTGCAATAATATATAAATAGGTATGTATACAATATAATATAATATAATTTGATATAATATAATTTGATATAATATAATATAGTATAATATAATATAGTATAATATAGTATAATATAATATAGTATAATATAGTATAATATAGTATACCTATATAATATGTTGCAATGAATCTTGAACCAACAATTTTTGACAACCTTGACAAGCAGGATCTTGGGTGTGGTGGATTCTAAGCAACCTTCAAGGTTGGAATATCATCATTGCTATTCCTGTATATGTTTACTATCATAAAAAGACCGGAAATCCTGCAATTATGGGGTGCCCTCATACTTGAACTTATCAGAAATCGGGATCCCCAAAACATTCTTTTGCTCTCACCAAGTGACCTAGTTTGGTATCCTCGTTGAAGATGGTAACCTAAACAATGCGGGTATCATCAGGTACCCTCTGATTATTTAACATAGCCATGGTATAGATGGCCCATTTATAGATGGTTTACCTATTAGAAATTGTGATTTTCCATGGCAAACTGTGAATGTCAGAACCAGATGGTATCTCAGAAATCTCCAGAAAACCATGTTCCGCCAGTCTGTTGGTGCACCTTGGAGGTTGCTTGCAGGATTACGCAGGATTGAACATGAAGGTTATGGCGATTTCAATCGAAGCCAAGCACCGATTGCCTGATATCTTTAGGATGGCTGGCATTGCCTGATTCTCTGTAGAATGGCTACTAAACCACAAGAAAATCAAACGATCAGCCAGCAACAATAGTGCCATTTTGTATTTTTTCCCATCAGATGATCAAAAGAATATCTTCGCTCTGCTTGGTATGGCAATCATCCATAACTTGGCACATCCATTTATTCAATGGGAGATCTTCAGGATCCTAAAATGGAGGTACGTTAGTACCATTTTTCAGGCCATATTTTGGTGGGATATTCCCTTACATAGGCCTCAAAAATAGGCCTTATATATGGTAGGTACCTCCAATTTAGGTTCCTGAAATGGCCATTGATTTGTATGTTGGTTATTTGTTTATGCTTTACCAGCCACCATTTTGGTAGGCCATACATCCCTACTTTTGCTGGTTCACCCTCGCATTTCCAAGGCACAGACCTACATATTTTCAACCATTCTTCGCCCAGTATTAAGCCACTATGAAAACCATAAACCGGTGGTAAATCCCCATCAATGGCTGGTAAATCCTCCATGTTTGATGCAAAAAAACGCTATCATTTAATCATTAAGTCATGATCAACCAGAATTAAAACCATTATTAAGCCATCATCAGCCCATTATGAAGGCGGTATTCACCATTATTATTAACAATCATTGATCATTCTTAACCAGTATCAACCATTATCAATCAGTACCAATAAGTATGAACCATTCTCAATCATTATCAATCATCATGAACCATTATCAATCATTATGAACCATTATTAACCATTATTAACCATTATCAATCATTATTAACCATTATTATCTCATGGTTACCTCAATATTCAGCCACCATTTACCATAAATTGCTGCCACCATTTACCGAGGCTGGCAGAGGAGATCGCTGGGCACCTGGCAGAAGTGGAGTCCGTGACGGCGGAGAAGGAGGTCGCCATCCTGGATCAGTGGATGGTGATTTCTCACAAAAAATGGGATAACAATGGTTACCATAGGAAAATGGTGATTTAACCACTATAAATGGTGATTTTCTATGGTTAAGAATGGTGAATAATGGGATGATATGGTTGACAATGATGATTTTTCAGATCAATTTTTGGGGCGTTTCAGCATCAAAGATGGAGGAATTAGCAGGAATTTATGGCAAATGGTGGCTGAATATTGAGGGAACAATGAGACAATAATGGTTAATAATGGTTAATAATGATTGAGAATGGTTAATAATGGTCAATAATGATTGATAATGGTTCATAATGATTGATAATCATTGATAATGGTTGATACTGGTTAAGAATGATCAATTATTGTTAATAATGGTGAATACCGCCTTCATAATGGGCTGATGATGGCTGAATAATGGTTTTAATTCTGGTTGATCATGACTTAATGATTAAATGATAGTTCAGCATCAAACATGGAGGATTTACCAGCGATTTAGATTTAGAACCAGTGGATAAGGTGAAGAGTGGCATTTTGATAGGTTTTTACATGATCCACTGGGGTTTTATAAGTGGATTTTGTGAGGGGTTTTAATTTGAATTTACAGTAAAGGGTTTTCACCTTCAGGTGATCAAACGCTTTAGCCCATAACAACCCATCTACCATGATAAAATGGGTTTTTATCAGGGTTTTATGGGCTTTTAAATGGGTGTTTTAGCAGGGTTTTTACATAATACACTTCGGGAGATTCCATGGGAAAAATCATGAAAACCTCTGAGTTACCTTAATCATCGGTAGGTTCAACAAGTGGGAACTCAAGCATCAGCAATGGGGATTTGGCACCGGTTAATGGTTAATCGTAGCTTAATAGTGGCTGAAAAAACTGAAGAATGGTGAATGTGAAGCATCAACAAAACGGGGATACGTCGGATACGTAATGGTAAATGAGTGGCTCGACCGAAGCCATGAAATGTTCATGGAAGCTGTGTTTTTTTGATGCTTCTAGCTGGAAATCAGGGGATATATATGTTGATATACCCTCTGGTAAATTAACGGTTGGACCCTGAAAATCACCAGTTTTTATAGAGGAAACTAGTCTTCCAACCCCAATGACTGCCAGGGTCTATGTTAATTTACCAGAGGGTATATGATATATATATATATGGCATTTGACGGCTTTGTTTTCTATGAACTTGATGATTGAGGTTGTGAATCGGGAGATATTTTAAGGATATATATATATAATATAGCACAATATAGGGATATAATGTGAGACAACCCACAACAACTATACCATCAGGGTTGATGATTAATACCATATTATTTGAATAGACTGGGAATTAATATCCAACTGAGCCAATGTGATATTCTTGTTCATTGCTTGTTGTTGATGGCAATTTAGCCATTAATTGCTGGCTTAGCTATCATTATAGGTTTTACTGCTTATTTCCCCATCAGTTGGTTGATTTTTTTGGGATACGATGACCCAAAATTCTTCTTGGTTGATGGTTGATTGGTAGTGGTTTGTAGGGTTATGCTGTTATGCTGCCTTGTTTATTGGATATGATCATGACAATGTGAATCCCATTCTCAACCAACCAGTAGGGATGACGAGGCTTTGAACACTGCTGAGTTGTGGAATGGTGAGGATAAACCAGTCACCGTGTGTTTTCGTTGCAACAAACACTGAACAGCCGGGCAGTTTGCTGCCTGGAGACTTGTGACTGATGTGGTCAACTGAGAAAATCACATCCCCAATGTTGCAATTTTTATGGGTGGTAAACATCATCCCTTGTCGGTTTCTGGCGGTTTACCACATATCATATGGTTCATTGCTTGATATTGGGTCCCCCCTATGTCGCCTTCCAAAATGGAGGGATCAACACATTCCACTGCAACGGTTTCGTTCCAGCTGAAAAAATTGACAGTAAGTTGGATTGATATCCCGGTATATTCCCATGATATACCTCATAAAAGGGCTTTAAACATAGCCATATTTTTTTCAATCTTAGCTGGTTGGTGGTTTGGAACATGAATTTTATTTTTCCATATATTGGGAACAATAATCCCATTTGACTTTCATATTTTTCAGAGGGATAGGTCAACCACCAACCAGTTAGGGATTATTACCTCCTGATAAATATCAATGGGAATTTCAAGATCCTAAAATGGAGGTACTGTACCATATAAGGCCATATTTTGTGGGGATATTCCCTTACATAGCCCTAAAAAATAGGCCTTATATATGGTAGGTACCTCCATTTTTTTCGGTTCCTGAGATGGCCAGTGATACGATGAAACCAGTCGAGGACCTCACCATGGTGAATTTTGCTTGGGATCATCCGATTGGGACTCCTGGTTGATCCAAACCTTGGTTGGGTCTACGATTGCTTCGTTTCTAGCCCTGAACGGAGGAATAGCTATCTACAAAATCTAGAAACTCTGTTTGTTCCTCGGTTTCTAAGATTGGCCATGATTTTTGGTGATTGGGTCTGTATATATATATATATATATACACACACACACTGTGTTCAATCCTGTTTTGTGTTTATGATTCCCTAAATCTGATTCTTCTAACATGCAGAATTTCATGAAAGAAGACTTGGGTGACCTGATTTCCAAGATGGTTACCCAGTTTCAAAGGGGGGTTACCTAGATTCAACGGGAATCCCTATGTTTGGTGCACAAGTTGGTGAAGCCAACCACAAGATGTGTGGCCTCACGGCGGCTGGTCGCGTGGCGTGATTGAAATTCGCTGCCCAGTACACGCAACAAAAGGCATGCCTGGGAGAACCCGTTGAAAAACAACGTACCAAAGTTGTTAAACCATTATAAATGTATATATATATATATACTTATATATATATATATATATGTCTACATATCTAGCAATACTTATCATGAAGTCATTTTCTTGCAACCATAGACATAGATATCTCAACCACAAGCCCGATAGTTAAGCCAGTTATCAATCAAGTCATTCCATTTTTCTCCCAATCTATAGATATATTCCCCATTATTTCATGACATACGGTGGATGGTTGCGAAATCCTGCACCGGTTGATAGGTGGTTTATATCATTGTTTATAGGGTTGAAAACCATCCTTTTGGTGACAAGGTGATGCAGGATTTCGCAACCATCCACAGTATCATCCCCATGGTTCGCCTACTATTACCCTCTGGTAAACGTTAACAAAAAGCTATGGAAAATCACCATTCTTCATGGGAAAATCCACTATAAATGGTCATTTTCAATAGCTATGTTACAAATTACCAGAGGGTATCTCCATGATATATATATATATATATCTTCGCCAGGCAGCCAGCAAGGTGCGCGAGACCGAGCGTAAGGACTTCCAAGCCATGTTGAAGGCACAGCGCACAGGGCAGGTTTTTCACGCCATATACCTTAGGTATTTACCCTCTGGTAATTTGTTACATAGCTATTGAAAATGGCCATAGAAATAGTGAGTTTTCCCATTAATAGCATGGTGATTTTCCCATCAGTTATGTTTGACATAACCAGAGGGTAACAAGCCATGGAAGGGGAATGGTGACACAATAAGAATTTGGTGACTGGGATTTGGTGACTCCCTAGGAAAATGATCCTGTCAGGTGGTGGGGCTCCCAAATGATGCCGCGAAATTGGGAGCCAAATCACTCCTCTGGTTGGTGGTGACTGGAACATGAATTGTATTTTCCATTTCATATCTGGGATGTCATCCGAAACCCATTGACGAACTCCATCATCTTTCAAGATGGGCACATTGCACCACCAACCAGTTATTCACCTTATTATCCATTATCCAATGGGTCAATCACCATTTTCAATGGGTAAATCCACTATTTCTATGGCAATTTTCTATGGTATTACCATATGGTTGATACTGTCTATCATGATATACCATACTTGGTGGTTCATCCCACGGCTCGTAAGTGGGTTAGTTCACCCCAATTTTTTTGAGTGGATTAACCCTACTTATCCCATTTATAACCCACTTACTAAGTGGGATGAGTCACCAAGTATGGTTCTGAGTTCCATGGCTTGCTGGATGATTTTCCCAGCGAAACGGACTCGTTGGGAGTTTCCAGCCATGGAACTGATCAACGGATGGTATTTGTCGTTTTCATTGGGAGGTTTCCATAAATGGGGGGTACCCATAAAATGGATGGTTTATACTGGAAAATTCCAATCTAAAGTGGATGATTTGGGGGATAGCGCCATTTTAGGAAAACACCGGTGATAAACCAACAAACATCACTGGGGCACTAGCTTGCAGCTGGCAAGTCACGTCCTGGAGCAGCACATCACTTAAAAGGGCGAAGATTTCGGGTTGCTGCTTGTAGTTTTTCTTCATTCTAAATCATCAAAACCATGGATGTATTTTAAGCAATTGCCCAGATGGATTTGCTGGATGAAGGTTAAGTAAACCTTACTTCGATCTTTAGTCAATATCTAAAATGATGAATGGAAAGTGACAACATTACACATTTAACATTTAAGGAATTTAAGGTTAAACCTGAAGCGGAGCTAGTAACAATACCATCTCCCTAATAATAGTTGCTTAGACCTTTTTTGTGATGACACTAAAACATCACCGTTCTTGATGCTGAAATCACAGTTTGGTGGTCAAATCACTTCTGGCTAAATCAACTGATTGGTTCACACCTCGCTGTTCGAATCCCAAATCAGTTGCCGAAGATTCGCCATTTCGCGTGAAATGCCAAATTGAAGCTGGGCAAATGACTTTTCTTTTGCTGGTTACCATCACCATTTTTTTTGCTCTGGCTCTGTATGATCTTTATGTACCACACGGAGAGTAGGGTCTTATATTCCCACCAGATAATGTGGGATATGTTCGATGAATATCTAGCAGCTCTTTATATAATGTATATATATATATATAATGTGGGTAAAACAATGTCATAAACCATCCCCCAGTCATCACCATTTTGATGGGTGGTCATTCCCAGTCATGGGTGGTTTATGACATTGTTTTTCCCACACTAACTATCTATATGTATATATTAACCATATACTAACTATAACTCATTACTATTAACCCTTATTAACCATATATGATATAGCCATACAATATTATTAACCATATATGATATAACCATATTATATAATTAACCATATATTATAGCCATATAATTTTATTAACCATATATTATAGCCATATAGTATTACTAACCATATATGATATAGCCATATAGTATTACTAACCATATATGATATAGCCATATAGTATTACTAACCATATATTATAGCCATATAGTATTATTAACCATATATGATATAGCCATATAGTATGATTAACCATATATTATAGCCATATAGTATGATTAACCATATATTATAGCCATATAGTATGATTAACCATATATTATAGCCATATAGTATGATTAACCATATATTATAGCCATATAGTATGATTAACCATATATTATAGCCATATAGTATTACTAACCATATATGATATAGCCATATAGTATTATTAACCATATATGATATAACCATATAGTATTATTAACCATATATGATATAGCCATATAGTATGATTAACCATATATGATATAGCCATATAGTATGATTAACCATATATGATATAGCCATATAGTATGATTAACCATATATGATATAGCCATATAGTATGATTAACCATATATTATAGCCATATAGTATGATTAACCATATATTATAGCCATATAGTATGATTAACCATATATTATAGCCATATAGTATTACTAACCATATATGATATAGCCATATAGTATTATTAACCATATATGATATAACCATATAGTATTATTAACCATATATGATATAGCCATATAGTATGATTAACCATATATTATAGCCATATAGTATTATTAACCATATATTACGCACATATGATTTAGTGTATCCTCATTTGGACCACCACGACGCCAGGATTATACGGAGTCGGTGGATGCCATTGGACGTGCCTTGAAGGTCTTGAAGGCCCAGGCGGCAACGGTTCCGATTTTTCTTGGGCTTGGGGGGTGGGCATAGCTTTCTATGATGGTAATGGTCTGAGAATGGTGGAAAACATCCATGAAAAACTCGATTTTTAACATGTTTTTATCATTCTTTAGCACAATAGAACCAGGAATTAGCTTGAATAGCATGGGAATATGATGGGGAATCCCTAGGTGATGGCAACTTTAATGGGGAAACGCATCATTTTGAAGCTGAGTTCTTGCCATAACTTAGGGCTGAACTTTCCTTCAATGTTTGGGGCGAAGATCATCAAAATGATCTTATTTTGGTATATTAGAAACACATAAAAAAGGAATAATATACCAAATTGATATTCCAAGATTATATTATAAACAAACCATAATTATGATCAATTTGGGTAAATTTTATTTTTATTCCAAATCTTATTTTGAATTCGGAATTCACCATCAAAAAACAAAGATATACCATCTGGTTATTTAACATAGCCATGGAAAATGGATGAAAATTACCCATAGAAATAGATGGTTTACCTATTAAAAATGGTGATTTTCCATGGCTATGTTAAATAACCAGATGGTAAAACACATAATAGCAAGGGCATGATAGATTATGATGCGGGGTAGAGCTTTTTCATGAGTGTTGCTGAGGGAGAAATCGAGGTGAAACCAACTGAGGCACCTTCCTAGCTTCAAAATCGATGATGCTGCAGAATGTTACACCATTTGTTTGTTTACCCTCTGGCTATTTAACATAACTATGGAAAATGGTCCATAGAAATAGATGATTTTCCCAGCTAGAAACCTCCATTTATAAGGGATTTTCCATGGCTATATTTAATAACCAGATAGTATTTGTGTGTGTTTTTTTTTTCCCCAAGAATGAGATTTCGCTGTTTTCACCTTGATCTGTTCGCAAGCATAGTCTTAGTAATTAGTATGTTTTGGTCACTTAAGCAACTCAGTTGCTTGACGCGTAACGCAACATTCGGCATTGACCACTGGCATGGCATTTCAATCAAATCGCCAATGGGTCGATCTCAGATCACCACGCAGGGGAAAAATGTGCCAGCAAGACTTGAACGATCGAACAATGCGAGTGCAATGGGAACAGACCCTGATCAGTTAATAAACTATTTTAACTTTTTGGTGGGGCATCTAACATTTGCATACATTTGCTATGGATGCTATGGATATGGTATGGTGATATGAGTTTGTGCTAAGTAGGCTACTATAATTCTGTCGGTTAATAATGATGCTATTTCAGGCGAAACAATGGTATATAGCATATGTATACCCCCAAAATTACGAACCTTGAATCCTATTGTTATTGGATGTTATTGGGATAATAAACCAACCTGGTTACGAGGCTTACAAAACTCATGAACCAAGCGGTTGGCCAACAGTGTAGTCTTCCTATGAAGGGCTTGTCCAAGAAAAAACCCTGGGGCTCCAGCAGATGTTTGATGCTGAACTCCCTTTTGTGCCCTTGGCGAAATCCGTGGCTAAATCCTCTGTTTCTACAATTTTTTGATCATGATATATATATATATATAACTCCTAAATTTGTGAAGGTTAAACATGGTTAAACATGGTTAAACCAAGTGAAATCCTACTTCTTTCCAATTTTTTTTAGGCGTCACGTCGCCTCGCAGGCGGCACCTGCCCTGGTGCAATTGAAATCGCTGGAGCTGCCGGAGCACGCCAGCCGAGGTCGGTTGAGATCGGTCGACGGGGACTCGGGGGGACACCGTTTGAGGTGATACACCATGAGAGTTCAAGCTTTGAGGATGTTTGGAAGATATCCTGATGACAATACTATGTATATATATATATGATATATCTATTTGGAGAATCCCTATCACCTATTGGAGCACCTATCGGAGCGATCGCATCTTCTTGGTCCGGTCGAGGAAATCTCGGTGAGGTCGATGGCGTCCTCCAAAAATTTTGCTGCGACGACTGGGACGCAGATGCCAAGCATCACCCCTTTTGTAATGATCAATGGGTTTAAGGGACAATTTGCAGGAAAACCCCATATTTTTCATGGGAAAATCTATGGTTTCCTGTAAATTTTCCCTGAAACCAATCCATTGAAATGATGTACAGAACAGAATGTCCTCCAAATTTATTAATCCATGTATGCTTAGGATTAGGATTATCAATGGGTTCCTTCTTTTGCAGCAATCTTATAGCATCTGATTATAATTGGACGACATCGTATAACACTAATTTTACTAGTTTTACATATATCCATATATCACTAGTAATAGCAAGATCAAAAATCACACAGTAATAATCCTGGTAGTGATTATAAGTGGATGACATCTGTTATGCTCACTACTTGGAGGATCATCCCACCTAGTAACTGATTAGTAATCCTAGTGAGTGTAAGTCCTTTAAGTGGATTATCCCATTTCTAATTGGGTAAAGACACCACTTACTAACAAGTATGTAACCAGTTACTAACCGGGATGATCTTCCAAGTAGGTTTGCTGCTATCATTGCTGTGATTTGGTCAATGTGATTGGATGATACTTGGATAAAGATTCTTAAGTTGATTAACATGTCAAGAGGGATAGTCGAATGATCATGATTTAACAATTAAGAAACACACCTTCCCCATCCTTTTTTCTTAATTCACAGGGGGATTGACTATGCCATCTATGCATTTTTTTTGACTATCCTCTGGTAATTTGTTACATAGCTATTGAAAATGGTCATAGAAATAGTGGATTTTCCCATTAAAAATGGTGATTTTCCATAGTTTATAGTGGATTTTCCATAGAAATAGTGGAATTTCCCATTAAAAATGGTGGATCTTTCCATAGCTTTTTGTTAACGTTTACCAGGCCGGGTAGCTAGCGACCAAATCCTGCAGGTCTGAATGCGCTTCTGTCAGAAGGCTCCGAGGACGGGAAAACACTCCGGGTGCTGGGAAGGGGGGTCTGCTGACGGTCGTCCAATGTTTGTCACGAAATTACCATGAAATCATATGACTGGTTGGTGGTTTGATGGTTAATGATGGTTAATGATAGCTAATGATGGTTAATGATGGTTAATGATGGTTAATGATGGTTAATGATGGTTAGTCATGGTTAATAATGGTTAATAATCACTGCTTGGTGGTTTGGAACATGAATTTTATTTTCCGTTTCATATCTGGGATATATAATCCTTCCCATTGACTTTCATATTTTTCAATATTTTTCAGAGGGGTAGGTCAACCACCAACCAGATGAAATCTATGGGTTTAAAGAAGCGTCCAACGGGAAGATCATGGGGGACCTGCATCCCACCATATCCCACTTAGTACGTGGGTCACAGACATCAATAAAAAAAATAGTGGATCCTATGGGGAATATCACCAGTTCTACATGGGTTATGGAGAGCCAATGGTGAAAAGGATCCATCATCTTTTTATGTGAAACCCTTATGTGGATTTGTCTGACAATAGGGTACTCCATTCCATCCACTGGCAAAATGATTTGAAACTTCCTAGCATAAAACTTGCATCTATACTAGGTCAATCTTAGAGGGGTAGTTTAATCCTTGAGTCTTTTGGTATCAATAGGATTATCATGGATTATCTACGTTCACCAGCTAATTTTTTTGGCGAGGTGTCTAAGATTGGCCATGTATAGCCCATCTTCAGACACACAAATAGCACGGGAAGACCCTACAAATAGCTGATGGGGGATTGTCCTTGAAGTGGTTGCTACTTCGGGGTGCGACTTTGAAATGTCACCCGATATAAAACTATATAAAGAATGCATAAACCACATTGTATAATTATATATGTGTACAATATACAAAATATCATATATGCAACTGGGGACATTCCATAGATAAGCAGCTTCTAAATTGAGGTTCATGCTGAGTTCAACCAGTGTTTATTGGATCAGCTTCATCCTTCATGAATCATGAAGATTTGACAGACTTTTCATTTCGGTCCCTTCAGAATGGGGACCATCAGTTATAAGTTGGTTTATAAACCATTTACCCTCTGGTAAACTAACGTAACTATGGAAAATCACCATTTTTAATGGGAAATTCCACTATAAATGGCCATTTTCAATAGCTATGTTAAATTACCAGAGGGTATAATCCCCATGAACTATAGTTATATCTACCATACACCATAGAATTCAGCCACTTTTTTTAGGCAACGGTTCACGCTCTCCAACCAACGGGGTCCCCATCCTGGCCAGGAGCAACTTGGAGAGCCCAGCTACGAGTTCCAATCTGGAGGAGACGGAGATGCCCGTTGTGCCGGTGCTGGCGTCTGTTGGAGGATCATCCCAGTGGTTAGTAGCTGGTTATGAAAACTAATCGTTAAAAACCCGGATTTTGCTAAACTCTCTGGTTTATGAAAATTGGGGTACTCCTCCAAGAGTCATTATTTGATACTTTTTTATGGTAGCCGATGAAACAGCCGTAAACGGGGTTTAAAAAAATCCAGTGGTTAGTACTAATCGTTAAAACCCGGAGAGAAGGGATAACCACCCACGATTCATGGGAACAAAAACAAAAAAAACATGCCAAAAATGATACATGGAATCCCCATTGCCCCGGGATAGCTTGATTTATTCTCCTGTTCATTTTAAATGGCATATGGAGATAACCCTTCTCGACAAGAAGTCCTTGCAAATTGAAATCCCAACAGGTGCGTATCCTGTTGATGAAGCTGATACAGCCAATATTAGCGCGTTTCATTTTTTTGATTGGTTTCTCACCAAGATATCTAGAGGATTTGAGTGATACAGACCATCTAAGGAGGATTTTCTCATTACATAACATACCCTGTGGATCATCTATATGGGTCTGTCTGAAAATAGGGTACCCGCTAAATTGCAAGAATTTATGTAGGGTTCCCATTTTCACACAGATATTGTAATATTGCCTATATAACTCTCCATATCTGGGACCCCTTCAACCATTTTGACATCCATTGTATCATCAATCACATAATATGTTTCTGCTTACATCTGGGATTATCTATCTATGTATCTATCCATCTATATATCTATCTATCTATCTATCCATCTATATATCTATGTATCTATCTACCTATCTACCTATCTATCTATCTATCTACCTATCTACCTATCTACCTATCTACCTACCTATCTACCATCCATATAGTGAGTGTCATAGCTTTTCCTCCAACATGCCGTTGATTTCCCTAAAAAGAACCAGGCGTCGTGGCGATGCTCCAGAAGTTGGAGGACAAATTCCTGGAGGAACGGCTGCAGTTGGAGAAGGCACCCCGGGCACCGGTGGCGTGGCGTTTCCCAACGGGTGGAGGGAGATGGCGACAACGGCAGCATTAAGGGTAATTAAACCGTAAAAAATATGGGTTTGTCTGAAAATAATTGGTTAATGATCATTATCCCTATTAAACCCAATGGTTAATGATCATTATCCCTATTAAACCCAATGGTTTTGCTGATCATTATCCCTACTAAATGGCTATTTGTTTGGGAATATACCCCATTTTCAGACATACCCATATGTGTATTTAAGCAGGATGAATTTGGGATTTCGCCAGCAACCATTTGGGATATAATATGTGAATATATGTGATATATGGCTGGGCCTTGAAATTCACCCTTTTGCTCATTGAATATGGGCCAAAAAAATTGATAAGGAATGGTTGAGACCAGTATTTTACTACGCACTGACGCATGTGGATTGGTAAAAAAGCGGATGAAGTTAAGCTACCTGGTTTATTTGTGATGCTTATACCCTCTGGTAAACGTTTACATAGCTATGGAAAATCACCATTTTTAATGGGTAAATCCACTATAGATGGCAATTTTCAATAGCTTTTTCATGGTGGTTTCGGTTCGGTTCGGTTCGGTTTCGGTTTCTAGTATTTGGTATAGGCCCGGTTCGGTTCCTGTTCGGTTTCGGTTCCTGCGGTTCCTGGTTGATTTCGGTTCGGTTCGGTTCGGTGTTTGGAACATTCTGCATTGATATTTGCTTTTTTTCCGGCGTCGGAAAAGCAAATACAGATTGCTTCCCGCAAGAGGTTTATAGCTCAGGCCTTTCTAGGTGCTTGAAAGCCATGTCGAGGATGTGCCAGGCCCACTTGTTGCCTCCATGCTTGCGACATCCCGAAATCCTTCTTGCTGTGGGCATTTCATTGCATGGCCTTCCTGAAATGCCACCTCAGCCCGAAGTTCCAGTTGACACTTGTGAGGAAGGGCAGTTAAGGAAGAGGGGCCGCCCCAAGAAGAATGAGCAACGGTTTGTTTCTGGCGATGGCCCGAGACAAAGCCAGCGTCGGCAGGTCAGAGCTGCAGAGCATGGTTTGAAAGTTTGAAAGTTGGAATCTAGTTTGGTTTTGGTAACGCATGGAGTTTCAATCCGTGTCTTATTAGAGCACACTTCCCAAAAAATGTGGGGTTCCTGTCTTCAACGGCTGCCTTCACAGGCTGAATATGAGATAGCGCTACTCCAGAGCGATTCCTCCATTACGTGTTGTTTGAAATCACCTTTCTCTGCGGAAGTGAAAGAGTTGCTGAAGACGCACAGCAAGGTACAGAGTTCCAAAAGTTGTGGGGATTTCAGGGAAGTTTTGTTTTTGCTTTTTCAGAAGCGTGAAAAAAACAAATCAGAGGGATTCTTTTATCCCTTCCTTTTGTCACCTTGTTTTCCGACCCTTCCCCAGCCCGCTCTCTCACCCCCTTTTCCTTCCCCTTCCTCGCCTCTCTGGGGGTGCGTGTGCTGGTGATCCACGTCCCTGCCTGGGGTGGTGTCCCACGGCATGGGGTGCGTGCGACCCAGCCACGTCCCCAGCTCCACCCCTTTTCCCTCCCTTCCTCCCCTTCCTCGTCTCTCTGGGGGTGCGTGTGCTGGTGATCCACGTCCCTGCCTGGGGTGGTGTCCCACGGCATGGGGTGCGTGCGACCCAGCCACGTCCCCAGAGTCTCTCTCTCTCTCTCTCTCTCATTTGTATGTATGTATGTCTGCATGTATATATATATATATATATATTTACATATATATATATTTACATACATATACATATATATATATATATACATATATATATATATAGATAGATAGATAGATAGATAGATAGATAGATAGATAGATAGATAGATAGATAGATAGGGGATATGCATATATATATATAAATAATATACTATTTGAATATGTATATAGAGGGTATGTATGTGTATATATATATATATACATATAGAGGGTATGTATGTCGGCTGAATCCTTTCTAAAACATCAGAGCGGTGCTCACATGCGGTCAGGATTTTCCAAGAGCAGACGGCGAAGAGCCGGTGGACTTAAAGATTTCTCGACCAGCTTTGTATCTTCTCCAGCGTGCTGTGGAGAGCTATGGAGTGCAGCTGATGCACAAGGTGAACCTGTTGGCAAAGCACCGCAAGGCGCAGACGGTGGAGCTCCGCGATTTGCGAGCACTGCTTGCTTTGGAGGCAGCCCACGAAGGCATGGTTACCCCGGCTTCGTCCAGTTGCTGCGGCTTGAAGAAGGCCCGAAAGTCTTGAAGCTGAAGGGCTAGGGTCCATGTGCGGCATTGAGATTAGCCTTTTTTTGCTTTTGTTTGTACAACAAGTTGCGAAGGATCGGCTTGTTTGTGGGGAGACTCTTGACTTGACAGTCAAGCCATGGAGAGCTCTGAGGAAGAAAACATGCCTAGACATGTACGGAGGACATGGCAGTTCTTGCTTTTTCAAAGGGCCAGAGAAAGCAAATCCAATCGGTTGGTCAAGGATTTGTGTTTTGCGTTTTTGAAGGGTCAGAGAAAGCAAATCCATCTCTTGTCTGTGCAGATTGATTTTCTGGACATGGCCAGCTCGCGAATGGTCTGTGTGCGTAGTGATTAGTGCTAGATCACAAATAGAAAGCAGCAGATTGACTTGCATACCATTTGGCCACTTGCAAGTGCCTGTGAGCCCTGCGGTTCAATCATCAAAAGCTGCAGGCCACCCCACGCAATGTAGTTTGAATCCTTGACCTCGCTGTTGCTATGTCCTTTGCTCACGAGTATTTCCATGCGAAACGAGCAGAGACAGGGCATCTTCGTTTCTGCAAGATCTGTGCACCAGAAATCCCTCCTTTGAAGGACGTGCTGGCTGCGAAAGATTCAGGGAAGAATTTGACCAAAGAGTTTCTCAAGTTTGGGGCGGTGCAGAACGATGCCAGCACCAGTGCGATGGTCAACCATCTACGTCTGAAGCACCCAGAGACTCTCCCCAGCGGAACTCCTGTGAAACGGAAAAGCAGCGCAGATGATGTTCAGACCACGCCCAGAGACAAAACGCTCTGCAGAGATTGGGTAGAGCATATGCTTTTTGCTGCCTTAGAACCTGCCAGACTGGTGGAGTCCAAACATGCAAAAGCAGTGCTGGTTCCTCACATGGGTCCATTGCCAACCCGCAAAGAAGTCACGCGTGAAGCTGACCTTGCTGTGAAGGATATCGAACAAGAGGTGGTCCAGATAGTCAAGGAAAGTTTGGAAGCTGGTGCAAAATTCACGCTGTCTGCGGATACGTGGAAGCCAAAGGCCAAAAAGAGGAAACATTTTTTGGCTATGTACTTGAACTTCATTTCTCCGACCTGGGAGCCTTGCAGCCTCTGCGCTGGCGTTGTGGAAGCACCTCCTCCTCGCACAGGACTAAGCTCCAGATGTTTATAATTGTTTCTTTTTTGTGGGAGCAGGGTTGCGTATTTGCTTTTTGGATATCCTCAAAAAAGCAAACCTGTGCTGAAGCGTTTCTGGTGCAGGACAAGCATATACGCAGCACTTCCAGACACTCTTGAAGGGCATGGTGTTGAGCACTTCAGATCTAATTGGTGCCTTCTCCGACCATGAGTCGGCAATCAGAGCTGGGCTACGGGGGTTGGAGTGCGCTTTGATAGGATGTGGAGCTCATGCGATACAGCTCGCCATCAAACATGCTGTCCCACCTTTACGTCCTCCCCGCAAAGCGGCTAAGCGGCAGCAACGTGGAACATCCTCATCTTCGTCTTCGGACACCAGCAGTTCCAGCAGCGGCAGTGCCTTGGTATTCAAGACATGGTTTTCTTTTGTATTCTAAAATCCAGAGCACTGGTCTTTGCAGCTGGTACCTTGGACCGCTTTTGCTTTTTTGGGCGTTCAAAAAATGCAAATCAGGCTCTTCCTCATCTAGTGACAGAGAGGGCGGAGCCGGTGCAGCGCCTCAGGCCGCGGCAGAGCGCAAGAGGCCTGGGAGAAAGATCGACCCTGAAGCAGCTGAACTGCGCGCAAGTCTGGAGCGTCCTTTCAAGAGGCCAGGAAGAAACGATTTGCGTTCAATTTTTCAAACCTGTTGGTATAGCTGTTGGGGCGATGTTTTCTATATCGACACCCATTCTCAAAGCAAGCAAGCAGCTGACAGGTACCGGGCTATCGCAAAATTTTTTGCCCACAGAGAAGATCAATACACTTTCTTGGAACAGGAGGCACAAGCGGCATCCTTGCCTTTCGTTGCATACAAATATGGGACTCCAACTCGATGGTCATCATGCTTGCTTCAGCTCATCTCGGTACTGCAGAACAATCCAGCACATGCTTTGCTAAGGCCTGTTGGAACTCTGGACACTTTGTTGTGCAAAATCTGTGCTGTTTGTGAATTTGAAGTTTGGGCCTGTGTCATCTGCATGTTAACATATTTGCTTTTTTCCCCGGCCCAAAAAAGCAAATCTGCACAGAACAGACTGTTTTTCCGTTTTCTTCCCTGGGCAGGTCGAAGCGGAAAGTCGACGGACCTGCAGAATTGGACAGGAAGGAGATCCAGGAAGCAGTCCAGTTATGTGCTGTGCTCGAGCCGCTGCGACTGGCCACCAAACTTGTTGAAGGGGAAGAAAGAGCTCCTGCATCTCTCTATTTGCCTTTGTTTTTCCAAACGTCTGAAACTTTGAAGAAACGGAAGGGAAGCTTGCCTTTGCCAAAGGAGCTTCGAGAAAGGCATGGGGCTGCAGTGCAGATTTCCAACTTGCTCCCTCTCCCTGACAAACTTCGTGATTTTTTGAGCAAGGACATCCAAGCCATTCGAGCCAAGCACCTGACAGGGACTACAGGGGACGACCTTCTAGCGGCATCCACATTTCTTGACATTCGATTCCAACAACATGACCTGTGGAAGAGTTACTTATCAAAAGACACTGTGCAGAAGTCGGTTGCTCACATGGCATTTGAAGCTTCGAGCCAGTACCCGAACTTGATAGCTCGTCTACAGAAGCAAAGTGACGACCCCATGAACTGGAGTTTGGCTGCTCTTGGAGAGTCGGCTGCTGGCAAAGCCAAAGCTCGAGGACGTGCAGCTCGCGGACGTGGCCGTGGACGAGGTGCGGGCAGAGCTGCATCCGCCAAATCACAGCCACGCACGGCTGCTGAGGTTGTTTTGCAAACAGCTGCCGCCCCGACCGGGCAACGTGTCCAAAGACGGCTTCGCGAGCAAACCTCAGCTGAAGGTTGGCTTTTCGGTTCTGCGCCAAAGGATGGTGGAGAGACAGAACAAGCTGTCCTTGACGATGTGCAATCAGTGTCTCGGAATGATAATTGCTGATTGAATACCATTGTTGACTTTGTCCGTTTTGTTCTGTTTTTTTGCGCGTCGAATAGAAATGACGGACGTGTTTCATATTGGCTCATCTGGGTTTTGCTTTTTTCAGCCTCTCAAAAAAGCAAATCAGGTGAAGAAAGCCATTGAAGAGGAATTGATCGTTTACGGCCGTCTCCAAATGCCACTGCAATTTGATGCTGGACCTTTGAAGTTCTGGCGCATGCATTCGTGCAAGCTCCCCTATTTGGCCGCACTGGCTTTTCAAATTCTGGGAATTCCAGCTTCCACTTCGCAAGTTGAACGTTTGTTTAGTGCAGCGGGCCGGGCCATTGGGCGCCGGCGTCCGCGACTCAGTGCCAAAAGAGGAGCACAGATTATATATGGCCATGCAAATGTCACTAGAGGAATCACGGGCCGTGCGTTTCACGAGCAGCGGCTTTCAAAGAGCGGAGAGAGCTGAACTCGGGAAAACCAAAGCTTCCTGAAATTGTCAGTGCATGCAAGTTATTATTGAAGAATCCCATATTTGCTTTTTGCATTGAACTCAAAAAGCAATTACAATTTTTCCAATCAGTTTATTGGGAAAGGGTCCCGAAGAGGGTAAGACGGTTCCGGTTCCTCCGGTTCGGTTTTGTATACGGTTCCAGGGGTTCACGGTTCCTACAGTTCGTAAACTATTTGATTTTCTACGGTTCGGTTCCACGGTTCCGGTTCGGTTCCAGAACCTTCATGCTTTTTGTATGTTTACCAGAGGGTAATCCAATTCGTAGGGATACCGTTCTTAGGATGTTCTTAGGCAACCAGTACAACGAGATGGGAAAACCGGTGTTTAAACTTTTATGGCTCCACTGAGCCCAGGATTGTTAGCTCGTCATTTCGCTTGCACTCGCCGGCTTTTTTCTGGGTAAATTATAACGACCTCACTGCGACCTCACTGGGAATCATGGTTAGTAAGGGGAATCATCCCCAAATGGCCTTAATTCAGGTTAGTGAAATATTATAATTTACCAAGTTTTTTGACATCACATGAATAAGGGAATAGGATATGGCCATGGGTCAAGATATGCCGATCCATTTTTTCGCAAATGATCATCCAGTCCCTCCAGAGTTGAGACATCGACAGCTGCGAAACTATGAAGGTGTAAAAATTGCAGTTTCCTGCAAGATTTCCTTTTCACACATTTCCATTGTGTGGCTGGCAGTGAGATCGGGGCCAGCGATAGGTTCGTATCAGTAGCCCTCTTGCTTAGCTGATCTCAGCTGAGGTAAATGTAGGTGGGATAGAAGCTGAAGAAATGGAGCGTTGAATGGTTGTTGATTTTTTTCTTTGTGTGGGTAATGTTTTAGCCAATTTGATAGAGGAACAAATTGGATGTAGAAGAAACAGCTTAATCATGGGGACAGTCAGACAAATCGATATTCTAAGGGCATACCGCCATACCCCTTCTCGGACACTTTCTTGACTATATCGATCACTAGACCTTCTTTAGAAGGCAACATATATTGATATAGTACTACTTAGTTGGGCAATGTAGTACATATGTACGTATATATATATATATAGATACACATGTTTCTCACATTCTAAACTGCTGCTGTATTGATGTTTCTCGTCCCATGTTTGAATTGTGCGGTCCAACCACCAACCACGACACAATTGGAAAATGGTGTCGATAATGTAAGAGTACCACAAACTATCGATTATTCATTCACACACCCGTATCTATAGACATTTGATTCTTGGTTGTGGGTTGGGTTGTGATTGCTTGCAAAAGGAAAAGCAGCAGTAGAAGCAGTGCGTGTGGTTCTGGGTCTATTTCTTTTGCTGTGTGTCGTTTTGATTGTGTTTGTGCTGATTTTTACCCAAAGTAGGTCAGTTCTGTTCTAGTTGTGTTTGTCAAATCATGTCAAATCCAAACAATATCCAATCAGAACTTGCAATAGCAGTAGCATTATCATTATCATTATAGTCGTCGTTACTGTCTCAATCTTTTCAAAAGTAGTAGTTGTACTAGCAGCAGCATCAGTAGTGGTAGTGGCAGTGGTAGTGGTTGTTGCTGCGATCGTTTGAACATCAAATTTCAGAAATCGCCCTGTTTTTGCCCAACTGCTTAACTCTGGATAAGATATCCACATATGTAAATATGTATATATAATTATATACATATGTATGTCACCTATGAAAAAGTCATGGTGGAATGACCATAAGCCCAGTGCCGCAGGATGAGACCTCCAAGAAGAATGCCTTTGATCTGCTGGCGGCCACCTTGACGCGCAAGATCGAGCAGGTGCCCAATTAACAAACGGTGGGGTTTCGATGATCAGACATGGGCTGTTACCCTCTGGTAAACCTACAAAAAACTATGGAACATCGCCATGCTATTCATGGGTAAATCAACTATTTCGACTGGGCCATTTTCAATAGCTATGTTTGTTTACCAGAGGATAGTTAGGGTTGATGATTCAATATTTTTTGTGGTTTCAATTCTTGCTTGATGTTTAACCATAGAAATGTGATGATAATGCCAACTGACCAGCATATTTGTAGTGGAGTAGTGGGGGTTTAAACCATCAACCAATTTCATGTGATTTTGCCAGCAAAAATGGATGATTTTTTTGAGTTGTCCCTTTGGTGCTCTGATCTGGCTTGCTTTGGTATCGCAAGCCAGGTTTCTACCCCTCCTTTGTTGTGTTATCAGACATGCTTGCCCCCTTTTTTCATCAAACATAGCAATATGAAACATCCCCCATCGATGATTCTCCCAGAAACCCTCTGGTAATTTAACATAGCCATGGAAAATCACCATTTTTTATAGGTAAACCATCTATAAATGGGCCATTTTCATCCATTTTCCATGGCTATGTTAAATAACCAGATGGTAGAAACCTCCAGCCATAGTTCAGGATTTTCCCAGCCACGACGCCAGAGGGCAATCCGCCATGAATCCCTCAAAAAATTCCCATGCTGACAGCGCCAAGTCATGAGGACTTTTTTGCAACTCAAGAAGCCCTATGTTTTCATGTTGCATGAGAAGCTTCAGAACCAAAGATGTTGGGTAAATGGAAAAATGATCCGGTTAGATGATGTTAGATGATGTTAGATGATGTTAGATGTAGAACTGGTGAACTGGTTTCAAATAACGGGCCAAAATCCTGAGACCAAGATGCTGCGAGAGTCATGGAACATGTGACATGGCGGTTTGAAAGGTAAATCATTTAGAAATGGGCAAGTGTCCATGGCCATATTGAGTTTTTTTATCATTGTGTAATTGAGGTACTTTATGTTACTTTCCACATCTTTCATGGCTTATAAATAGCATTTTGAAAGGGAACGTGATGAAAAAAACCCTGTGTTTGGCCAACAAATACGCTCGCGGATTTAAGCAACCGACTTTAGGGGATTTATAGGGATTTATAGGGATATCACGGATACATAGTGATGTATTACTATGTACCCTCTGGTAAACTAACATAACTATGGAAATCACAATTTTTAATGGGAAAACTCACTATTTCTATGGCCATTTTCAATAGCTATGTCCAGAGGGTATTTATATAACCAACTTCTGAAGGTTGAATGAGGTTTAACCAGCAGAAACAGGGTTGACCCATCAAAAAGGCAAGTGATATCCACAAGGAGAAATAGGTCATTTTACCCGTTTATTTACCCGGTTTTCTTTGTACTTGGGGTGTTGGGAGCAATCTTGCAATAGGGAACCATGATTTTCACACAATGTTCCATCTTCGGACAAAACCATAGTATGGTTTATATGTTCCCATTTAAATCCCATTTTAAATCCTATATTTTTGGTCATATCACACAATGATCCCATGATTTCGTTCTACACCGTCACGTTCCGACAGTTTGAGCCTCGCTGACGGCTCACTGGCTCCACATCTAATGGGGGGGAACCCCAATAGCTGGCTGGCTGTCTGATTTATTTCATTGAAAATCCCAAACAAAAATGGATGAGAAGTGGGGGTGGCCCTATGGATTGGAAACCTCCAAGAGCCTTGACCTTTGTGCATGGCTTGCATGCTGCATATCTGTTGCGTGCCTCGTACATGCTGGAGTGCACTCCACGTGTGGAATGCTTCCTGAAGTGGTCCATTACAGTACTTGAACTTGTCTGGGTAAATTATAACGACCTCACTGCGACCTCACTGGGAATGATGGTTAGTAAGGGAAATCATCCCAATATGGCCTTAATTCAGGTTAGTGAATTATTATAATTTGCCCAGACTAGTCTGCTCAAACCATGGGCGTTAAATCTTGCACCTGGAAGCTTGGCCAGCTCGTCGCAGGTGGCTAATCCTTCCGTTATGGCCTGCTACCCATGTGGGTGATACCATCCCCAACTGGTCCTTGTTGATGGCATTGGGTAAAGCACATTGGCCATATATATCAGTATCTCCCAGAATTATGCCATTGTTATATCCCATAATATCCCATAATTACCTCCATTGACTAGCGAACAATTACAATTCTTCGTATAATACCATTATAGTAACCAATATTTGTCAAAAATTTCACAAAATATCCCAGAATTATCTTCATTACCAACCATGATTTGTCAGCGTTGTTCTTCCCAAAGAAGTTTCTTCAGCGTTATCCGCTGTTCACCGCTTGCGTCGAGGCCACGAAGGAGCAGCAGCAGAAGGAGGGGATCAAGGCCACCATTTTTTATGGGGTGGATTCGGAGCGAAAAATCCAGAAAGTTTTTGGATGGTTTGGTGCCTCAAATTCCACCAAAATTGATGATTCTGGGTAAATTATAACGACCTCACTGCGACCTCACTGGAATCATGGTTAATAAGGGAAATCATCCCCAAATGGCCTTAATTCAGGTGAGTGAATTATTCTAATTTACCCAGAAAATTGATGATTTGATGATATATCATGATATATCCCATGATATCAGATTATATTCCATGTTTTGCATATGTTTTCAACCCAACTTGAAGGCAGAGTCATTGTGTTTCTTCGCCGTTTGTTTGCTAAGTCACTTAAAGGCTGCTAGGCTAATCGTGGTGACATCACCGCAAACAATTTCAACCTCGAATACTCTTTGGTAAATCACCATGTTCAATAGGTAAATCATCATCAACTCCATGTATCACTGGGTATCACTGTATCACTGTATAATAAATCATAATCATCAATAGGTATCACTGTATCAATGGAGTTTTTTCATCTATTTTCCATAGGCCACAGCCATGTTAAAGAACCAGAGGGTACCATTTGGAAGTCCAAAACCTGCTGGTTAAACCTTGCTTGGGTTGTTTGTCGGGCTTCAATTTTACCATGAACAAGGACCACAAAAGATAGAAGGCAGAACCAGCTTACGAATCTGGTTGGATATCTTACAATCTGATTTTGCCAGAACAATATATCAGAATCGCTATTATTCTTTACGGATTACAATGATGACCAAGTTAAACTTGTTTCGTGTGTTGGAGATCTAACAACATCTATGTTGTGTGTCTTACATTGTTGGGAAAACCCTCTTTCATCGACTTGCTCGATCCTCATTTTCAGTTTTTTTCAATGGCCCCTTTCAAGGGCCTTGGATTGCTATAAACTGAAAGGTGGGGCCCGCCAGGTATGTCCGTTGGTTTAAAACCTCCATTAACTAAGATATCTTTTACCTAGAAGAGGTATCATGAAAAATATGGTTGCCACTGCCAAATGCCAGGCCCTAAACTTTAGGGCCTGACATTTGGCTACAGCAGCCATAATTTTCATGATACAAGGTGATGCACTCCAGATATGTTTGTTGGTTTATAACCACATCATACCACATCTAAGTATAGTTTCAATCACAATCACCATAAACCATACTTAAACCAGTCATTTGCACCACGCTAAGCAACTGGGGCACCACCTTGTGGGGGGGCTCCCCTGACAGGCGAAGAAGCTGCACGACAAGGCAGACCAACGGCTGGATGGTTTCATGGGGAATTGTGGGGATATAACCAGTGTGAGTTTGAGATCATTTAGATCCTTACACCATGTTCCTTGTCGTGGGTTTCGGTTCAAACTACCCTTGAGCTGTTGGTTGCAAAAACGGTCTCCCTAGCGCAATTCAAAGCAGCAATAATGGGGTAGACGAAAAATGGGGAAATCGTTGACATCACTGGGGAACCACATAGCCTCCCACCAACAGTAGTGAAGGTTGGTCGGAAACTCCCAAGAGAGGTGACGGGAATAATGAGATAACATGGATTTCAGGCGAATAATACCAACTTGATATATGATATTTTGGTGTGTCTGAAAATGGCCTGTACCCCAAATGACCATCAGACAATGGGAAACATGATTTTGAAATACTTTGAACCACCTGGTTTTCCGGTAATTACCATATTTTGAGACAAACCCATATGCCTTAGAACATGATTTCCCTGTGCATTGTCCTAAAAAGGTTGGGGTTCCCCTTGACATTTTGGACACAAGAAGAAAAAGTAGCCACCCATGATTGGCTGAACATGGGATCAACAAGTTGACTGACTTTCTGTCACATCATTCTACATGTGTAATGTTTTGCACATGTTTTTTTTTCTGTATTCTGAACATTCGATCATGTTTCTCCTAGAACGAGAGATTTTCAAGTGCCAGGTTCGATGACCTCATATATAGCTGCCTGCATACTTCAGAGATTCGATAGGATTGGGGGGGTAAATGAAATAAGGCTTGCGATACATCATGGATGATTTATTGGTGGGTGCAGTATAGGCTATATCCCCAATGTTACTGGCTAAACATCTCCCCAGTTTTCTTCACTGGCTCAACCAACTCGATGGGTGCTTTAATGCCTGAAAAATCAACATCTTTTGCCATATATGATGGAAAATGGTAGTAACAAATCATCACAATAGTTTGCCACCAATGGGAATACGAAACCAAAACCTATAATCTAGCCTAACATAACCACATCTAACCATAACTAACCATATCCAACCATAACTACAATGTGAGGCCCCCCAGTTATAAGTTGGTTTAGATTCGCCCCAGTAACTAGTTCGTTATAAATACCATAAACCATAGTGACATTGGAGTTATGTTCACCAACTGAACGCTATCTTGGGGGCCTCACATTGTATGTTTGTGTTTTTTTCCCCACCTGCCAGGTGAGGGTTGTTAGATTTTATGTCAGTTGCCTCCTCCTCCTGCTCCTCCTGCTCCTCCTCCTCCTCCTGCTCCTCCTCCTCCTCCTCCGCCTCCTCCTGCCTCGTCCTCCTCCTCCTCGTCGTCCTCGTCGTCCTCGTCGTCCTCGTCGTCAACTGCGACCCGCGATCCACAGTGTTCTCTGCCGGACCTCAACCACGACCATCCACGCCCAGTGTTCCCTGCCGGACCTCAACCACGACCATCCAGCCCACCCTGCCGGACCTCAACCGCGAGTATCCCCGCCCAGTTTTCCCTGCCGGACCTCAACCACGACCATCCACGCCCAGTGTTCCCTGCCGGACCTCAACCGCGAGTATCCACGCCAAGTGTTCCCTGCCGGACCTCATGTAGGAAGATATGGGACAAAGAATGTGCAGAAGAAAGTTAGAAAGAATGTCAGAAAGAATGTCAGAAGATATGCCAGAAGATATGCCAGATAGAATGCCAAAGAGAATGCCAGATAGAATGCCAGAAGATATGTCAGAATATATGCCAGAAGATATGCCAGATAGAATGCCAGATAGCCAGAAGATATGCCAGATAGATATGCCAGAAGATATTCCAGAAGATATGCCAGATAGAATGCCAGATAGAATGCCAGAAGGTATGCCAGATAGAATGCCAGAAGATAGAAGATGCCAGATAGAATGCCAGAAGAATAAGATATGCCAGATAGCCAGATAGAATGCCAGAAGAATGTCAGAATGCAGATAGAATGCAGAAGAATGCCAGAAGATATGCCAGAAGATATGCCAGAAGAATGCCAGAAGAATGCCAGATAGAATGCAGAAGATATGTCAGATAGAATGCCAGAAGATATGCCAGATAGAATGCCAAATAGAATGTCAGAAGATATGCCAGATAGAATGCCAAATAGAATGTCAGAAGATATGTCAGATAGAATGCCAGAAGATGTGCCAGTAAGAACATGTATAAATGTCATGGTGGGGATCACACGAAGAAAAGTAATTTAGTTAATTGATGTTCACCCATCATCATCAACCATTACCGGCCTGACTATAGATTCGCCATGATTTGTCCATCATAAACTAACTAACCATAACTAACATTAACTAACCACAAAAAAACAGGTCATGGGGTGTCCCAAATTTGGCCCCAGCTTCTTGAAGGCTTCTGCCTCTGGAGATCTTTCCGAAACGAAGGCCTGGCAAAAAGCCGGATCTTCCCACGATGTCCGAAACGAGGGGGATTTCATGGTGATTCCCTAAGAAAACCATACGAAAATAGTGGTAAACCATAGGAAAACCATAGGAAAATGGTGATTTAACCACTATAAATGGGGATTGAATGGTGATTTGTTGTGGTTTAACAATGGGTTAACAATGGTGAATTTCATGGGATGATATCGGATTTACCGGTAATTTGTTACAGTTAGCTATGGAACATGGCCGTTGAGTTCATTGATTTACCTATTAATTCGATGGTGATTCTCCATAGCGAACTGTTAGTCATAACCAGAGGGGAAATGATGTGACCAATAGAAGTTGGGCTTATCGTGGGCATAACATGGGAATGTAATGGGATATACCCTCTGGTAAACATACAAAAAACTATTGAAAATCACCATTTAGTTCGTAGATTTTCCCATTAATAGCATGGTGATTTTCCATGGCTAAACGTTTACCAGAGGGTAGATGGGGATACGACCAAAGATGATTAGTGGTTGGCAATCATAGTTGTGACCCCTTTGTATGAGGTAACCCCACTTAGGAAACTTCTTAACCAGGGTTTTTTCGGTACCGGTTGCTACACAGAATGATCCTCCAAGCAGTCGGGGATCAGTTGAGTTTTGCTCACAGTTATTGAGAGCCACCAAATGGAGGATCAAGAGTCCAAAAGAGGGACCGTCTCGGTCTCGGGTGGATGTATGCAGTTTTGCTTTCTCCCTCCCTCCCGCTATATAGATATATTGATATATATACATAGCTGGCGATTATTGTTCAATTTAGGGTGCAAGCTATGATCAAGCTGTTTTAAGATCAGATGCTCCAGCCATTTTTGGGGAGTCATCCTCTCCATAGCCTGCCGTGGCTGGTAGAGGTCTTTTCTGAGGCTCCGGGTTGGATGAGAAATGTGGCATACCCGGCATACCGCAATATTTACCCTACTTGGTGGCTCATCCCACTTAGTAAGTGGGTTATAACCCCAGTTTTTTGAGTGGATTAACCCTACTTATCCCATGTAAATCACTGGGGTTATAACCCACTTACGAGCCGTGGGTAGTTCGCCACCAAGAAGACTAAATACACAAAAAGATGTGAAAAACCAATGGTTTCCTTTCGGGGATGGTAAATTAGCCCAAAAAAATCCCCCAAATTTTCCTGATTCAATGCTCATTTTGTGAGTTATGTCACTTAGCCCAAGTTTATCTTGGTTAATCTTCATTGTTGGATAATCTTCATGTTTGGTTTTTGTTTGGTAAATCTACCCTCTGGTAATTTAACATAACTATGGAAAATCACCATTTATAGTGAAATTTCCCATGAAAAATGATGATTATCGCACAATCCACATTTTGCGTGGTGACACACTGCCGGCCGGTTGTGCCACCGCAGGTTGGGCTGAAGACCGTCGGGAGCCCATTTTGGAGTCGATGAGTTGCTAAACACGCGGATGTTACCCTCTGGTAAACGTTTTACATAGCGAACTGGAAAATCACCATTTTCAATATAATGGGAAAATCAAGGAACTTTCGACTGGGCCATTTTTTATAGCTATGTAACAAATTACCAGAGGGTATTGGATGTTCATGAGAAACAAGTTGGACATCGCCCAGGAATGGGGGATTTGACCAACAAGTTGATGGGGGATTTGACCAAGTGCGGTCGTTTTGTCAACGGATTGAAGAAGTCAAGCCACGGAAACGTATGGCATCTTTGACCAGGATTGGAAAATCTAGCTATTTCAATGTGGACCATAAATCATCAGCAATATTGTTGGGTATATCATGGTATATCCCGGATATATCCCTATTTGGGATGATGTTTAAAATGAGCCTAGTTGGCTAATGCGATGGTTTATTTCTTGGTTTACCTCATGCCTCCTTATTCACATTCACGCAATGGTATTCTTGGCCGGCGCCAGAAAGGTTACAGCCTGCGCCATTAAAGGTTCAGAGATGGGACACGAAGTTCTCCAACTTGTTCGGTGAAACTATCCTCGCAAGAAATCGCGTGAGAATAGCGTCATGTTGGGTCCTAACTGTGACTGCACACTGGCTACTGACACTAATTCGATCGCAGAAACAACTACCAGATCGAAGCAGATCCCTGGTTACATGACCAGCAAGATGGAGCTGGTAAACCAACCGTTTGAGTTTGTTGGCCCTCTTTTGGCAAAATTAATTGAGGTATTAGAGGTATACATATATATATATTATTCATATGAACAACTACATATTTTGTGGTCTGCATCGTATCAAGCCGATCAAGCCATGATGCCATGATAGCCTCACTTCAGATACAGATCTACTTTGACTACTCTGCGGTTTCATTTAACCTGGCAGGGGGAACTCTCTTATCTCTAGATGATTTCAATCTTGAAAACAGTTGGATTTTCCAGAAAGCCATGATTACCTACCAAAGGGCAATTGGTTCATTGGATATTAGCCATATGTATATATGTACATGTATGATCATGTATGTACATCGTACATATTTTAAGCCTGATATATATATATATATATATTGTTAAGTAGAAATCCAGAATTGCCTCCAAACAGAAACACTTGGTCACCTAGGCCAACTGAACATGGACAATGTGAGTCAAAACATATAAATCCCTGCGGTAAAATTCAGAAAGACATGTGGAAAACCATGAAAAATGTCAGATGTCTCCCCAGAGAAATGATCTGCAAATAGGTTTCTGTCTCCAGATCTTTGGTAGCTAAAATAGAAGGGTATCCCAGATTTTTCGTAGTAAACCTCCGTAAATCCCAGCTATTTTTATGTGAACAGCGAGGGTATCCCAGATTTTTTCCGACCCATAGCAAGAGATAACTCGAATCGACTTTTCGATTCTGGGGCAAACAGTGACGGTCGTTCAAGAGTGGGTGTAGAAGCTCTACATGGTGCAACCAACATAACAACATAACATTATAATACATCATATAGATGCCCATGATAACATATAAAACTATTTCGCTTCCCGAGAACATCATTCTAACTCTATTCTAACTATTTCCCTTTCCAATAACATTATATAAATACCCATGATAACCCCCCGGCCCACAATTTGATTCGATCCAATCTTTCAACCAGCTTGTACGCTTCAGGGAAAGGTCAGCCCCACAAAATCTCATGGTAACTTCCAAAAAACGTTTGGGTTTTCCATCGGGATATAACATGATATAACTATAGTTGGATGGGCTTATAAAATGTTACCCTCTGGTTATGACTAACAGTTCGCCATGGTTTTTCGATGGCCCTAATCGAAATAGATGATTTTCCCAGCTAGAAACCTCCATTTATTTTCGGGATTTTCCATGGCGAACTGTGAGTCATAACCAGATGGTATAAACCAACCCTAACCAACCCGGACGATTAGGTGCCCCTTTTTGCGGCACTGGTTCCGCGGTTCCAAGGATGAGGAATATTTGGCCGAATTGACGACCACCTGTACCAAGAAGGCACCGAATTGGACGACCACGGTGACAGTTTTTTGGGTCTGTGAATTGGGTCGATGATTTTACCATTCGACATGGGCATCGATTGGGGTCCATATTAAGTTTAGTGGTGTACCATGTACCTGATCTTACTTTGATAAATTATACCACATGTTACCCTACAAAATTGGGAGACCTTGCTGATTCTTCCAGCAATGCGGGTTGTGCTGATGTGGTAGTCCCAGTCCTATCTGGTTGGCAAAGAAATGTCATGATCCAGCTTCCCTGTGAGCTTGGCAAGTCTAGGTGAGTGGTTATATGTGGTTATCATACCCCAGTTATACATCGGTTACCCTCTGGTAAACATACAAAAAACTATGGAAAATCACTATTTCAATGGGAAAATCCACTATTTCTATGGCCATTTCCAATAGCTTTTTGTAAGTTTACCAGGCCGGGTAACCACTTGTGAAAAACGGGAGCACCAAGGTGGCCATGGCCACCTGGAAGGCATCCGAAGGATTTTTGGGTCCATACTTGGACCACTTTTGGACCACTTTTGGACCACTTGGACTTCGCCATTTTCGGGGGTTTCAATGGTGAAACCCTCTGAAACTACATGGATGTGGGTCAAAATGGAAGACCGATGTGGAACCACAGATGGAAAAGTCTAGTTTAGTATTAACCATCCATAATTTTGGGGTACCTAATTTTGACCCATAGTCACATGGGGAAAAGCGTTTTTTTTTTTGCGTGACTTGTGCATGACTTTGCATTTTCCTGGGTAAGACAAGTCTTTTACTGTACCATGTTAGTTTCCGGTGGGGTAAATTTCGCAGGTGGATATGGGTATGGGTTCAAAATCACCCCAAAAATATGTGATTCAATCTCTGGTTGGTGGTTGTCCTAGTGGGTGGTTTGAACTATTTATTGTTTCCCATCCAACAAACCGGATGATGATCCCCATTGACTACCGTATATTTTTCAGGGGGTGGCTCACAAACCAACCAGCTAAGATTCACTACTAGCCTCTGGTAATCAAAGAGGGCAATGGAAAATCCCCATAACATCGATGATGATTTTCTCATATCAGAAGCTCTAAATCAGAGAGGATTTGATATTTGCCGATCATTTTCCCATGATTTTCCCATGGTTTTCATGGTGATTTTCCATTCCATGGATCTATCCCTGCAGGCTGCAGACTTCAAGGATCGTCAGAAGGTGAGGGCTGAGGACAAGTCAGCTGCTTTTGGGCTGCGGACCGGAGCCAAAAAAAAAGCAACTGGTGGGTCACCAAAAATGACTGAAAAAATGATGGTTAATGATGGTTAATGATGGTTAATGATGGCTAATGATGGTTTAATGGATGGTTAATCATGGTTAATAATCACTGGTTGGTGGATTCAAACATGTCTTTTATTTTCCATAATATATATGGGATAATTAATCCTTCCCATTGACGAACTCATATTTTTCAGAGGGGTAGATCAACCACCAACCAGGCTCATAAAACCGGGTTATATAATCATGGTTAATCTAGATCTTAATCTATCTTAGTGGGGGGGGTAAGCATGGTGATCGTTGACTTGTAACTGCGGTGATGACATACGTACACATGATATGTTGTAGCCAGCCCGTACTTACGAACTATGGATGTAGCACCAAAAAGTTTTGATTTCAAAGTATTTCTGCAGGAAGCCATGGTTCAACCCTGTGTAAACTGAGACAGGAGCCTCAGAAATACCCTCTGGTAATTTAACATAACTATGGAAAACCACCATTTTTAATGGGAAAATCCACTATAAATCACCATTTTCAATAGCTATGTTAAATTACCAGAGGGTAATTTGCTGAGTTTGGAAGATAGTAGTCCCGTTATGTCCCGTTGGAAATTGCCATGGGAAGTTTCAGTTGGGCGCTTGCTGTAAATTTTCCCTCTGCCATACCCCGCATGCGGCGACGTCGCATGAGTAGAAGAGATGAAAGCATCACTCCTATCTTCAGGATCATCACATCAAAAGTTGGAAATGCACTGGACAACTTGGATGTGTGGGCCGGAGGAATGATAAGTGGATGTAACAACTTATTGCAAGATTTTGTAAATGTGGTAGACTGTGGATATATTTCACATTATTTGACATATTGGATTTGTCTGAAGATGGCTACCCCTAAATCAACTGGTTTATCATTGTTTTCGCCATTTGCAATCCCAATAACTGGGGAGAATTCTATGTTTTCAGACACACCCACATATAATATTTATAATATACATATTATATACATATCATATACATAATATATATATATGATTCTGATTGTATATGTATTACTGTATAATATATATATATATATATCGCTGGTTGATATTGGTGTTCTTTATCACCGATATGAACCACATACAAAACCCGGATGCGTATCCCAAAATATAGTTTATAGATGTTTATAGTGGAAACCTAGCAATTTTGATGGCCTGGAGATATGCTTGACAAGTAATCTTGAATTTATTTTTGGATCTAATTTTAAATCATTTATGATAGTTTGAAGGAAGTAGGAAACCAGTTGAGACAATCTGTGTTCCACAGCTGGGCAATCCATCAATCCCCTGGATCCCCATCCGATTGAATCCCTTTGTTTGTTGGTTAACCACTGATTTTTGCTGGTCAAACAGTCAAACACAGACTCGGACTCAAGTACTCTCTCGTCAATGAAACATCGTAAATTTTCTTGGTTCAACACAGTTTTTTTCTAGTTAAACAACGATTTTTGGTGCTTAATCAGCTATAAATCCCACTAACCCCAAATTAACTATAGTTATATTATATTCCACATAAACCCTAATTAGTTCATCATCATTTCTTTTAAAGGGAACTGTTATTTTTCACATGGAGTGAGGAGTTGGTGGCCATTCAAGAAGCCACCAAAGCGATGAGCGAGGCGGCGGTGTTGGGGCTTTAAGCATCAAAAGCCCAGAAAGAAATTGGGAAATAAGAGGTGAGTTTATTGACATGTGTCATGGTCAAAACTTGGGTCATCGGGGTATCGTGCGTAGCATGAAGGGCGGTGACTCGAAGATTGCCAGAGGCCTACGATTCCGTAGAAGTGACTTCAAGAAGGCCTTCTCAGAACTTCGTCCACAAGACAGTGTTCCCAGTGACATTCCCCCGACTTGCCTTTTCAAGATTTCACCTATGCCAATTGGGGCTTCGAGTGAAAATGTGCAGACTTGGTTGGACGGCTTGTCTTGGCAAGCTAAGCCCCTGAGATTGTTGGCATCCAATGTGTGGCTTTGCGCTGCATCGCCATACGACTCAACGTTCGAAATGTGGGATGAACATCCTATCTTGGTCAAATGCCTTGATCCCAAGCCCATTCGGAATCAGGTTGTCATCGCAGGCAATACTGGTAAAATCAAACCTGTGAAACAACTGGCTGTGGAGAAACAAGTGGTGCTTTTGAAGACCCATGGGCTTTTTACAACCAAAACAAGAAGGCACAACCAGCACACGCATCTGCCCCCGCAGGGTCCATCCATGCAGTGGCTGCGCGAAAACTTGAAGGGCCAATTGAAGAGCGCTTGAAGAAGCAGTCCTCTGATTTTGAAGAATTCAAAGAACAACAGAAGTCCTGTTTTCAGGAATTCCAGGTCGAAGCTGTCAAGGAGGTTGCACAACTCCAGAAGGATGTCAATCAGTTTAAAGAGGTTGTGGCCAAACAAAGTCAAAATTTTGACCAGCAGAACAAGATCATGGCACATATGATTAACTCATGGTTTATGGGAAGTGATGGTGAACTAATCGTTAACCAATGATTTATGATTGATATAGCATAAACAATAGGAGAATAGCTCCAGTGACAATTAATTTTTGGAGTGGTTAAGAAGGAATTCCCCAGTTCCAAACCAACACGAAATAGTTGCGAAATGGTGCACATTTTGATGGCTAAATTGGCGCAAGTACCTGGGTTAATTTAGGTTATCCTCATGGCAGAAATGGGAAATATTAATCAGTGGGGCGCATAAAGGCGCCTGACAGTTGGTGGGAATGTCATGGGAACAGAATTGGAGAATTGGGGATATTATGGGGATAATTGGCATCCGCTCATTAGCATTGGCGATGCTGATCTGATTGGCAGTAACGTGTTCTTTTATCTACAGCCATACTGGTATATAGGCAAACATTGGTAATGTAGTAAGCTGATAAACAATCAAAATGGTAGGGTCCATCACTGGTCTTGTGTATCTCAACGCTTGGTAATCTTCCGTCTTTATTTGTTGTGGTGGGCCCAGTTGGTTTTTGCTGCAGACCGCGTGAGCAACTGACATAACTGCTGACACAACATTGGGTTGCAACCACTGTAACATAGGAAACCCAACAAGAAACCTACCATTTGGGGATTTTTTATACCACCCATTTATGTTTTTTTTTTGGATGGCTTAGTATTCCTGGGTACAGTGCATAAACACATCGCAACCAGTGCCTGACCTGGGTTGTGATGCGAAGCCTGGGGATCCTCATGACTCGATTTACTCGATGAAAACAACAGACCAGGAGTAGTTTTTCCAAGTAGCCTCTGGTTATGATATGTTATGATGGTTACCCTCTGGTAAACTAACATAGCTATTGAAAATGGCCATTTATAGTGGATTTTCCCATTAAACATGGTGATTTTCCATAGCTATGTTAAATTACCAGAGGGTATCTGGTTATGACTAACCACTAGGAAAATGGTGATTTTCTATGGTTAATAATGGTGAAATTCATGGGATGATATGGGATATTACCCTCTGGTTATGACTAACAGTTCGCCATGGTTAAGCCATGGCCCTAATCGAAATAGATGGTTTACCGAACTTAATAGCATGGTGGTGATTTTCCATGGCGAACTGTTAGTCATAACCAGATGGTATTGCTGCAACGTATTTAGAGCTTGTTTAAATCTCCTGTTTTGATGCTGAATTAATATTACTGTATATATATATATATAATTAATTAATCTTGATATCATACTTCTGACTATAGCTTGGTGAAAGTATAACAGTATAATCAAGATATCTAATGGTATGTATAATTGGTAAAATACTATACCAACATATACTGGTTGGTGGTTTGGAACATTTTTTATTTTTCCATATATTGGGAATAATCATCCCAACTGACTAAAATTTTTCAGAGGGGTTGGAACCACCAACCAGTATGTATATATATATATAATACTAACAGTATATACTAACGGCAGTAGAAAACCCCTATATGTTTTGTTACGGTGAAATCCTCCAGCGTTTCGGCGTTTTGCCAGATCGCCAAGCCCGCCCTGCTGCAAGAGGTGCCGGATGGTGTCGGGCCGTCGGGGACGGGAGGCTTTCCATAGTCACGGGGGTACCCCAAAAATGGATGGTTTTTTGATGGGAAAATCTAGGATAGCCCTATTTCAGGAAAGCCTCATGTGTTCTAATTTCATGGTTTTTCATCTAAATGCGAAGGTTTTCAGGTCCCTTAATTTGTAATTTGAAACAGTTCATATGTATCTACAGGTGTATGTTTTTTGTATTTTTGTTTAGCTTTTCCGTTCATGTAAACCACAAGCCAATGCTTTCCAGATGTTATGTCTTAGAAACGATCAGGTTTCGATGATGATGAGAGACACAACCTGAAGGCATTCTCACCACGTATATAGCAACCCCAAAAAGATAGAAAACGCAACATCCTACTAAAACCATTGGTAAATAACTTCCCTAAGAAAAAACATATTCTTATTTGGAGGTGACTATGAGTAGAAGCTCAGTTAAACGGGGTACGGCAAAATAGCTGATAGTTGGCCCCGCAGACGTAGATGTGAGCTATTTCCTCCTCGTGGAACAAGCTTAAGTCATCTTACTGTAAGTCATCTATGTCCCTGCCCATTGTCTTTTTAGTGCTGGTTGTATAGCTAAGTGGTGTGGCGGGTCCATATTTTATCATATTTCATGTCTCAAGTGAAATTCTTATCCAGGCTCGGGATATTGTTGTTTTATGTTGTTTTAATTTGTGATTCTGAATCTATCCCTGGATAGTTTGTTCCCAACATGTTCCTGGCTCAGTCCCTAAAGAACCACAAGGCCAGCCGATCAGTTCCTGGACCCAACAGCAGGAGGAGTGAATTCCTGAAATTGGTTGTCGGCGACATAGTCCGAATCAATCCGAATCAGATATCCCTGCCCTATCCCACGGAATAGACTCGTATTGTATTTGGATACCCATATGCTCCATGGTGCTGGAATATTTACCTACATTTGGCCCATTTTTGGGGGAAATGTAGGTAAATATTCCAAACATGGAGCATATGGGATAGATTGTATTTCACTGATATTGGTGCATATTCGCTGGTGTGATTTATGGTTACCATCCAGTGGGGCTAATTTTTGAGTCGCACAATTCACCCCATTGTGCCATAGGATTTTTTCATCCTTCTCACGACCTACAGAAAAGACCTTCTGTAGAGATAATAAATAAAACCCATGATACATCCATTCACATCATCCCAGGGAACTTCCTTGGCCCAGCTGAAACAAAGCCTGCCGGACGCCGCGCAGGCGCCTTTTTTTGCTGCGGCTGGGCGTTACAAACCATAAATGGCTTTACTAAGCTGAATATGGTTTTATGGTTTGAATTGGTTTACTATATAAATATGGGATAAATGGATATAGTATGAATTTGTTTACTAAGCTGAATATGGTTTAGTAAACCTGATATTGGGCTTAAATTGGGATATATGATCAATCGACTATTTCAAATATTTTCGACATGGGGATTTCGATCTCTGAAAACTCCCAAGAAATGAGGGCTGCATCAACAACAGAAAACGGTTTCGTACGCGACAGAGAATCCTAATGTTAATGGGAACATATTCCATGGTTCAATCATATTTAATCGATACACATGGAAAAATTCCCTGAAATGAATCTGAGGCATGCATTCCAGGAATCATCATCATGCACGTGGCTTTTGTACGGTGAAACAACCCAACCCTGATCGACCCATAGTGGTAAAAATCGCAGAGTTGTGTCCATGACCATGACATTTCACATCGAGTCGCCCTCTGTCATCCTCATGACAGTGACAATTTGACATGATCTGTCCATAAGTATCAATATATGCGTAGCACTTATACGTATATGTGTATGTATAGTCGTTATATATATATATTATACATATGTGTATGATATACATGTACATGTGCATGTACATGTACATACATATATACGCTTATCCAAACTTATATCAAAACACACGTAGATATGCATATGCACACATAGATGTATGTGATTGATAAGTCCACAAATGCAGCCGTTTCCAAAACCGGCTCCGATGACAACCCCACTCTGTGGCCGTTAGTGAACCGACGAAACCGGAGAGCCTTGTGGGTGCCTTGGCGGCTGCCGGGCGGTGATGCTTTGGCACCCAGGAGCTGTTTGTATCGGAGCTGCCACATAAATATAGATATACTGTACGTACATCCATCCATCCATCCATCCATCCATCCATCCATCCATCCATCCATCCATCCATCCATACACACATACATGTATGCCTACAACTGAATTACAATAGAAGAAGAACAAATCCCCACTATTTTGAAGGGGATTTCATGAATTTCCGTTGCGGAAAAGGCGGTAATCTTCATCCTTCAGGGGACTCTTGCAGTTGGTATCGTTGAAGGACCCATGGATACAGTGGGTGATTCTGCAGTGGATACATGACCTGCAGATACTGCACATGTAGGAATTTGACCAGCCTCAATACGAAAACTGTCCAAATATGTGTGTATATATATATCAATTTGGCAGGAAGTTCTATCATTCCAGGACGGAGTTATGTGTGTATATGGGTGTTTCTCATGTCAAGAGTTGAGGGGCCTAATTTGAAACCATTACATCAGTAGATTTTCCCGGAGTCCAAATGATCTTCACTCTGTCAGGCAATCAATCCCCCATGCCGCGAATCTGGTGGATTTTTCTCGCCCTGCTGGCCTTGCCAACTTCATGTCACGTGGTGGAGGTGTCTCTGTTTCGCAGAATGCGGCGATGGAGGATCTTCTCTTACTTCTCAATGGGCAATTCGCATACCCTCTGGTAAACAAACATAGCTATTAAGAAAATGGCCATTTATAGTTGATTTACCCATTAAAAATAGTGATTTTCCATAGTTATGTTAGTTTACCAGAGGGTAATTCCACCATCGTGAAATTCTAGGGGATTTTCCCTGGGAAAATGCCAAAATGTCTTGTTGCCGAGAGAATTACCCCGCTGGACCTTGAGTTTTCATGAGATTTGACCAAGACGACCCAGCAGTTGTAAGCGGATTTGCAACTGCCTTTGGCTGGTAGATAACCCTTAAGGATTCCCAGGATAATGCACAGAATGAAGTGGATAACTAGGTAACTATTTGGTACGTGATGTAAGTGGAAAGCAACTAATCAACTAATTCCTTGCCCAAGAATCATAAACATTCCCTTGAACAAAACCTGTTTTGTTTCCGTGCTGGTCCACCTTGACCATGGGAGACCACGGCGTCTGGATGCCCGAGGTGATCAAACATGGGGATAGAGGTTAGAAAGGAACCAACATGCTGGTTGGTGGGCTTATACTACCCTTTATATCTTTTATATATTGGGGATGATCACAGTCCATGAACTGGGAATCCCATTCTTAATCAACCAGTATAATTGACAGGGGAGGGTTGAACACTGTTTAATTAAGTTGGGTGAAACAACTAGTGATAACTCGTTCGATGATTCGGAACTGTTTAAGTATGATTCCCTTTGATTCGGATGATCGAAACATGATTTCTTATGACATTTTCCTTCAATCAGAAAGTATGCAAGTATGGAAAGGAAAGACATGATCTGGGTAAATTATAACGACCTCACTGCGACCTCACTACAATCATAGTTAGTAAGGGGAATCATCCCAAAATGGCCTTAATTCAGGTTAGTGAAATATTATAATTTACCCAAAAGTATGGAAAGGAAAGACATGAAGGTTATTTTTGTTTGACTATTGCTCACCGTCACATCTGGATAAATGGTGTTTGAGTAGGTCAGTAGGTCATTCTTTTGCTGTGCTGTAAGCGGAAACATAGTCTAACCAGTTTCAGATGAACTCTTTTTTTTGAAGAGTATCCAGGATTGGCAATGATATGCAATGATCATGGTATTTACAGGGATCATGGACATCTTTAGGGGGGATAATAGTCATCTGCTATGGGATTTGAACATTTTTATCAGTATCAACTCAATCAGGAAAGATAGCCATGGTGAAAAACGTTCAACCAGACCATTGCCCTCACGCGGATTGCTGAGGCAGGGTCCAGTCAGTTGCGAACTTGGAAAACTCGAGGTGTTCATAAGCTTCTCCCAGAGGAGGCTCCGCACTGGCAAAAATTGGTGACAACAGAAAAACATGGTGATGTAGCTAGCACACGTGGAGAAATGTCTTGGAATCAACCGTGGAATCGGTTTTAGAAACCAGTGGAATCAAGGATTTTTCATGAAGAAACTAGTGGATTTTGCCATTGATTTACTGGCATCTTGATAAAACAGGATGGTCTACAAAAGTGCTTACCTTTGTCTTAATTTTGCCATATCAAGATAGCCATACCTCTGATGAACTGCTCCTATTTATTCTTGTTTGCGGCCGCTTTCTGCAAGATGGGGCGCCACTTGTTCTTGTTTCTTGCCTGGATTCCCGTGGTGATATCATCTTGAAAGGACCGCTGGCTTGACGAGTGTATTTCTTGGTAAAACAGAACCCAACACATGTTGGTAATGGTGGAATATCTTATGCCCATCTATACAGCTAAATTCCAGCGCTGGGCTCGTTATGACATAGTTCCCATTGACATTTCTTTCATGAAACAGTATCCAGGGTCCTCGGTTCTGGTGATTGGACTATGTTAAATCTATGTTTGTTGGTTGAATCCACACTCTCGTTTAAATGGCAGTGTGTCAAAACCTTGTACCCCTGGTGAGCATCAAAATAGCTGGTAAATGGATGTTCATCCCCCTAAAAATGGTATTAATAGGTATTGATCCATACCCAAATATCAAATCCAATCTAGTGCGGGCTAAATCTGCATTCCTTGTGGCAACTCCCAATTGTTGTGGTTTGAAGTCCATTTTAGCATCCCACATATCCGACATAACAATTTGGGATTCTGGACCAACACAAATTGTTTGTTCACTACCACACTCAGTCTATGATGGCTAAAACTCATAATGTGTAGACCAAATTATAAACCATCTTGAAATCGCTAAAGCCAATCTCACTTAACCATAAATTCGTGGTGTAAACAATTTCCAAATGGTATGATTATTATTCTTTATTATGTACCATTATTCACAATAAGTTTTTTTTTTTGAATGCCATTATTAATATGAACCAACATTAAACCATATTAAGCCGATGTTTCTAGCTGGACATTACAATATTGATTAATTATGGTACATTAGTATTGTGGCTTAATACTGGTACATAGTAATAATAATGATACGACTATTACTACTACTTAGTTACTACTACTACTGCTACTGCTACTGCTACTGCTACTACTACTACTACTATTACTATTACTACCACTACCACTACCACTACTACTACCACTAGTAATAATAAAATGGTTCAATTTAGTTATAACAATATAATCCTTTTAAAGCCATTATTAAACCATTAAACAAAAAACTATTGGTTACCTGGTTAACCACCTGATTTCGGCCATGTTGCTTCCACCTCAAACCATGGCCCCCCGAAATTTTTTCGCAGAACGCTTCGCCAGGCGTCGGCGTCCAGCTTGGTGCAACAAGCGCCCTTTGAGGAGACGACGCATCAGTGGCATGTCGTTGAACGTTTAAACGCGGCGATGCATCGGTGGATACGACTGGAGGATCATGAAAAACAAATGTCTGGAACTGGTTACCCTCTGGTAATTTAACGTAGCTATTGAAAATGGCCCATTTATAGTGGATTTACCCATTAAAAATTGTGATTTTCCATAGCTATGTTAGTTTACCAGAGGGTAATATTGGAAAAACTCCCCATTCAGGAAGCAAACCATAAACAGTTTAATCTCATATTGTAGGAAAGTTGGTTGTATTTTTCATTGTGATTTATTTATTCTTGTTTACTAATTCCCTATTAAGGGAAAACCTCATTTATAACTGACTGAAATAAGCCCACAAAGACAAACCACTAAGGTGGTGCCCCATAGTTAGACAGGAACCAACTGGGGTTATGGCACGCTTATGCAGAGATATATCGAATTATACTTGATGATGGGGTGTATCCGGCTGGAACTGCTCTTCCAAGAATGATAATATGCTTATTGCCCTCTGGTAATTTAACATAGCTATTGAAAATGGCCATTTATAGTTTATTTTCCCATAAAACATGGTGATTTTCCATAGTTATGTTAGTTTACCAGAGGGTAATATGCTTATTACCCACTTGCTATTGAGATGCCCGAGTATTATCACCTTCCTTGTGCCTACCAAAGAGCCGCTATCGGTTGACCATGCGAGGGAAAACACCTTTTGTTTGCCATAATTGAGAAGGCAGACCAAACAGTTATATATATATATAAATATACACATACACATTCTTTATTTTGTGATACTGACAGTTTTTTCGCTTGCGTCCCTACGTTTGATTGGCTACCCTTTGGTAATCTGTTCACATAAAGATAGTAGTAAAGAAACGACCAACCTCCTGTGTTGCCGGACTTTGTCGGCGATCATCTCCACATGAGCAAAAAACGTGGTAAAAATGAAACAATTTTGCTTGGTTCTTAACTTGACGTTACATAGAGGAATGCCCTGCCAAGGGACCAGTGCGGCTCTCTCACACATCATCATCGCCATCAGCAGCAACATCATCATCGTCAACAACATCATCAACACATCTTCCCAATTGAATGAATAATGTAAAGTCAAACGGGGGTGGGACTTTATCTTCCTCACACCCTTCTTGATCTTCCCAAGGGAATCCTCATTCCAGGTTAGATTACCCGGGGGTACTTGTTTAACTATCAAGATTGTCGGGAGTATCCCTACGTTGGTGGTATTTTGGTGGTGAAATCACGTTTGATTCTATATTTTGTAACCACCAAAGAAATAGATCAATTATGAACACACGGATATTCTACGTCCCAATCTACGTCCCAATCTACGTCCCAATCTACGTCCCAATCTACGTCCCAATCAACTCGTATACGTTTGTAGAGAGCCAGTGACACGATTCCAAGGTCATGGTTGTCTCGACTCGGTTTCTTGGCACTGCGAATGTGGAACACAAGTTGATCTCACAGAAAGCGTAGTGAAAAAAAATGGGGATCCGAAAAAAAATTAAAAAAATCAGGTTCCATGTGACAAATAAAGGGGATGTAATTCGGTTATATTAGGTTCATTTTTTGTTCTTTTTGGTGGAGGTTTACTGTAGCAGCTGTTGGAAACTTAACCGAGGAGCCCTGGAATTCAGGCTGGAAAATCCACCATTCATCTCACTGGAATGATGGTCAGTTTTTTGGAGGATTATACCAATTTATATGGTGATTTAAATAGTGATAATCTCTATATATATATATATTAATTATAGTTATATTAATTATAGTGATAATCTATATATATATATATATATTAATTTAATAGTGATAATCTATATTAATTATAACTATAGTTGGTATTATAGTGATTTATAAGTATCCTATTATGATCTAATTTACCCAGATCATTTCTAGTTGATTTTCCCAGCTATCAACCCATAGTTTGGGAGAATTTCCAGCCAGCCACGTTTGATTAGCAGAGGGTAACTTGAAATGATAGTCAAACATTGGTCGGCTCCCACAATGTGATGTCGAGGAAAAACAGGAACTCTTCAAAATATCAGATGGTCCAAGATACTAGGGACATATCTACCATAAACCAGCATAAAGCCATGTTATTCCCACGATACCCTCATTATATCCCATTCAATTGCATTAAATCACCATGTTTGAAGCGTTACCCTCTGGTTATGACTACTGTAACATAGCTATGGAAAATGGCCCTAATCGAAATAGATGGTTTACCGAACTTAATAGCATGGTGGTGGATCTTTCCAGTTCGCAAACTGTAAACGTTTAGTCATAACCAGCTGGTATAGTTGATCTACATATTACTAACTATGGAACGATCCACCATGCTATTAATGGGTAAATCCACTATTTCTATGGCCATTTTCAATAGCTATGTTAGTCATCCCAGGTGATCCCCCGAAAAAAAAACATTCTGCCACCATCGACCACGACCACGCCCAGGAAATTCCTTCTTCATGGCGCTCTGTGGATTGATCCTGATCCCCTTCGCACTGGCAGCGAGCCACAAAGCAAAGCCACCGTGGGATAAGGGGCTTAAAAGTGAGCCACCGCTTAAAGGGGAGAAAATGATGCCGGTTTTATGACGCCATTGATGGTGGTTAATAGTGGTCAATAGTGATGAAAAAAGTGATTAATAGTGGTTAATAGTGATTAATAGTGGTTAATAGTGGTTAATAGTGATGAAAAAAGTGACTATATATAATCCATGAATAGATGACATTTTCTTTACCACTAATGGTGGTTTTGAGAATTAATGATGGTTAAGACAATGCCATTTTTACCAGCCATGACACTGGTGATTGAGCCAAAACATGTGGTGATTTGACAGCAAAAATCTTTTCTTTGAAGCGGTGAAATTATGATCGATGAAAAAACGCGTTTAATCAGCACATGGGGGTTCAAGCTTCAAGCAGCAAAAATGGGGGTTCTATGGTTTACGCACCAAGAATGTGGATTAGACCAGGAACAAATTGAGTTCTAACTAACCATAATTCAACTGGTAAAAGATGGCTTCAACGGTGTTTCGCCAAACGACCAACAGGATTGTCATTGTGACTTGCACCAGCAACCATACCAAGCAATTGGAATTGATCAGCTGAAAGGCTTAGCTAACATGGGTCTCAATTCAAGATCTAGGAAGCAAATATGACTTTCTTTTTGAATGTTTGGTCAATTTTACACATGTTTTTTCTATGTGATCCTAGTGAAATTTGACCTACATCTTTATTGATTTGTCGGCCAGAGCCTACAGATGCAAGATAGCAATGTGATGGACAAATGCTTAGAGGTAAAGCGCGGTGACTATTTTGTTTGGGGTATGACAATCTGACAAAGCATGGGCAGGTCACCTATGCCTCACGGTTATATGTAATTATCAACAATGCATGTACGTATGTAATGTGTGTAATGTTCGAGATGTGAGCAATGTGTCTACTGTTTGCAATGTAATGTAGTGCAATGGAATGGAATGGAATGTGATGTGATGTCATGGAATCCAATTCAATGCAACGCATTGCAATGCAATGTCTATACAGAAGCCTAGAACACAAAGAAGCAGCGATAAATGGTTATTGTACCATACTTATGAATTATGAAGATTTTCTATATCAAAGAAACTTAAAGAAACCTCTGTGCTTTCCTGCCAGATTTATCAATGATGAATATCACCATTGTCCTTTGAGATGACGTGATTTACCCATAGCCAATTCCAAGCTTCATTATCAAATTGAGATCGTCCTTGTAAGTACCACCATGATTGAAGCCAAGTAAGAGGTTGCGCATGGTTAGGTTCGGGTTAGGTTGGCAGAAACCTAAGACCTAAGCTACACACAGCAACCGCTCGATTTTGAACCATTTCATAAAAAAGATTGGCTGGATAGATGAACAGATAGATCAGTCAGATAGATAGATAGATAGATCGATAGATAGATAGATAGATAGGATAGATAGGATAGATAGATAGGATAGATAGGATAGATAGATAGATAGATAGGATAGATAGGATAGATAAGATAGATAGGATAGATAGGATAGATAGGATAGATAGGATAGATAGATAGGATAGATAGGATAGATAGGATCGATAGGATCGATAGGATCGATAGGATCGATAGGATCGATAGGATAGATAGGATAGATAGGATAGATAGGATAGATAGGATAGATAGGATAGATAGGATAGATAAGATAGATAAGATAGATAGGATAAATAGGATAGATAGGATAGATAGGATAGGATAGGATAGGATAGGATAGGAAGATAGATAAATAGATAGATAGATAGATAGATAGATGGACAGATAAGATTAAACATATATATAGACTAGATTAGATTGGCTCAAATTAGATTAGATAAGGCTCATCATCATTTTTTCCAACTGAATGGTGTTTTATTGTGGCTAAACATGTCGTAAACATGTCATTTGCAGACAGAAAGCCATGGTCTCCCATAGATTTTCCCCGTCAGGCTGGGGATCTGAGGCATTGATGTGGCTGAACGAGTTGAGGAATGCCCGACAGGCGCCGGCGCCAACTGGGCGGGGAGGATGGCGTAGTTTGATACCAGTCATAGTTTACCAAGCAGTTGGGACATCGAAACAACATTTGCATCCCGGGTCTCAAGGCGAGTCAATAGCCTGGTGTACCATGGGTACCGTAAAATAGATTGTTCATGAATGTGAATTCCCCTAAATATATATATATATATATGATTGGTGGTTTGGAACATGAATTTTATGACTTTCCATATATTCGGAATGTCATCATCCCAACTGACTCATATTTTTCAGAGGGGTAGGTATACCACCAACCAGTAATGTATCATAATCCTGGCTTTGTTTAGTAGTCGGTGATGTTTTATTTTCCCAATGGAAAATCCACCATGAACGGGGAATCGATGAAGGGAATATTTTTTATTCTTTGGGTCCAAGTAATGTTAGTAAAGCAATGTCATAAACCAATAAACCACTGATATTTTGATTGTTTATACCAGCCATTTGATTTTGTTTGGGAAATCAATAAATTTGTGGATGGTTTACTATTGCTTTACTAACAATACAGAGGTTTGCACACAAGTTGGGCGAATCTTGGGTATTCAACCAATCATGACTGGGTAATTGAAGTGAGAATAACGGAGACTTTAGCAATCAATCATTGAAATTTTGCATTCTGCGATCAAGTAAAAGGATTTATATAATCGTGAACAGCTGGGTCCATCAACGGGTGAAGTGTAGTTGAATACAGATTGTTTTCCTGTCTGATGAGGATATTTTTTGACGCAACCAGGCTCAACCAGTTTTTTTGTCCCATGTGTAAAGACCATGGAATGAACGTTCTGGGATGGCCAAGAGCCAGTGATGGGTTTGTAATTTTTAGAGTACCCCAAATCTTACTGTTGATGATAATTTCATTTCCTAATGAAAAACAACTCAGTGGGTGTCCCACTTTTTGAAGAGAACCAACCATTTTCCGCGTCAAAATCGGATTGTTTCGGCCAGTCCCAAACCTCTTGGGACCCCCCGCATGGAGTCAGCTAAAGCTTTCTTGGCAGTTGATACTTTCTTCATGGAAAGTTGTCTGGTAATGGAGACAGATATCTTTTTTTAATGTTTTTTACTTAAAACTGATTCTGATGCTAAGTTGACTTTGACCTAATTTGAAGCTGAACGGATTTGAATTGACTTTAAACTTGAATCATTCTTATTTGAACTTGAATAGACAGATATGTGAATTAGATAGGTTGAATCTTATTTGAGTTTAAACTTGAATGTGAATTTTAACTGAGTTTTTTCACTGGCATTAAATGAGAATTGGCTCTGAGCACTTCCAATTGAAAGTGAAATGGAATCTAAACATTTAGGACGGTCCCCAACATTGGAGCACTTTTTTTGGGCGGGCAAAACACTGATGTTTCTGGGCTGCCCCCCCTCTGCGACTTTGTTGGGAAGCAAGAAAGAAAATGCAACTTCAGGACCTGGATTTTTTGAGGTCAGATTCAAACAAGAATTATGGGGGAATTTTTGTCGGGGAACAATTCACATTTTTTCCAAGTCGGCAAAGCCAAAACAACACAAAAACAACATGAGTACATACCCTTTGGTTATTTAACATAGCCATGGAAAGATCCACCATTTTTAATAGGTAAACCATCTATTTCTGGGCCATCTATACCATGGCTATGTTAGTCATAACCAGAGGGTAATTCATGTGGCTTTTATGGTTCACCAGATAAGCAGATGATAAGCACAGAACATTCCCATCTTGTCGGTCAAATCTAAGGTTCATTCTCAAAACTCTCGGAAATCGTACAAAATTAATATAGAATAATATATATATATTATACAATAACTCTCAGTAACTGTAGATGAATACATATTATTCATAGAGATAAATGTACAGATGTATCTACCATCGAGCAGCCACACAGCCCCCACTAGCCATTGAATCTAGATATATCCGCGACCCAAGTGAGCCACTAAAGATACCCTGGTTGATTGGTTCAGATGTATGGACTTCTACTATTTATACTACTTGTACTACTTGTACTACTTATAGTACCTACCTACCTATCTACCTATCTAATCCTACCTATCTGTCTACCTATCTATCTACCTATATTATACCTATATGTCCATTTGCCAAAAATAGTTGACAGAAGTTTTGACAGAAAGTTGTTTTTTTTTTTTTTAGGAAAAGACATAGCTTGGCAAACCGTCATCTACCCTCTGGTAATTTAACATAGCTATGGACAATCACCATGTTTAATGGGAAAATCCACTATTTCAATGGCTATTTTCCATAGCTATGTTAGTTTAATCCCATTGTCATCCCATTATTCACCATTGTTAACCATTAAATCACAATTTTCCTAGTGGTTAAATCACCTAGTGGTACCTATATAGCTTTGCTTACCATAAATCTCTCCACCTCGCCTCAACTGGAGCGCCGTCGCCAGGAGAGCATTTTGCAGCTGGGCACCTCAGAGGTGCAACAAATCACCTCCAAGCAGCTTGGCATCGTTGGACTCACCGGTCGTTGATTTACCATAGGAAAACCATAGGAAAACCATAGGAAAATGGTGATTTAATGGTAATTTACCCAACCCGGTTATGACTACTTGGTGGTGAACTACCCACGAATCGTGGTTGTGGTTTATAACCCCAGTGAGAAATACATGGGATTTTTGTAGGGTAAATCCACTGAAATCACTGGGGTGAACTAACCCACTTACGATTCGTGGGATGAACCACCAAGTAACAGTTCGCCATGGGAAATGATGGCCCTAATCGAAATAGATGGGCCATACCGTTCTTAATAGCATGGTGGTGATTTTCCATGGCAAACTGTTAGTATAAAGGGAAGGTTCCCTCGAGGGCGTCGTGCGTTTTTGAACGCACAACGGCCTTAAAACCTGCATTTCGTGAATGTTTTACAAATGCATCTTCCAAGAGGGGTCTCCGAAGCAACTTTTTTTCAACCTCATCGCGCATACATTGCTTTCAAAGCTTTGGACAGGTGTGAGACACAGGCGTTCTTTTCTTGGCAGCTCCACTGCCAACTTCGGATGTACTGCAGCAATTTTGGGTTGACTTGTCTGCACAAGCGACCAGTAGATTCCAAGGTGTCTGGAATCCATTTCTTGATGCTTTTCCAAGAAGAATCTGCTTTCTGCGTGCCAGCAATTTTGCTAGCTCTCCATGGTTTGCGTTTCAATTTTCTAGTAAACTCTTGAAGTACATGCCGCACAGAGACACTGCGATGACCGTGTCGCTTCGCCATGGACGGCCAAGCCTTTGCACCATCGCTATAGATGACCTAAGATGGGATAGGAAAGAACGAATGGGAAGAAATGTAGGGAAAGTAAAGGCAAATTGCTTGGAATGGCAATTGTCAACCAAGCTGTAATGGGTCTGAGGAACACATGCTTGCTCAATAGATGGTCCCATGGCACTTGGCCAGACAGCCGCAGACACACCAGTAGAATGAGGACTTCACCGATTTCATCGTACGAAACAAGCATGCCGTGCCGAGGTAATGCTATATGCTAACTATGACATGAGCCAGAACGAAACAACAAGCAAAACCAAGGTGAAAGCCATGAAACAAAGCAACATTCAACTTGTGACACGAAAACATGAACATAAGCAACACAGACGTATCGAAAATGTCTGAACCAAACGGAAGACATGAGATCATTTTATTTTCAAAACTATTTGAACAACGCACAAACAAATGAACAGCGTGTCAAGAACGCACATGCAGGTACGTTAATAAACAAGAACGTTATCATCCCCCCCCCCACCCCCACCCCCACCCACCCCACCCCCCCACCCCACCCCCCCCACCCCCCCACCCCATCCCACCCCCCCGAACAAACCCTGGCATGCCAACACGCCACCGGACACCAACGTCAACATATCCAAACCAAAACATCGAACGCGTGTCAAACCATCACTTGCAAAAGTGAACAGCGTGTCAAGAACGCACATGCAGGAAACGTTAAAAACAAGAACGTTATCAATCCCCCCCCACCCCCCCAACCCCCCAAACCCCCCCCACCCCCACCCCACCCCCCAGAACAAACCCTGCCATGTCAACATGCAAGTATAAACGCAACCAACAGCGTCAAGCAACACAGCAAAAAGCGCGGAAAATGCAACGACGCACATGAGAACAAGACAGCACGTGACACGACCAGCATGTTGCGACAGTGACAAAAATATGAAAAAGTGTCAAAAACGCACGACGCCCTCGAGGGACCCTTACCTTAAACAACCAGATGGTAATAGATTTATCACCAGATGTTAAATTTTAGTATTAATATGGGAATATATGTCAATACTAAATCTAGTATCCAAATTGATCAAAATACTTCTGTATTATTTACTTATTGATGGGAGTAAATATATTATTGATGGGATCAAATTGTATTATTAATGGGATTTATCAAAACTGATGCCCATTGTATCTTAGTCATTTAATTGAGTGGGATTATACCAAGAACTTTCGGAAATCCTCATTTTAATGGATGATGAAACTGGGAATATATCAGCAACTAATGGATTTAGATGGGATGTAGTGAAGATATACTGGGAATGTTCATGGGATCTATGTGTTTTTTCATATTTTATTTCATGAACCATGACCACAGCTATATGATTTGGAGCTGTGAAATGCTTGAAATCATGGAGAATCCCAAATTCACCAGGTTTCAATGGGACAATTAAAGTTTCTCAACCACAGAAAGCATAAGAAATTGATCTATTTGGAGGATGTAGAGCCGAAATGAACCAAGGAGACCTGGATTCTGGTGGGGTTAGAACCCAGAAATACGTGGGAAGTTTCCTAAGTAGATAAGTCATCAACCATGACAATACCCCTGTAATCACGGCAATGTACAGTATCCATTATTCATCCAATGAATTCTGAACTTGTCAAGGCTGCTCCAACCAGTTTTGTAGGTAAACATTGCCAGTAGTAGGTGGTAATTTGCTGGTCATACCTCTATACTTACAGAATTTATACCCGTGTACTTGGGGTGTTTGGAGCAACCCTGAAAACGGAGATTTCAGCAGAAAAAAATGGGATGATTGCACCAGCTGACATAAGGATTTAGATAGATATAGCATGATTTCACAGGCAGAAAACATGTGGAGTTAGCAGGATTTACCAAAGAATCACTGGGATCTAATTTTTTAAAAAATGGGGGGTTGACCAGCAACTATTAGGATCCATTTTTTTAAATTAGATTTCCCATAATGGGATCCATTAAAAAATGGGGTTAACTATTAGGATTACCCGATGTGCTTTGGTCCAAGCAAGAATGGGGGGTTGACCAACAACATCCAAAAGGGATCTCACTATCACGTTTGGGAGATTGACCAGCAAACACTCAATGGATTTTTTTTTATGTGTCCTTCAATGTGGGGCCCCCGTTAACCGATAGTTGACTTGGTTTATAACTTCAATTTCAGTATGATTTGAATGGTAATTATAGCATTCATGGGGTTTATAAAATTTCATAAAGCATATAACATAACTGGGGCCCCACATTGTTCAGCAGGGTTCAGCTACGTCTGCGAGTTCCAGAGGGGACAAGGATGAAACGGAGCTGAAGGCCATCAAAGATCACCTCGCCCTAGTCACGCACAACGTCATTGGAATGGTTCAAGCGCTGCCAGGGTGCCGCACATCACGACCAGTCCACGAAGCACGGCGGATCTCGACGCATCATGGGGATTTTGTGGGATAATGCTGGGATACCCTCTGGTAATTTAACAGTTTGCTATTGAAAATGACCATTTATAGTAGATTTTCCCATTAATCATGGTGATTTTCCATAGCTATGTTAAATTACCAGAGGGTATACTGGCATATGTACAGCAACCAACGTGATAGATGGGGAATCAATCCAAGATCAGCTCAGGAATGTGTGACCAAATGCCCAAATCCATTGCCGAGGTTTTACTTCATTTACCTTTTGTGTGCATGTTCACTGGCTAGAAAGTTGGATGACCAATCCACCATGCGAACTCGACGGCACAACAAAACGCTATGCAAATGTAAGAAAAAACATGGTGTGCTGGAAGACACACTCTTTTGCATCTGCCAATTTGCATAGATGACACTCCTATTTGATTCTGATTTGAGTGATTTGATTCCATTTCCTTGACGATGTCAATGGACGTATTCCCTATAATTTAAGTGCAGGAAGAATCAAAGACACCCAAGCTGGTGGTTTTCATACTTTTTCCCCTCTCTAACCAAATTATATGTGGGATATAACCCCGTTCATTAACCGCATGATTAACCACTTAAGATTTCAGGGTCCGGCACCCCCCGAGCAGTATTGCCCTCTGATAATCAAACATGGTATGTTGGAAAATCCTCTCTCCATTTATGTAAATCATTTACCGTAGTGCTCTGATTTTTTCATTCAAATGTCATTTATAGTGGATTTCCCAGCTAGCCATGTTTGATTTCCCATCCAGATCTCGTTCATATATCCCGCGTATCCCCATGAAACACCACCATGTTTGAAGAGTAAATCACTGGACTTTCACATTTAAATACCAATTCATAAGAGATGATTTTGATATGGGTATGGGTCAATACCTATAGATACATTTTTAGTGGGATGAACATCCATAAATCCCAGCTATGACTTGGGGTTCACTAGGTACCAGGTTTTTGACCCATCCCCATATTGAAAGCTCCATTTACCCTTCCAGTTTTTATTAACAGTTCGACCCTGAAAATCAATCGCCCAACTCATGTCAGGGTCGTCATGTGAATTTACTCGTAAATCCCATGAAGAGCCCATGATGTACCATTGTTAGCCCATGCTAAAATCCCCATCAAAAATCCCAATCAACACCATTTCTAGATATTTTCCTAGTGACTAAATATGGTTAAATCACCCTTTTCCTATGGGTTTACCAGCATTTTCCTCTAGTTTTCCATGAAATCCCGATAGAATCATTGGAAAATCACCATAAATCACCATTTTCCTATGGTTAAATCACCATTTTCCCGTGGTTTTCCATGAAATCCTAGGGATTTTGGGCCGCCGCCTCACGAGGTCCATGGATCCTGACTTCAATGGTCAGTGACGTGACGAAAGCGGAAAGTGTCCTTTGAGGACAAAGAGTGGAGGTAACCAGGTAGTATTCTCAATATATATATATACTAAATATATAGTAGATATATACATAAGATATATATATATATATACTATGTATATATATATAATATATATATATATACTATGTGTATATATATAATATTGCCCGCATAATCATATCCAATGTATTTCATATTCATATTCATATACATATATATGTATATATGTGAAATACATTGGATATGATTAGGCGGGCAATACCTGGACTAGGCCTGGGCATTGCAATTGGGGATTGTTTCTTAAACACATTACATATATAGATGTACAGATGAATAAACGCGTGAAGATCACTAGTACAGATTTTTGAGGTAGAATTTCTTATTTTTAGGTAGAATTCTTATTATCAGCAGCGTTGGGTTTTTGACATGAAGCAACATATGGTAGAATGTCAACCCAGGATTAGTAAATCATTGGTTGCATTAGTCATCATTGACCAGTATATTGTTTGTTGCGAATTTCTTCGTCATGTAGCCTACCTGGAACTGGAGGATAATTGTGCGAAGTGAGAAATTGTGGGAATATGTTTACCTTTCTGAACTTGCAATCAACACAACTTCCCAGCATTTCAATATGTTTCAATGTTTGTACTTCGCAAGGCCTCAAATCCGGACAGGCATTCTGTGAGGGTCAGCATGTTCGCTGTCATTCCAAGGGTGAGAGGAATATCAAATGGCAAAGCGCTTGCTTTTCTGTGTATCGCAAGCGCAGAATAGATGGAACAGTTGGAGGCCTGGACATATGAGGTAGCCTCCAGTAAACAAACATGATTCTCGAAAATCACTATTTTTTTATAGGAAAATCATCTATAAATGAGCCATTTTCCATAGCTATGTAACAAATTACCAGAGGGTACCCTATCATCGAACCAACTTCCTGGAACCAGCTTTTGGCATCAGGGGGTCACTAGAATTCATACCAACCTCAAACGCCCTCATCATTTATGGCCTATGTTGAAGCCTGGGCTATACAACTGGTTGTATCCCCAAAAAATCTTGCTGGTGTCACAATAAAAATAGCCATACTGAAAATCCCAGTCTCTTGGAAATCTGGTAACTTATCTTGGCTGGTAACTTATGGTAACTTATGGTTTTATTTTGGGCTCCCGCTTGAAACCGATGGCACCCAGGCTGGTTCTATTGAATGACACTGATGCAAAAGGTCAGAGCGACCTGTCAGACACTTGGCTCAATTTTTTTCCACCTGAGAGAAGGCTAGGATACTGTTCAATTAAAAACCATAGGAAAATGATGATTTATGGTGATTCTCCAATGATTCTATAGGGATTTCATGGAAAGCTATAGGAAAATGCTGGTAAACCGTGATTTAACCACTATGTTCATTTAAACCAGGGTACTGTCCAATCAATGAAGAAAATATCATGGGACAAGCCACTATTTTTCACCGTTTAAGTTTAATCACTTAATCATTGGTCACTTAATCATTGGTCCATCACCATTTGTTTAAAAGCCACCATCACCATTTGTTTAATGATTGGTGGTTGAATGCTGAATGTTCATGTTTGGTCCTGTTTGGTAGCTTCTTAGTCATTAATCCCTTCATATTACCAGCCTACCTGGGATGATTATCCTATCTTTCAGGTGGGTTGAAAGCATCCACCAGTGATCATTACGTATCCCATGATATCAGTAGCCGCCCATTGGATGATAGTTTTATATCCTTTTCATATGTGTATATAATATATATATATACATAGTTGATGATGATGATGATGATGATGAATAATAATAATAATATGATTGGTGATTGGTGATTGGTGATTGGTGATTGGTGACTGATGATGATGATGATGATGATGATGATGGTGATGGTGATGGCGATGGTGATGGTGATGATGATGGTGATGGTGATGATGATGATGGTGGTGGTGGTGGTGATGATGATATATTGGTTGGTTGCTGGGATGGGTTCTTATTGGCTTTACCTCTTGATGGGGGAAGTGGTCGGATTTTCAGCAGGAGGGTACCGTGAGTACCAGTTGAATGGACTCATCCATTTTTGAAAAAGATAATACTCAATGGATTGGTTTATCTACAGGAAATATTACCCTTAAAAGATCTTAAACTAGCCATTTGGGGGTATAATTACCATTTTTAGACACAGCCATATACCCTCTCATAATTTGTTACGTAGCTATTGAACATGGCCCCATAGAAATAGTTGATTTACCTACAAAAAATAGATGATTTTCCATATCTGCATAGGCTTTTTCTTTCTGTTTACCAGGTCGGGTACAGAAACTGCAGCGTCACAGATTTTTCGCGATGCCCCTATCTCGAGATCCACCTTCGATGAAGAAGTCATGCGATGACTGGCGGCTTAAGAAGATGTTTTACAGCACGAGCACCAAAAACACTGGCTCTTTGATGGTTAATAGACTATTAATAGACTATTAACTTGATAGTGATGGTTAATAGTGGTTTTCATAGGTTATAAACCAACAACAATGGGAATATGATGGTGATCTGGTTGTATATTGATGATGCTGGGTAAATTTAATCGCGACCTCACTGTTGTCCCGAACCCTGGAAGAATGGTTAGGGTAAGGGGAATCATCCCCTTTTATGGCCGCAAGATTCAGGTTAGTGAAATATTATAATTTGCCCAGATGATGGTATTGCTTTACAACCTCACGAACAAAGGTTCATGGTGCATAGATCTACAGTTGCAGGGATTTGTACATAAACCAACAAACAGAACTGTGGACCCCACTTTGTAACTATATACATATGGCGGCTTCTTAAAGTGGAGGATCTCCAAAACCATAGGTTTCAATACTAAAATGGTCTAATTTTGGATGATTTAGGGGTACCACCATTTTGGGAAACACCATATGTATATGTATAATATATATATATATATGCCCATTACATTCCCATATATATATATATATACACATAAGAGTCCACCAGAAAAAATGCATTGCTGATCATATCCCCAGTGCATTATATCATCAGGATTATATAAGTATTAATCATATATTAGGGGAAAATTCCTTATTTCCTCCACGTTGTGTTGTTGTATCCCCATTCTGTTCGCCCTTGCCTCACCCTTACATCCTCAGTGTTGTGCGGGTATACACCATTTTCAGACAACCCCAACAAGTATCATAGTATATTCCCAGTATGTCATACCAGGTGAGGCAATCTTCTTGATCTCGCGCTACATCGGTAGTTTGCCGCCGAGCAGAGCTCTCTTTTCCATCGTGATCGCGACGGTCAGCCATGACAGCCATCCCCGGTGGGCTGACAGGCTCCGGTCGCCGGACCCCTTCGGTGCCCCCACGGTGCCCCCACGGTGCCTGACAGGCGCCCGAGCTCGCTTTGCAACGAAGCTCTCCCCTACAGACGCGAAGTTGACTATGGGGGTTGTAAGAAGGCACCCACCTTAAAGTTGGTTAAATCAGGTCTATGGGGGATGTACCCTCTGGAAAACTAACATAGCTGTTGAAAATCATCATTTTATCCATTTTTGTCTGGGTAAATCAACTATTAAATGGCAATTTTCAATAGCTATGTAACAAATTACCAGAGGGTAAGTATACTGGGCCTCACCATAGATTCACCCTATGATTCACCCATGACATCCCCAATGCCGATGCGGATGAGGATTCCCGCTTCCCCATGGTCAGTCTCAAGGGCTTGAGGCTGGATGGGAATGCTGGGAAAGTCGTGGTAAAACGACTAAAGGTGGTGCTAAGTTGCTGCAAATAGCTAGATATAATACTATGATAGTGCTATATTACTATAGTACTATATAGTACAATATCTAAAACACTATTATTATAGACCATATTATAACTGGTTGTTGGTTTGGAACCATGGAATTTTTATGACTTTCCACATTAATTGGGAATTTCATCATCCCAACTGACAAACTCTAATATTTTTCAGAGGGGTGGCGAAAAACCACCAACCAGATAGCTTAATTCCTAGGTTTTAGGATGATTACGCCTATGGTTGGATGGATTTCTGTTATGATGTTCCTCTAAGCTGAAGATCCCCTGTTCTGTGGCTTATGTGTTATATATCATGGACCATTTAAGATGCTAGTAAGTGGTAAACTTCTTGTAACCCAATGACAAACTCCGCAATCAACCGTTTGAGGATCAGTTTTCTTTCAACTAGAGGTACCCTCCAGTAAACATTTACATAGCTATGGAACATCACCATGCTTTTAATGGGTAAATCAACTATTTCTATGGCCATTTTCAGTAGCTTTTTGTATGTTTACTGGAGGGTATAGTACACAAGAATAAAGCCCAATGGGGGACGGTTTGTTGGGCTTGCCCCATTACGAATGAACATGGAAGTCTGCCCCGGGAGCCACCTCCTAAAAGAAAGTTTTGTTTGGCGATCAGTACCCACCAGCAAGCCTGAAACGAAAACTGTTTGTGAAGGCCACAATTTATGTTATGGTTGGCTACCCTTAGATTTCCATAATATGACACAGACATGGCGAGTATATATCGTTTACAACTCAAGATTTCAGATCATACGCCCCTTCATTTTTGCATGCAGATTTGCCGGCTGGCCATGTTTCATTACCAGAGGGTATCGTACCATCGGGTGATTCAATGGATAAATCATCTACAAATTATGCTTGTGCCGGCCATGTTAGGCTGGTGGTTGATGCTGGTTGATGCTGGTTGATTTTCTTTACCTTCCGTCCTTCTGCGGAATTGGTATCCCCCTATTGACGAATCTTTCCTAGGGGCTGGAAACCAACCACTAGATTTAAGAAGGTGCGGAAAAGCCCATTGTTATGGATGAAGGAAGAAAAATGACTCACAAACCAGTCTTTGTTGACCATTTGATGTTGTACAGACAGACATCTGACAAAGTCATTCCTGTTTTAGCAAAAACATGTTGTTCCGTGGAAGAACGTGTTTCGGAAAAGTGGTGCCGTTAGCAAGAATGCATTGGAACTCTGGAGTCTGGATATGTAACCCCTCTTCTTGTGAGATCATGTCCCTTATCATTCTCACCATGCAATTTTGCATGTTTGGGGTATTTTGATTTAGTGAAGTCGATGCGTGCGTTTTAAGTTTTTGAGCGCCAATGCTGGACTGTTGCTAAACTTCTGCTAGACTGTTGCTAAATGATTTCCTGAATGCGGACAACCTCAGCGTTCACATGCGGTTTCACACAAGAAACCGCGCCAGAAGGCAGTAGAAAACCATAGATTTCATCACTCGCGTTCCATGCTGCTTCACTTGGTTTAGATCTCTGAAATACATGATTGCACTTTTTGAAGAGAGTGTTCCATGCAGAAAATGCTCTTCAAACCATGCCAGGCATGACTTAGGCGTGACATTGTCTTTTCTCTGTACTGCCCATGTTTAATTGGTGATGTTTCTTTTACATGTGACATCCCCGGTTTTCTACATGTATGTTTGTTACAAGTATGTTGTAAGCATGTGAACAAAAACAGCCTTTAGAGGTTAAAATCCCATGGTGAAAAACCATGGCTTTACCCCAAGATAGATCATTCACCCAACTGGGAGACGGTTCTACCATGTTTTGCCATCCCAAACTCATCAAAAATCATCTCATATTCCCAGAAATCATCTCATATATATATATTATTATATATATATATACATATTCATATATATATATATATTATATTAACCCTCAGCAATTTTCCATGAAACCCAGCCCCAGTCGTCTTTTCCTTCTTCCCTCGTCGGATCGTTTCAACGTAGCAGGTTGCGCTCCACGGTGGAGGTCTACCAATGGGAGGAGAAGAAGTCGGAAAAGAAGAGCAAGGATAACTTAGGCGCCGTGGCGGAGATGTTGGGTATGATATGTATATGTATATGATATGTATATGTATGATGTTCTGGTTGTACGACATGGGGATACAAATAACACTACATTTTCATGTGGGTGAAACAATACCATTTGCACCATCCCCCAGTCATCACCATTTTTATAGGTGGTATACACCATTCTCAAATGGATGGTTTATTGTTTTATATACCCACAGCATATAAGATGTGTTCAACTAAAAAGACAATTTTTCATGAGATAGAGTAATGTTATAATTTATAATATATTATATGTATAGTTTTTAATTATATGGAGGTTTCCGAAATTGGGTTGGTTATTATATGTTATTATCAATGGGAAAACCGCTGGTTAGGGGTGGCAATATTTCAGGAAATGGCTTGTAAGACATCGGAATATACATATGTATACCTACAGTAAGTCTAAGACACAGAAAAAAGACAATTCGATTATATATGGTAGTAGTATGTGTATATTTTGCTTCACATTGAGATATAAACATACAATGCATTATAACGTAGCATGTATATGTATATGTATTTGTATATGTATTTGTAAATGTATATGCATATTTATATTTATGGTTATAAATATACTTGTATTTATACATCAAGTATAGTTCATAATGATAAAATAGTAATTTAACTTAATCACGTATTTATATATTATCGTTTGCTATATATATATATATATGTATGTAAATGTAGATGTAAATGTATATATAGAGACAGATTCTTTGATTTTAAATCGTATCATTCAATGCTGTGATGTATTCAATATTGTAGAATAGGTTTTAACCTAATACAGTTTGAATGAATAATTGTAAACAAATATATGTTGAAAGAACTATACGTAAGTATACGGTACAACATGACAGAATGGAATATAAGATAAACCACGATGACTTAACATAAGATAAGTTAAATCAACATGATACAGTACAATGTAATATAATACAGTATATTGTCATATGATATAGTCCTTTTCTGTACTATAACACACAATATAATGTGATATAGCACAATATAGTATAATACAATACACATTATGTGAACGTTATAATATCGTGTAATACAATTAGTATAATACACATTATATATGTATAGTATAGCCCAATACAATACATATAATTCTCTGTGAAAACACCTGTAACGTTTTTTTTCCTTCTATGGGCTATTGGGTGGTCAAACAAATTTTGCGAAATTTTGCATCAGTTCGCTGCCAAGTTTCTTGCGGTCAATTGATGTTTATACCCTCAAAGGTGGTAACATAACTGGTAATGATGGCAAATGATTGTAAATGATGGTTAATGATGGCTAATGATGATTAATCATGGTTAATAATCACTGGTTGGTGGTTTGGAACATGAGTTTTATGACTTTCCATTTCATATATGGGATGTCATCCTTCCCATTGACGAATTCGTATTTTTCAAGATGGTTAAAACTTAAAACATGTTAAAACCACCAACCAGATAATGTTATGACACATCCCATGTGGATCCAATGATGGAGCGTTAACTTTAAGCGTTTCCTGAAGCAGAAATGCATACGAGCTGCACGTGTACGCCTGCTGACCAACACGTTTGGATGTTTTTGGATTCAGAATCTGAGCCCACAGATTTTGCTCATCGTGACTCTATCTACCCTCTGGTAAACGTTTACATAGCTATGGGAAATCACAATTTTTTAATAATCAACTATAGATAGCCATTTTCAACAGCTATGTTAGTTTACCAGAGGGTAAATTTGGGATCAAATTAAACTAACCCCTTGGGCCAGACCGTGTCAGGTGGCGGCGAGACTACAACCACGCAATATTCGTATTCCAAGAAGTGGTCCAAATTCCAGATCGAACCTTGGAATGAGCCCAGGGGATATGAAATAAATGCACGGTGCGTTAACAATGGGATGCTTATTCGGGTATGGCCATTGGAAAGGGTGAGTGCAGCATTCAGAAACGATTGTAGAGAGGGCCGCATGGTGACGTGTATGACGTTTATCTGGGACTGGATAGTTACTAAGTGGTGGCAAGTGGAAGTTGATTTATTTGACCATGCTGCAATCTAGGCTTATCATGCGGCTTATCTTGAAGTTATCTTGTATTACAAAGAAGCATAGACAATTGTTCAAAAGCTATCGGCAGTTAGCCATGGTTTTATTCTCCCAAGGTTCCAGTTGGTGTACGGCAGTGTATGTCGTTGCCCCTATTAGAGGCTTCTACCATAAAACTAAAATTGTGAAGGATCATCATCGATTACTCTCCAGTAAACTAACATAGCTACGGAAAACCAACCGTTTCTAGATGATTTATAATACCCATAAAAAAATAGTGGCTTTCCATAGCTATGTTAGTTTACCAGAGGGTATGTTGGAAAACTGAGACCGGAACATGAACAATAAATTAAAGCATTCAGAAATTCAGCAGGTTTCAGCCGTGAATTTCATTCAGACTTGACCAACCGCCCGGAAATATGATGAAATATGATTCTCCAATTATAGATTGTTTATAAACCCAATAAGCTCTGACTATGGTCCAATGCTAGTTCTTATTATAACATTATTGTATTATCCAACAACCTCCACTGATACATGGTCTGATTATTTCCACATGTTTGATGCTCTCCATATTTGTAGGTTAAATACCACATTTTCAGACGTTATCTTCTTGAGTTCCCAAGTTTGCTCCAATTCACTATTGCTAGGTCAATCTTGAACCTTAACCATCCATTAACCAGCTATTTTAGGGTACCAAAAATCACCCATTTGGTGTTCACCATTGTTTGGTGGTGATTTTTCTCACCCACCTGTGGTGCCAACGCCAGGATTCAGCGCATTTCAAGCAGTCGGGACATCGAAACAACATTTGCATCCCGGGTCTCAAGGCGAGTTTTCCAAGCCTGGTGTCCCCTGGGTACCGTAAAATAGATGTGAATTCCCCTATATATATATATATATATGTATAATATATATATATATATATAATATGATATATATATAATATTATATATATATATCTCTGATTGGTGGTTTGGAACCATGGAATTTGATGACTTTCCATTCAGTAATGTCATCATCCCAACTGACGAACTGCATTATTTTTCAGAGGGGTGGCTCAACCACCAACCAGATAGTTAGTCTAGGAGCTATAGTTATATACCCTGTGGTGAACTAACATAACTATGGAAAATCACAATTTTTAATGGGTAAATCAACTATCATTACCAGATATACATATCTAAAAATGGACATGATAGGTTTTGATCACCTATATTTGTTCTACTTGGATGTGCGTGCCTGAAATCATAAGTGGTTCTCTCAGGCATACTGGGTATGCCCCCAGTTATAATCTATGTGGGTTATAAGCCATTTCCGAAAGGATGGGAAGTATCGGAAGCATGGTTTTCCCAATTGAACTTGCCTTTGATTGCCAAGGACACAGGGGGTTAACACATCAAATTTGGAAGATTTTACCATCTTAAGAATCAGTTGAATCAGTTATTCCGGGATTGCCATTTTTTGTGATGCACATTGATTTGAGGAACATGATTGGGCTTTGTACAGTAATCATGACTTAAGGGGGATATCATGGACTTCAGGGGGGTTGTTATATGTTGTTATGGGGTGGCTTTTTTTTGGCCAATTTGATGGGACTATTTCATGGGATTCTCATAACATTCTAATCACCAATATCAAATTGACCCAATGGAATTTACTCGCAACCGATTTCGTTTGAGAATCAAAACTTCGAGTTCACAGCGCTTGAAGCCATGCTTCGCATTCCGTACGAAGACTGGAGCGCTCGATCATTTTTTTTTCGGACAGGAGGTCCTGGAATCCCATGTCAATGGATTGGTTTAAGGGAAAATCTACAGGAAACCATAGATTTTCCCATGAAATATGGGGTTTTCCTGTAAATTTTCCCTTAAACCAATCCATTGACCATGAGCACACTGGAATCATGGTTCAGCTGAAGTCTGAGTCATTTCTCTATGACGGACATCGGACCATTTGTTGTCTTCCTCCATTGTCCGATGTCGATGAGATTCCTGAGGAAGTTCCTGTTGTTTTTCGGTGTATGAGGAACAAAGGAAAGAAAAGCTCGTGGGAAGCAGAAGGATACCAATCTTCGGAAGGAAGACTCAGGATCCTCGATTGTTTTCGAGAGATATTTTGGCCAAACAGCGGTTCAATGGCAGGAAGAATAAGACCTGTCTGCATGTCGACATCGCTCAACACCGCCGTTTTGACAAACACAAAACGAAAAATCATTTGTTTGTGTTGTTGGGCCGATTTTCAATCCACGCTAATTCAGAACAAAAAAGGATGTTTTACACATTCTTCAAGAGATATATATATATATATATAATATTCTTTTGATAAAGGGACCCTTGATGACAGGACCACTATACACAAAAGAACCCCATCTTGAAATTTGAAATGAGGGTTTAAAGTTTGAGGAAATATTGCACCTTTTTCAAAGAGATGATGCATTTTCTTGAAGGGGCATATTCCAGATAGTTAAGACAAGTTTTCTTTAAAGAATGCCATGATCACTGGAACAGATCACCGCACATATATAAATGAAACTGAATTTGAAATGGTGCTGGAATCTGTCAGTAGAAGGCTCCATGCTTTCTATGCAATCCTGTATGTGTTGAAGGTCTTTTTTCAATATATTACTGCACTCTTTTCAAACAGAAATTGCAGTACTTCAAAGGGAATGCACAAAGTCAGGCTGCACTCTCTTTATGGGATATCACGTTTTTTTTTTCTAATACGACTTGGATTAATAGATGTTGGGTGATTGTTGCAAAAACATGCTGAACCCATATCCTAAGTGCACTTTGTTGCTTTATTTTGTTTCAATTGTTGCGGCATTTTTTGAAAAGTGCCAAACCCTTCAGAAAGCTAGATGAAACACAAAATTAATTGCTCTCTGACTTTATCCCAATTTGTGGAAAAGAAGGCCGGAACTAAGTGCCGGAGTCATGAAGTAGAAGGTTCTGATCTGGATTAATTAATCAGGATGAATCCAGATTAATCAGGATCAGAGCAAAACCTCGAGAAAACAAAAAAATGGTAACTAGTCCAGATGTCAGAGTAGTTGTGGAAACATGTTTTTTGTTTTTTGGATTAATCATGATTAATCAGGATTAATCTTAAGTGGAAGTGAGACAGAACATAGTGTTGCAGTGCCAAACACATGGTTTTGTGAAGAGACGCGTGGTAGCCGACAGTCAGAACGGAACGGACTGTTTGACCCTCCATATGGACGGAATTCTTGTGTGTATGTGGATTTCTTCATTGAATGTCTACCCCAACAGCTTGAAATGCACCGCTCACAACAGGCCTTTCCGTTCTGGTTGGTGGTTTGGAACATGAACTAAAAAAAAATCCATATATTGGGAATGTCATCATCCCAACTGACGAACTCATATTTTTCAGAGGGGTAGGTCAACCACCAACCAGCTATGGTTGGCTAAGCAGTTACAACATGGTGTTCACCCTCTTCGCCTGAATTTGATCATCTCCCTGTGACGTCACTGAAACGATGAGAATTCTAAGGGGTAACTATCCCATTTGAGAGCTTTGCTTACCCTCTGGTAAACTAACATAGTTATTGAGAATGGCAATTTATAGTGAGTTGTCCCATAAAAAATGGTGATTTTCCATAGTTTTGTAAACGTTTACCAGAGGGTATCTTATTTCAGGTCAGTGAAATCTTGTGATTTTTCCGTTGATGAACCATAAACATCCATAAACCATGTTGTTAACCTAGTGATTTCAACCAACTTTGCTATCGACTGCCCACCTTGTAACAGCGAGGCAGGTGAGCAATCGCTGGCCAATGAGACAGTGCGGTATGGCGACACTCTGCAATAGCGATGATTTCGATGATTTCGATGATTTCTGAGTGGTTCCAGCTATCATGGGCCTGGGGTAAACATACAAAAAGATGTGGAATATTTTCCTGGTTTTCCTGGGAAAAATGATGAACCAATGGTTTGTTTTCCACATTGATGTTTGTTTACAGGTAATCTGATTGGTGAAGGCTGCGTTAGTTACTTATGATTTGGGTGGGATGCCAATTTAAGAGTAATGTATCAACATTAATTGGGAGGTAACATTGGAATAACCCCCAAAACAGAATTGTCAGGGTTTATGGGGTTGACATTATGCTATGGTTTATTGTTCAGTTTTTTTCTGAGGGATAATATATATATATGTATATATATATATATATATGTATATTTATATATATATATGTGTATATATATATATATGTATATGTATGTATATATGTGTATATGTATATTCAATTATACATGCACATTCATATTGAAACTACCTAGCTAAACATATCGTTTTTGCAGGGCGTTGGGTCAACGAATGGCTATGTGCTGTCAAGTGTTGGGAACATTCCATGTCCAACATCTGTTGGTAGATGACGTTTTGGCTGGAATCGCGTGCAATGATTTCAAGACTACTTGGCACATAAAACCCATGAAGTGCATTGGTTGGCCTGGTGGCTTTAATCTGCGCCATATAGATGAGCCACCGCCGATATGTGGCCCAAGCAAAATTGGAAGATTTGAAACAACATTGAGACGCCAACAAACACAATTTGTGATACTAGTCAAGAAAACAGAGATGAACAATATGTCTTCTGAACAAACGTATAATTTCAGATATTTCTCTGGTATATATATACATATATATATATACATATTACTGTATGTAACATTTGCTGTATATGTTGCATTCTTGTGTGTTTCTTCCATGTAATTTTCGGATTTGTTTTTATTGTACACTTTCGGATAGATATTGCCTTTCATAAACCCCATCCTTTGTTCAACAACCTTCACCGTGTTGCCTGCCTTTACGCTTCACATTACCGTGTCATGTTACGCCGAGGAGAGTTATTACATGCCGACGGACCTGGTAAATCAGCTCTCACAGTGGACGGATGCGTTTGACCTGATCAAGGCACCTGTGTGCCTTGGATGGCGGAGCGGTGTCACGAAAAGCGGTGCTGGTTGGTGGATGATTATGGTATTTATGGTGGATTACACCGCTTTTATATGTAATATTTGTTCTACGATATATATATATATATATCTTTATTTATTTATTATTTATCTATTTCTATTTATTATACTAATATACATATCACGGATTATCGGATTTTAAAGATAACCCCCGAATTGCACATGCCTATTGGACTAACCAAAAGAAGGGAAAGCATTGGCTGCTGATTTGGTTCATACTTGGGGGTGAAGCGTTAATCTTGAGGGCTGGAGGTTACCCTCTGGTAAACTAACATATCTATGGAAAATCACAATTTTTCATGGGTAAATCAGCTATAAATGGCCATTTTCAATAGCTATGTTAGTTGGTTTACCAGAGGGTACCCTCTGGTAATTTCTTACATAGCTATTGAACATTGCCCATAGAAATAGTTGATTTACCCATTAACATGGTGATTTTCCATAGATATGTTACCAGAGGGTACGCAGAATTTGCCAAACCTCTGGAATCGCAATGCTGACCTCTGAGTAATCGCCCTTTCCCTAGAACCAAATGTCCGATGTTAGGATCCATGCGATGGCCCGGACTGCTGGAATTCATGTAATGCTCTTCGGGAAATGAAGGCTGAATTTGTATGAATCTGTTTTGAATTTTGACTTGATGTACCCATTTGGATTTCAAAATTGCAATGAACTAGGCTTCGATTCTGCAGTTTGAACATGTTTGAAATCTTGATTTTAGATTGAACTCTTACTTCGTGGAAATTACTGTGATATAGATTCTGCAGATCTCTATATTTTAGGGTTGAAACAAGCAACATGTTGGTGTTGGGTGCCACCCATCCACCGCTGAGGAAATTTGATTCCTACACCTTTGAGAAGTCGAGCGGACAATGGTCTCTTGCCAGATTTAATCCGACAGAAGGAACTCATAGGGAATATGTGTTATCAGGGTCTAAGCAAATCCAGGGCATCTTGAGAAGACTAGTGAGAAAAGGAACTTGGTTTTACGATGTTTTACGCATCGTGAGAAAGAAAAAAGGATGGTTTTCGGCAAATTCCACATTCAAATACCACATTCGAAACTTGGTAAACCATCTACAGGCAACCCTTACCCTCTGGTTATTTAACATAGCCATGGAAAATGGCCCATAGAAATAGATGGTTTACCTGGGTTTACCTATTAAAAGCATGGTGATTTTCCATGGCTATGTTAGTCATAGCCAGATGGTAACATTTTTTTTGGAAAGGCTTGGTGAATCACTTTGGGATGCAAATTTGACAGTGGTGAATGCAGTGAATGGGTGGGGTTTCAACCGGTTCTCTTGGGGATGACTGCGTATCACGTTGTTGAAAAACTGGAGGAATTGAGTTTCATCACATGGTTGAAGCACCTACTTCCTATGGTTGTATCATGTTGTATCATTCATATACCCGACATGGTAATTTCTAACATAGCTATAGAACATGGCCCAGTCGAAATAGTTGATTTTTCCCATTAATAGCATAGTGATTTTCGATATGTAAACGTTTACCAGAGGGTATCTTTTTTAATTTCGTTGGATAAATGGAGGAACGTTTTGGTGATGTCCTATAAAAACGTTCACATATCATACTGATATATCAAAACGTTTTTCCATATCTCCATCACCAAAAACGTTGTCAAGATGACATAAGCTGGAAACAAACGTTTGTTTTTATACAGCCAACTGATAAATCTCATCTTGCCACGGCCTACGGCGTATGACGTTTTCGCCATGGAGATCCGGACTCGGGCCGCCTGGGCCGCCCTGGGATGTTTAGGTTCCATTAAACCTGCAAAACAACACGTGGAAAAGTTGACCGCAGCCGATGCAGCAGAGGGGCATGCCCTAGTGACCCTTGTCAATGCAGAAGTTGTTGGGCACAGTGGCAGCAAACAGCTGCAATGCCTTCCAAAGGGAAAACGTGGAGATTACGCTGCCATCGGAAGAGCACGTTCCATTGAACCTGGCTGGCATTGAGAAAGCGAAGATGATTGTGGAGCATTATTTGCCACTCACCTCCCATGTGCCGCCCTTATCTGGTGGATTTAATGGTGATTGAATGGTTTAACAATGGCTTAACATTGGTGAATCATGGGATGATAATGGGATATACGCTCTGGTAAACGTTTACAGTTTGCGAACTGGAAAATCACCATTTGGAATAGGTAGATTAATTGTTTCTCTGAGCCATTTTCAATGGCTATGTTAAATTACCAGAGGGTATTTGCTTTGTATTCTTCATTTCATGAGGGTATTGAATAGGTTATCTTCTATTCTTTATACTGATGCTATATATATATATAATGTATTTATATTTTTTTCATGTCATTATCCGTGTCAAGTATGTCAAGTCAGAGATCGTGCTTCTGAGAAATCTTTCTGACGCTTTAATTTTTCTTAATTCAGCATTTTGAATTATCATAATGACCCCATCCCCCATCCATACATTGTTAAACACTCCCATTGTATGGGCCCAGTGTTATGTGTAAATCCCTGATTAAGCCATGGTTTCTGGGTGTGTGTGTCCAATATTAGGGTATTGGAGTATCGTCGTATATCCAGATTGGCTGAGTATTTTTTAAAACATATATTGGTTCTTTTGCTCTATATTATATATTGCTATATTCCCCATATTTGTTGATTAAGCCCCCATTGACCAATAATTATCATGAATATGGGAATGTGATATATTTTCATAGATGTTCATAGATTAAATATAGTAAATATGGAAACCTATGCATATATACATATATACTATATACATATTAATAATCATATTAACTATATTAATTAGTCATATATGATATATAACTATAGTGAAGTCAATAATTCATATATCTATATATCATATATGTGAAAATAATAAGTCAACATTAACTTCACACATTTCATATGTGGCCGCCGAGGTTTTACCATCCCATGCGCAATGCGCCAGAGGTTGGTGATGTGCGCCTCACAGCTGCTAAGGAGGTTGATCTTCAATGTAACTGCAGTTTTGTCTTACTAAATGATGAGTATGTGCCCTGAATACTATATATCTATATATGTATCTCTATATATAATATCATCATATGTATGTATGAATATTATATATATATGTATATGTATTGTGTATTGGGTTGTTTGGCAAATCCTCGAAAATCATCGACCCAGAATGCAGAGTTTTCTGGGATCAACCTTCAGGTGTTTTTTGTACTGGCCGCGTGGCATCATCCCGGAACGCCGCGTGATAACAGCTGCGGGTAACATAACTGGTAATGATGGTAAATGATGGCTGGTGGTTATTATATGGTTAATGATGGTTAATAGTGGGTTAATAGTGGCTTAATAGTGGTTAATAATGGGATGATAATCTGGTTGGAGGTTTCAAACATGGCTGTGATGTATGGTGCAATGATGGTTAAAATATGGCTAATGATGGTTAATCATGGTTAATAATCACTGGTTGGTGGTTTCAAACATGACTAGATTATTTTCCATTTCATATATGGGATAATCATATCATCCTTCCCATTGACGAACTCCATCATTTTTCACGATGGTTAAAACCACCAACCTGTAAATGTAGCCAGATCAATCCATTTTCATGGGGATTTGTATACCCCAGAAATGAGTTGATTCCCATTGCACTGTATGACCATAGCCCACGAATCTTATGTCATATGTAGCTTGATCATGGAACATATATCTCTACTGACGCAAGAAACATGCAGTAGCTTAGTCTCGCCGCTGACCTAGTGGTCAAGAATTCATACCTGAAGTCAGATTGAATGGGAACTACCCTCTGGTAATTTAACGTAGCTATGGAAAATCACCATTTTTAATGGGAAATTCCACTATAAATGGCCATTTTCAATAGCTATTTTGACATAACCAGAGGGTACTAATCTCAAACATCCAAGGCTTAGCCGAGAACATGGAAGCCCAACAAAATCACGAAATCTTCGAGGCTCTAAATCGGCGTTCTATAGAAATCACCGTGTTTGATACTTAAATCATTGAACTGAATTAAATGCAAAGCAAACTGTTAAAAAATGGAGGGTAACTCATTTTAAATGGGAAGCTGGCCTAAAAGAACAATGTTCCGGGAAATTATTGGTGTTATTACGTTAAATTGCTGGGGGAGTACGCATTTTTGTGGGGCTGGTTGTGTTGGATTCTTAGGGCAGACCCCCTACTGTAGTAGATCCTGAGTGATACTTCCTTCAAGCCAGTGGCTCCTAGACCAGACAAAGTGATGCCTCCAGCCGTAATTGAGTTGGTTTATGAAGCCATCTAACATCATCTTACTATATGTAGATATATGATATGTATATATAGATTTGTACGTGTATATATATATATACACACCTATACAATGTATACACATCTCATACCCAAGAATAAAACTAATCAAATCATAAAGCAAGTTGGCCAACTATGGGGCATCACCGTGCAGGGTTGTCACTGGTGGCCCATCATGACATGAGCAGACTACCTTTCGACTTGCTGAAGGGCAATCATTTGAGGTAGTGTTAACTCATGATTTTTTCATGGGTTACAGAATAGTACATGAGATGCTATCAACCTGGATATCATATTCGATACTGTAAAAAAAATGCCTGAATTTGCTGTGTCAATGATGTGTTTCTATGGTAAATCCACCATTGGGGGAACCATCTATAGGTCTCTTGTTTTTCATTTTTTGCGGCCATCTTCAGCAAAGCCTAGAATTCTTTACATTGGCCTATTGGAAATGAGTGGGCCAAACATTGCGATTGGATATTTTTTTCAGGACAAAAGTTTATGGTTCAACATTAAGACTGGCCATAAGAATGACTCTAACCACTTGTCTGGCTTTGGCTAGTCATGACATGAAGAAAGGAATGTCAAGGGCTGCTCCAAACTATTGGAGGTAAAGGAATGCAACAAGGGGGTAATGGTGATTCTATCATTTCATCTAGCCAACTTACCCTTGCCGCATCTGGGGAGTTTGAGGCAACTGAGTTATGAACCATCCAAAATATGGAACAAATTGAACTTAGGTCTTCACCAACAAACAGTTCCTGGTTGGTGGTTTGGAACATTTTTTTTTTCATATATTGGGAATACTCATCCCAACTGACTCATATTTTGCAGAGGGGTCGAAACCACCAACAAACAGTTCGATATTTGCCAGATTTGCCCAAGAAGAATGGGAACAAAAACCTCCTTTTTTCAGTAACAGTTCGATGCGGAGTTTAGCCACCATTCCTAAATCATTTTCTGACCAGCTGAGGGTCAGATGCTTTCATGGAAAAAGCCTATGAATTTGGATGAGAACTGGGGCTACCCCCCTTTTAGGAAACCTCCATTTAAGCAAGTATTTAAATATCAATATTTTCTTACTGGTGCTTAGTAGGGAATGGATGGGAATGGGGGAATGGGATGATTATTAATAGTTGTTGTGGATCATTCCCTCATTCCCTACCAAGCACCAGTAAGTTGTGTATTAAGATGACAAGATGGTTTTTAACTTTAGTGGGTAAGAATGTTCATGATGATCACAATATATCACACTATAATCTTTACTCATCATAGTTATGATAATAATAAAACAACTAACTAGCAATCATGATCATCGAACACATAATCTATGAATAAGGTTAGCCATGGTTAGCCAACAATCTTTTAGGGATTTAACCGGGTTTAACCAACAACTTTAGAGGGATGTCTAAAGATATAGCAGGAATACAATATGCTTTGGATGAATTTAAGGCGGCAATATGCCCCCCGCCACGTCACTATTCTGACACAGTTTCTGTTAATCTGGAAGTATATATTATATGGAAATATATGGCAAACATGTTCTGACATTCTATCTGACATTATTTCTGGCATTCTATCTGGCATCTATTCTGAAATAATTTCTGGCAAATGTTCTGGCATTCTATCTGGCATCTTTTCAGGCATTCTTTCTGACATTCTATCTGGCATCTATTCTTACGTTCTTTCCGATATTCTTTCTGGCATTCTATCATTCTATCTGACACATTTTCTGACATTATATCTGAAAGTCTTTGTTTCTGGCATTCTATCTGGAACCTATTCTGACATAATTTCTGGCATATGTTCTGGCATCTTTTCAGGCATTCTTTTTGACCTTCTATCTGGCATCTATTCTTACGTTCTTTCCGATATTCTTTCTGGCATTCTGTCTGACATATGTTCTGACATTATATCTGAAAGTCTTTGTTTCTGGCATTCTATCTGGCATAATTTCTGGCATATGTTCTGGCACTCTATCTGGCATTCTTTCTGGCATCTATTCTTACGTTCTTTTCGATATTCTGTTTGGCATTCTATCTGACAAATGTTCTGACATTATATCTGAAAGTCTGTGTTTCTGGCATTCTATCTGGAACCTACTCTGACATAATTTCTGGCATATGTTCTGGCATCTTTTCAGGCATTCTCTCTGGCATTCTATTTGGCATCTATTCTTGCGTTCTTTGCGATTTTTTTTTGGCATATGTTCTGACATTATATTTGAAAATCTTTGTTTCTTGCATTCTATTTGGGATCTTTTCAGACATTCTTTCTGACATTCTATCTGGCATCTAATCTACTCTTACGTTCTTTCCGACATTCTTTCCGGCATTCTGTCTGACATATGTTCTGACATTATATCTGAACGTCTTTGTTTCTGGCATTCTATCTGGCATCTATTCTGACATAATTTCTGGCATATGTTCTGGCATCTTTTCAGGCATTCTTTCTGACCTTTCTATCTGGCATCTATTCTTACATTCTTTCCGACATTCTTTCCGGCATTCTGTCTGACATATGTTCTGGCATTCTATCTGGCATTCTTTCTGGCATTCTATCTGGCGTCTATTCTTACGTTCTTTCCGGTTTTCTTTCTGGCATTCTATCTGACATATGTTCTGACAGTATATCTGAAAGTTGTTGTTTCTGGCATTCTATCTGGCATCTACTCTGACAAAATTTCTGGCATATGTTCCGCGATTCTATCTGGCATCTTGTCAGGCATTCTTTCTGACATTCTATCTTCATCTATTCTTGCGTTCTTTCCGATATTCTTTCTGGCATTCTATCTGGCATGTGTTCACGTCCATCCGTGGCCTGCTACATCCGAGCTCGCGATACCAGGCGTGGCCCACTGCATACGTGGCTCGGATGAAGGAAGGCAGGAAGAAAGGAAGGCAGGAAGGCAAGAAGGCAGGAAGGAGGAAAGGTGCACTTTTGTTAAAATCTGGAGACCCTCGCCTGGCAGGTGGGGAAGAACCCCAAGGGAGCCCCCAAGAAAGTAAACCAAGTGGATGTTCCTATTCGAAGCTGGATTTGAAGCCTGATTCATGTTGTATAAACAAACTTGATGGGCTTGCTTCATATGTTGACCGTTGTCCTTATCAAAAATGCATAGTGACATTGTAATGAGCAAGAAAAACAAATGCAGGGTATCTAAGATTGGCCATGCAATGCTGCGGATGATTGTTGTATTTCCCAATTGATTCACGTGATTATAATATTGTAATCCACCAAAATTGTGAAATTTATTGGGGAAAACTCAAAAACATATTCCCAGTATACATTCATATATTCGCAAATTGTTCCAACGTTTTTAATGTTTGGCAATTTAAGGCGAAACCGAACACAACTTCTTTGTGCGTGAACGATGTGTGCTCGGGGTTTCTAATCCCTTCACCTGATCTTACCATTTTTGGGCGACTTGCTTGACCCACAGCCATAGCATAAATGCATATCACATTGTAACATATGTATTATAGATTATTCGTCTACATATTATAACTTGTATAAGTATGTATACACATACATTACAATAAACACAATTACTTTCATTTATACTTTGATGTAAATACATATTCTACAATATTTTACATGTAGCAGTCCTTTCTCTCTCTTTCTAAATATGTAGATAAATAAATAACACAAATCAATAAACAAATAACTCTCTCTCTATATATATATATATATCTATATGCATATGTACATGAAATAAATAAACAGCTATATATATATACAGATCAAATAGTGGCATGATTTGTATATAACTTGTAGAGACTCCCAGTTTTTGTTGGTTCCGACAACACATGGGGCATCGCACATAGTTGTGAGAGTGGGGACGTTACAGCCCCTGAGGCTTTCATATTTCCCAAATTTGGTCGAAAATGGAAATCGGAATCCCGTATATCATGTGGAATACATGCAATGGTTCTCTAATTCTTCCTTTCAACAAAATCCAAAATGAAATGTGGGGTGCCAAGAGATGCTTTTCCATTTCGGATACAGACCTTTTTTTCCATCTTTGGAAATTCTAAGCAAGAAATGTGGAGGGGAACCACTGAGAATCAGGCTTTTGCAAAGCAAAGGGAGGATATGAACCAACCAAAGTACAGATTCAGATTTCAGATAACATGGGGATTCTTACCACCAGAGATCAAAAGAGAAAAATGTTTCCTCCAAAATCGATATCTAACAACCAGATACGGGAACACAGAGAAACATCCGGAAAATAACAAGAACATCGGGTAACTTGCGGACTCTAACTGATACCGGGGACCGATGGGAATATCGTGAATGTGGCAGTAATCGCGCTTACGGTGGTGCCTCAGGTCATAAGTTGGTTTATAAATTTTTATAAACACAAATAAGTATAGATCTGTCTGAATCTGCCACAAACCCTAGCTCATCTACTTGATTTCAGACAGTCTTAGCATTTCTGAGCACCATCTTCGACCATCTTGCCGCAAGAAAGGCGGCCATCCAAGACGGGACATTCACCAAGAAATGCACCGGTACACCGGAACGCAGACATGGTGGGTGTAATGCAGACATGAATGTGGAAACTGGGAAACTGGGAAACACGGAGCACACAAGGTGATGCCGCGATGGTCATATCATGTCATATCCACCATAATCATAATTCATCTAGTTAAAATGCAAACCAACGGCCACATAGATGGGGACCCTACTGTATCTACTGTGGGGAAATTCACAAGGTTTCATGCAATACAGCATGAAGAACTCAGAAGAACATTTATCCATGCTTGAAGTGGGCCTAAAAATCACCGGCAACTGCTGGGATGACATATAACAGTATCAAGCCAAAACTGGTTGCTGGTTTGAACTAGCTAACTATCTTGTTATGTTCAACCATAGAAACTTGATGATGACCCCCAATCACAGTCGCATATATATATATATATCATATATCAGATAGCCAGATAAGATAGGAGACAGTAGATATGAAATGACAACAATACTATGTGACAGTACTATGGCATTCAGATGCCGAAACAGTCCCGCCAAATCAGGGAAAGAACATGTAAAATTCCTATGACTGCTGGCCAATGGGGAACAGGGGTGTGTAAATAAATGTCCAAATGTCCAGCTTGGGGTCTCTCGATGTCAGCTGTTTGAAAAAAGGAATGTGCTCCAGACCTACTAAAGTTTTCGCCAGTATGTTACAATGTTTGTTTCCACGAGGGTATATGTACTTGTTCCCATTTGTTACTTGTTTGATTCTTAAGCTGCTTTAAATACATGCTGAGCATCAACATGGCTCTCCCAACCTTGACAAACGTTTCGTGGCCCAACAGCACACTTTTTAATGACAATATCTATTGGGTATACTTCCGCCTGTTATTTTTGAACGACTTCACGACAATCGTCCCACACTTTCCAGACATGATGTCGCCGTCAACCTTGAGGGCAGTAAGGCAAGAAACATGTGCAGCGCAGCGCGGCAATGCGGTTCACTGTCCTGGCTTTGGGTTTGGAGGTAGCAGCGCGCGTGCGCTGCCGGGCTTTGAAAGGACCCGTAGTGGTTTCGTCTTCTCTTGTGCAGGGGGCTGGGTGTGTCGGAACTAGAATGTTAATAGGGCGTGCGAGGGATTCGATTGAAAATGGGCCATGCAAGGGGTGATGGAAAGGGCAATGGTCCACGCAAAGGGCTGGGCCAAGGGTAGCAACGGGCAACGCAAAGGGTGGCAGGCAATCATTAGAAGTCTGCAAGGCTGCGCCAATCTGAACTGACGATGGTTGATGCTTGAAGGACAGGCGCGATATCTGCACACTCTCGATGCTGATGCAGCTCACCCACAAGACATGTTTGGTTCAACTGGTCGCCTGCGAGCGCCGCGTGGCCCGTGCAGTTGTTTGGGCTGGCCCCTGTAGGAACTATCAAAGACCATCCAAATTAGGCCAATCCAGGTCTTTATCGCGAGAGCTTTCCGGCAACAAATTGAAGTTCAATTGAATCTTGTTTCAGCAAAGTAAAAAATTTGTGTTTGGGCCCACGCCGATTTGTAGCACAACATGTGCCGTGACCCTGAGCAAGGGGGTGCGCCACCCGAATGGTTCTTCAATAGGGGCAATTTTCATTGGATTTTGGCGACCGCAATTTTTGCCATATATATATATATATATCGTTTACATTGCGCAACCCGTCAAAACCACATTACCAAGAAGGCGCGATTTTATTCATGGGTACTTCCATCGACATAATTTCCTGAAGTTCATTGTGTTCCGGTAGGTTTTTTGATTTTCCACAACTTGAAGCTATGAAAGCAGCTTTCAATACCCCAGAGAGCACGGGCAAGTGGGCAAGGTACGAGTTTGCTTTGAGTACGTCCCGGAGGGCCCTGTCTCCATCATGGCATTGCAATGCGGGGATAAAATCCGCGGAAACGCAGTGTCTAGTCAGGGACGCATGCAGCATGGATTTGAGTTCATTGGCCATGCTTGCAGTGAGACTATTGAGTCTTGATGAGTTTTGGCAATCGTTTGTTGTTGGCACATCAAACCAATGTAACGAGGAATGTCGGGCAGTTTGGTATGGTATTTTTCTCTCTTTCTGGTTGAGCTGATGATTGCAACCAGTTCTTGGGGCAGGGCTATCAAACATTTTCGTTTTCATTTTTCGTTGCAACAAATGTGGACGGATCAGCGCTTGTTTTGGTAGGCAATTTTGGCATCCAAATTGTGGCAATGAATTGTTTGTTCACTCCACGTTGTTTACACCCCTTGTTTCGTTGTCATAAACCCCCACTTTAGGTGGTCGCATCCCAAGGTTCTGGTTGTTTGCGTCCATCTGGTTGCATCATCATTTTGGGTCCTCATATCGGGATGTTGGGCATTCTGGATGTTGAGCAACTTTTGGCACCCATATGTCCACAATATTGCACCGTATTTCAAGGTGATGAATTCCTTTTTGTTTGCTGGTTAAACCTGATGTTTTGGATAGTAAAACCTGTGTGGTTTGCTGTTTCAATCAGAGTTTGGTGTCATTTTCGTGCTGTACTTGAATCCTGATGTTGCGTTTGTTGAAACCGTTATATAATTTTCTCTGGTTAAATCAACATGTATTGTTGTTTGGACATATTTTCCTAAATTCAATGGATACTTTTCCATTGCCAGGGTTGGTTACCAAAGATCAATGGCTACAGGTCCTTAAGCTGGAGGTAATGTGCAATATTTGCGCCATACTTTGTGAGGATATTCCCTGAAATTTAGCCCTGAATTATAGGACTTATAGGGCACATTTGTGATTTAGGGTTTAGGGTTTTAAATATATTTCGAAATTTGTGTGAGAGAGAGAGAGTGATATATATATATATGAGCAACTGTCAAAGCTCGCGGACACTTAGATATGTATTGGCTGGACATTTGTTTTCAGAAAGTGCAAAAAACTGAGGTTAGCGATGGGACCTTCGCAAATAGCGATACCCCATGTTGAATTCAATAGTTAATAATTATATTTCATGAGCGTTGATTTCGTCAAGTGCTCGCATTGGTGATAGGCTTGGGCTCAGGGTTGAAAAGGAAAGGAACAGGACGGAAATGAAAAGAAAAAGAAAAGGAAAAGGACTGGAACAGAAAAAGAAACAGGAAAGGAAAAGGAAGAGGAAACAGAAAGGAAAAGGAAAGAGAAAGGCAAAGGAAAGAGAAAGAAAAAGAAACGAAAAGAGAAAAGAAAGGAAAAGGAAAGGGAAAGAAAAACGAAAAAAGGAAACGAAAGGAAAAGGACAGAAAAAGGGGAAGGAAAGGAAAATAACAGAAAAGGGAAAGGAAAAGGACGGGAAAAGGAAAAGAATAGTTTCACAAGCAAATGATAATGCACCCGCCTGATTCTGCAAAAAAAAGCAGGTCGGTTTTAGCGATACCATAGCGATGCCTTAGCGATACCCAAGCGATACCCAAGTTCACCCAATTGCACAGGATCCCCAACTACTTGTACCTGTACTTCTACTTCTACTGCTAAGTCTTCTATTGTATTCTGCTTCTACTACTACTACTACTGCTACTACTACTATTATTTGAATTCCTGCTACTAACGCCAGGATTGTGTTCCTAGCCTTGCAAATATTTCTAATACTCCCTTATTCTTAGTATATACTACTTTTACCAGTATGTGCGCTGCTAGCACTTCTAGTACTCCTAAAATCTTGGCACAATTCATACTAGTAGTACATACAAGTATGAACAGTACTACGAATACAATATCATATCTACTTCAGCTGCGTTTAGCCTTAGCGATACCCCTTGTAAATCAATATTGCGCAATGATGGTAAAATTGCTACGAAACTGTGGTTAGCGATGGGATATTTCCAAATTATGTTGATGTCCTTTTCATGAACAAGGAGTTTTGACAGCCGCACATATATACATGAAGGTACATCCAATTTAGGTTCCTGAAATCGCCGGCTAAAAAACTTTGATCCATACCCATATATTATTCCAATTAAATCCCCATTTCTAATCATCATCCACCATAGTTCCACTGTTCATGTATATATGACCACAGTATTGCATGATAATGGTGATATAATGGAGATGATATAGTTTCTTTCCACTACTATGCCATAATATGCCACACTAGTTTAAATATTATCCACCATTGTTCCAGTCATTAACCACCATTATTCCACTATTACTGGGATATATTGCGATAAGGTATACAAACACTGAGATTATTCCACTAATAGTGGGATTACTCCATTATTACCCACCATATGCCAAGGATATTGGATATTACTGTATTTGTGTATACCGCAATCAGTGACATTTATGCAATTATTCTGGGATATTATAGCCGCTATACTGGGATTATTCCATCAATACCATAGTATAAGTTATTTAACTACATATCAGTTCATATTAAGCACCATTATTCCATTATAAGTGTTCTATAATTGTTTTTCCATTATTGCATTTTTCTTCCATACAAATACATTCAACTGATATACAAGTTATTATTTCCAATTATTATATCTACACAGTATTCTATAAGTATATTATTATATTATGTAAGTATTGATACAGTATTCTATAAGTATTCTTTACTATTATATAAGTGATACTATTTCCACACAGCATTCTATAAGTTATTTGTTATCCAGTTATTATTCCATAGAAATGTATACATTCTCCACTGTTCACCAAGGCTGCCAGCTTCATGCCGTACCGCCTGGTGAACCGAGGTGGGGAGCTTTTTTCAAAATATTGAGATAGTGCCAAAATAGGATTATGAGGGACCATATGAATAGAATTATGAACATTTATATACGTATAATTATGTATATATCATCCTGAAGCAGATAGTTCTGGAATTTTCAAACATATTCTTCTATATAGTTTGGTTTTTCTAATGGGCTATATATCTATGGGGGGTCCCAAGATTTTGTCATCCCTGATTTCAGACCATTTTAGTATTCAAAGCTTTAGTTTGGAGTCGTTTTAGGACACTTCCATATATTTTACAAGCTGGGCAACCCAATGATAAATCTACAATGGGAACTTCACATGGATATACCCAGCAAACATGTGGTAGTTTTAGCCACTAAAATGGACCATAACATTTTAATTCAGAAACAATCCCATCAGAACCTCATCTTACTGGACAATCAACATGGCATGCCTTACGGGAATATCCCAAACGGCCAAACGACTGATTCATGGAGGTGTGTTTGTAATTTTTCCCTGCGGGTCCAAGTACTTCCTGAGAAGGTGCTTAAGCTCCTAAATCATGCACCGAATCCTTCCCCAGAAGGTATTTGGATCCGTACAGGATGGTGCCCCCCAGTTCTAAGTTGGTTTATAAACTCCATATAACCCCATTACCTATAGTTATACCTACCATAAACCATAGCAAAGGTACTTATAAGGCAACTTAGCTTTCTTGGGGGCCCCATCCTGTAGGGTTTGTTTGAATTCGTTCCCTTGCCATCAACAGCATTTTCTGGATTGCCACTTGTTTTTTGATGGATGCCAGTTGACTTGAGGCAATGAATGTGATTTAAGGGGGCGTGCTATGGGTTAAATCCCATTGGACTATTTCATGGGATATTAATAACATAAATGACAGAAATAGCATCTCTATATCATCTAAAAACGGACTTGATATGGATTGCTGAGTCGATGATTGTCAACATTCTGCCATGGGCTAAAAAATCAAAACTGCCGAACCTATTGGGCATATCAAATCTAAAATTTGGCATCCTAAATTTCAATGGTTCACCGTTGCGTGTTTATGTTCAATATACTGTAAACAAAACATTCGGGAAGGATGGCTTTAGAAACGCCATCCCGGGGCCAATGCAATCGGCCAGCTTCCTGTCAGTTATCTTGACACCACGTTGCCTTTTCTCACGTGTTTCGCGTGCCTTCGCAACCGGTGAATTTCTATTGTCAGTGTTCTTGGTGACATCCACAGTTTTGATGGCGACATGCAAAACAGGCGCGAAGGACTACATACTGTAAGATTGGTCCAGAAAAAAGCATATCGGAGAAAGCTGCCGTCAACAGTCAGGGTGCCGATCGCATGGTGTATCTCCTCTAATATTCCCACTAGTTAGGAATGATCAAGCCATGATTTAGCCAATATCCATATATATATATACATACATTCCGCCAGGATTCATATACCCATTGAAAGGATTCCCTTTGCGGAATGGATGACAATTAGCCATATTGTACCATGTTTTGGCAATGCCCCCTCGTATATTTATGTATATATTATGGATTGTTTGAAAATGTGCCCCTAAATCCATTGGTTTATCATCATCATCATCACCACCAGCATCATCATCATCATCACCACCATCATCATCATCATCAACACCATCACCATCATCATCA